CGAACAGAGTATAAAAGAGAACAATAGTTTCGGTTGTTAGTAAATGAATGTTAGTGAAACCAAAAGAAAAACATATACAGTGGCTTCGATTTTGAAAGAAAATATAAGAAAAATGTCGAAATGATGATATTTTAGGGGTTGTTATGAGAAAATAAACGGCAACGATAGAAAACAGTACAAACCMTAAAAAAGGGCATGAAATTTGTGCTGAGAAACGAAGGGTGCGAGAACATGTTCCAGGGAAAAGGGCCGTGAGATTCTAATTTGAGCATAGAAAAACACGCGCGGGAATTTGTTTTCGTGCACGCAGGAAACTTAAAACACCATTATATCGGTTTGTGTGACGGAGGGGATGTTTCTAAAATTGAGTGATTCCCGTGGTCAGTTACTGTTTTTCGATAAAATGATGAAAAGAACAGTTTAATTTGCATGCTCGATTGGCACGCAAGCTTTATATCAGGGTGCTGGAGGGAAGTTCAACAAGTAAAGACACTAGGACACAGTATGATTTTAAACACGGAATCAAAACCCTTCCATTTTGAGCAAAATGGCAAGGGTACTCTCCCTTGATTTGCTGTTTTCTACAGGGGTTTCTACAGAGCTATTGTACTACAGAGCTCCAAATAGATCCATTTTGCTCCTTGCTGAGCAGCTAGATCAGCAGCTGCAGTTTTAGCGTGGTGCCGTAGGAGTTTTAGGTTGACCAGTGTAGGCCCCAGTACAGTTTTGAATGCGGGATGAAAACCCTTTTGAATTAACTACTAGTTAATTCGCAGGATTAAAAAAGTTAATTAATCAGATTAATAAACTTTTAACTCACCGATAATTAATTGTATTTTCAGACATTCCTCCTTACTAATCAAATTTTGTTACGCCCCCAAAGAGAGAACCTTTCCCTGTTCCCCCTTGTCACTGACATGGAATCTTGCTAGCGAATGCACAGATATTAAAAAAAGCGCCTACTATTAGTAAGAATGTTGATGAAAATAAAGGAGAATTTTCTTGTTTCAGAAAACCCAAGTTTCTTCCTTAAAAATAATGGCTCCCTACTATTGTTCTTGTGGGTTACTGTTGTATCTTGGGTCATTTTGCAGGTTCTTGGGTTATTCCATGGAATGCTTTTCTCATAAAATAACTGACATTTCTACTACAGTACTAGCATCAAGAACCCATGAATTGTTAGGTACTGGTAGTCCTGGGGAGGAATTAAAGTTTGGGGATGTGTACGGGGTGGTCCCATGGTTTGTACTGTAAGTTACTGGGCCCTCGTTTTAGAAACAAAAACAAAACACAAAATCATACCTCCGATATTTGATTTCAAAGGGGGGACGCGCGCGCGTTGGTTCCGGAGGGCCCAGGTAAGATTCGAACCGTAAAAATGTTCCCCACGCTTTACGAGTCAGACTGAGAAGCCCTGCAATGAGAACGCTCCAGACAATCTTCATAGAACACACCACGCTGCACTCAAAAGAGCCAAGCCATGTCCGTTCGGTTGGATACTATCCAATCTCTCGGGAGAAACCTGAAGGATTGGTGCCGACATACCCTTCCCCTGATTTGTTTGGCCCGATACTCGTCCGATCGGCCCATCGATTGGTTTTTCTTTTGGATCGGTTACAAGTGTTGTTGTAGGTGCTGGGGATTGGGGAAAGGTTTTCGAACAAACAGGAATTCAAATGCGAGTGCGAGTGCGAATAAGAATGTGTTATCTGTTGATGGAGTKGAATTGGATAGTCCCACGGGAAAGCTCAAGAAGAAGGGACAAACGTTACAGGAAAGAGATACGAGCGATACCTTTATGCACAATTCTATCGAAAGCATACAGCTCACGGACCTGCCATCTGTCGTGATTTCGAACGTGGCTTGTTGCTTGCATGTGAAAGATATGACGGCCCTGGATGTTGCAATCCGGTCAGGTTGTTCGGCTGCTTTTATTGCTTCCGATGAGCAACAAGAAAGCCAAACAACAACAATAACACAATCAAGACGCGACGCTTCAGTAATTCTACACGACGTTTGGAAGCGACTCTGGTATCGCGATTACGGCGACGTCTTGCTCAGGTGGAGAATTTCTCGGGAGGCACTTCAACGTTCTCTGGCGTCGTTGGGAACAAAGGTATCACGTTCTTGCGACAGGAACCAATGGCTGGAAGAGGAGCTCTCGCGTTTTCTCGACGACAACAAGAGCACGAAAGACTTTTATTTTATATTTGGGGAATGCTACATGGACTATATTTTGGCCGGGAACAACAAAGCCGACGGCTGCTACCTCGGCTTACACGGGCACGTCTTTGATTTTACTACCTTTGCCGACTACCACCCCGGCCTCGTCGAACCCATTTTGAAGGAATGCGGAGGCGATGCTACGTTTTTCTTCGAGGACCTCCCCCACTCGGAAGGGGCCCGGAGGATCGCCGAGCGGCTCTGCGTGGTGGTGCACCACGGATCCATGGACCGTTCCAGAGACGGCGAGCCCAGTGGCGGCCACCGGTGCGGCCTGGAGCTGGTGAAGAGCGGGGCAGAGGACGCCTCGGAACTGGAGCGGGTGCTTCGATCTTCGAACACCCGCCCGCCCCCCCTCGCGGACCAAAAAGGAAGCGGCCGGAGTCGAAACCACCGATGGAAGGCGCACCACGTCCTCCCTCGCCGCCGCATGCCTATGCGGCACGCGACGCTAGAAAGGATCCGGACCAAGTTCCACGAAGAACGGTCGTCGCAATTGGAATTGCTGCGGCGGCAGCTACAAACGCAACAAAACCGGTTTTGGAAGCAAGTAGACAAAGAATCGTTGAAAACCCGCATTTATTACGATCCGTTTCTTGAAGAATGGATTCGATGGGCCCCATAGTGCAGTGAAATTGCGGGAATGCTGCAGCACTAGGTTGAATTGGACTGGAACAGAAATGTGGTCCGATAAAGAAAGAGCTTATACGCTTTCGAAACAATCCTAACCGCACAGAACAAAATTGTTACATTGGAACAACATTTCTGTACAAAGTAACTAAAACATAAGAAGAATAGAGTTCCATGCATCACAAAATTTTACATTACATTACGTTACATATAGAGTGATAGGAACGTTTTGCCGACCATCTCCTCCTTCGGAACCGATCCTCTCGGATTCCATAGAATGCAGCCGGTCTTTATATCCATTAACGGGACGATGAATCCTTTGTCCAGCATCATTTGGTCTCTTTATAGGTTAATCTATTGGATGGATCGTTGCTTACTTCAAATACGTAGCATTTAAACAACTAAAACAGTCTTGGTTCCTTTGGTTGATACTGTTATCGATGTCACAACTTCTTTCGAGAACTTTCGAATACCGTCTAACAGGCATGCTCCTCGTACCTTTCGTACCTGCTCTTGCGGGACACCTCGTCGTCGTAGTAGTCGCGGTCCGTCACGTGTTTTTGTCGCCTTCGGCAGCAGTTCACGTAGCAGCAGCAGCAAAACAAAGCAACCAGAAAGGAGGCCAGGGCGATCCCGGTGACGGCCGCCGAGGGCAGCGTTCGAAAATCCTCGTCTTCTGAGGGGGTCACATACGTGTGCCAGTGCATCGTACAGTATGTAATCAGCTCGCTGTCGACCGTTTGGTTGGAGTAAATCGCCAGGTTGGAGACGCCCTGCCATCCGGTGGCGAACCAGGTCGTAATGTCGTCGTCGTCCCACGGCAGCTTGTAGTCAATGTCGAATGCGTAGTAGCTGTCCCAGTCGGGGCAATCGTGGCCGTAGGTGGAGTTGTAGGGTACGGCCCAATCCCCACAGAAATCCACGGGGAAGAGGTCAAAGAGATTGTATTCGACGCTCAGCAGCCTGAGATTGGCAGAGGCGTACCCCGTGTTGTTCGTAAGGTACGGATAGAGGTTGTGGTAGTGCACTGCGCGATACAACAAAGAAAACGTTCAATAGAAAGCAACAGATCCACCAATAGAATAACCTTTTTTGTTAGAGAGAGTAACTTGCACTCGCTTGCACCAGCCCGCATCACAATCGTTTTGTTGGTGGGATGTTGATGCAGAAGTTGCACTTCAACACTTACACATGCCCTTGATGTTCACATCGTTACCGAACGAGCACCGGGAGTCTTTTCCATCGTTGCACGTCACTTCGATCTCCGAAAATGAGGAGTATGCACTGAGGGTTTCGTCGCATTGGATCCGATCGAATTCGATGTCAAGGGCGTTCGCGAAGAACGAGGCATTGGATAGCACGAGGAGCAGCGCCAGCGCAGAAGAATACGATGCCATGGTTGCTTGCATTTGGTCTACTTTGTGGATTGTCGCTTGTATATGGTGGTATCGTTCTCTACTCTTGTTTCCCTCCGAGTTGATCCGAGTTGCTGCTATGGTGATTGTCCAAGAATTTCTGTCTCTTGTAATCAACAGATAAGTGGATATTGAATTGGGAGGAAGGAATACAGTATAGGCGTTGTCTTCGCTAAGTATCGTTCTTCAGAAGAGAGGAATGGTGGAGGGATATGAATAACGTTGTGCCCGATCACTAGTAGTCAAACGCATTCTCAAAAAGAGAAAAATATCCGGCGATTGGCTTGCCTCGTCTTGAATCAGATGGAACGAACTTAAAAATAACTCCTTCGAACGGTTCATGAAATATTACTAGTATTTAGGAACAATTATCGCCGATTATTGCTTATCTACCTATGTAACCATAATCGGCTCGCGGAAAGTATGAGCCTGCAGGCCATGCGAATCAGCACGACTGAGAGCAGAAATTTTAAAGAAGCTATCGAAAATAGAAAATAATTCTCTTCCAAACATATTTTTCATACCTATATTAGGTATGACAAACAAAACACAACAATTTCAAAACAACCATCAATGCCGATATTCTCAAAAAAATCAAAACGGCGCAATCACTCCACTACAAACAAAAGACAACATCATTGATTGGGTGATAGCGGAAGATTCCACGGGAGAATCGATGCGCCTATTTTCTATGTTCGTTCATGCCAGTAGCTGAGAGCAGGCGAGTCGCATCGATCGGTTTGGAACCGAGACTGAAAAAATATGGAGAACATGGCAACAACTACAACCCTCGATTCGAAACCAGCGACCCAAAGCCCTGATGTTCCGACCCAAATCACCGCATCGATTAGGGATTCACTCTCTTCTACAATGGATGGATGGTTCCACACCGCCTCCGATGAAGAATGTGAGGTCATGACGGCGAAACTATTGGACTACCGCTTCGAGGGAGAAGATTTTCGCACAGAGTGGTGGGGTCACGCAGAGGCTCTGGGCTTTGTAAGGGTTGATTATTACCACTATCGATTGCCACCGAGCCTGGGACGATTTTACAATGGTGAGGAAGAAGAAGAAACCGATGTCCATACGGCGCAATCCTTGTGCAGGAATCTCAACACGCTCGCGATTCCCCACGGCAAGAGTCCTCTGGATCGGATCGGTGAATCGGACCGCAAGTGCGGCCGAACCATCCTCGAGAGGGCCGTACTGAAAAATCGCCTGCGAAACACCGCTTTTGACAAGCAAGGCATTTTGGATCAATGGGCTACCCTCCGAGAGGAATTAGTGTTTCGGAAATTTCACGCGGCTGTCACGAAAGATTGCAAGAGCAATGAGCTCGAAGACCACACCAGACAGCAGAACGGAGGCAAGAGGGGAAGGGTTCGTAAAGCATCGCTGCCGCCAGGGCGCGCTGCTTCCGGAGAGAAACGAAAGTTATGGTCGTCATCTGACGCTGGTGCAGAATTGTTTTTTCGCAAAGGGAAGCGAACGAAAGCGACCAAGTCTTCGGGGAAGGTTTCCGGGGGGGGAAACGATGACAATCAAAACACCGAATCAGAGGAAGTGATCGACTACCCGACCACTGTACAATCTTACAGCGATTGTGCCCGAGATCACCGATTGGCTGAGGCTGCATCTGTTCGAGAGTCTAATATTGCTGATTCCTTGTTTGACAATTGGAAATTTCTCATTTCTACAAATCACTCGTTGCTCTTGTACGGTACCGGGTCCAAGAAGAATCTCTTGGAACGATTTGCAAACGACGATCTCGACGGAGACGTCATAGAAATAAACGGCTTCGATCCCAGCCTGACGGTCGATGGTTTGCTTCGGCTGCTCATCGATCACTGGCTTGGGGGCGAGGAACCCACCATTCGAAAAAACGATTTCTACCACGTGCACCACGAGACCAGCTGCGAAACCGACAAGAGCACTGCTGCGGCGCGCCGAATGCCCTTTTTCCCCCGGCGGGGGGATTTTCGCCTGCTGCAAACGGCCCGCGCAGTGGCCAAGAGGATTGCGGAAGAAGTGACCAAGACGGCGCGGCCCGTCACCCTCATCGTTCACAGCATGGACGCGGGAGGACTTGGCAGTGGCCTCGCACAGGAAGCACTGTCCGTGCTGGTATCCCAGAGCCGGACCGGGTGCGGCCTCAACGCCGTGCGGTTGGTAGCGAGCATCGATCACGTTCGCGGACAAATCGTGGTCGAGTCGCTGTCTCGCCACGGTCTGCACTGGTTGCAGATGGAGGTTCACACGCATCGCCCCTACGTGGACGAGGTGGTGCCGGAGCTCGCACTCTCGGAACGACAGTCGTCGGCGAAAAAGAGGGCCAGGGTGGCATCGAGCGCAAGGAGCGACAGAGATCTCCAACACGAGGGAATGAGCGAAGACGAATACCTAGCCTTGGAGCACGAATCTATATTCTCCGTGCTAAAATCGCTTTCGTCCACTCATTCCGAGTCGCTCCGACAACTGGCCTGGCTCCATCTGGAATCGGAGCAAGAGTGGATAAGCTACACCGATCTGCTGAAGCGATGCCGATCGGAACGCATCGTGCAGGCCGATCAACAACTGAGGCTCTACMTTGGTGAGCTACTAGACCACAGCATTCTAGAACGCAGCAAAAATAATGTGACCACATCCTATCGGATCCCATATCCGGAAGAAATCTTGTCCATGATCTGGAATTTCAAACGAGATTCATAACAATCCAAAAGCAAATGACAGCTTCAAGCCATGCAGAGAACTATCTAATTTTTGTGTGCAACTTGGCACACATCTGATTGGGGTTGGAAAGTGCCTGTTCGGAGAACACATCATCTATATACAATATGACTATTGAAACCACATGCTGCCTCCCCCCCCCTTTTGTTCTTTTGACGCATCTGCTTTTGGGGCATAGTTGTCCGATATCTTTCTGTAGGTTACTGGTGATTCAGCTGCTTTGTCCACTACTACTACTATCAGTAAGCGCGGTTCACTTAGTGATATACTCTGGAATCAGCAAGCATCATCGTCTGATGCTTTCTTGATTGAGCTAAGTCAAATAAAAATGGGTTCGATCGAACGTTGTTAGTCGTACCATATGGTTCAGAGGTACGGTATATATGGTATAAAGTTCAAGAAATGATTTAAGAACAAAACAAAAACTACGCTACCTGCGAGTTATCTACCGGCACGTTCAGATCCTCAGTCCGCGGTACGTCGCAGTTTGGTCAGACTGCAAATGCCGCCGTGACGTGATCGACCAGTCAACTTGTACTAGGAGTACCGTAGACAGAAAGGTATTTAAAAATGTCCAAGCTCATCAAAACTTCTGCATTTTGACAAATCCGTTTGACCCAGAAAGAAATCTATGGTGTATTAGGTTGGGAACAAATCCCAGGAGAAAGAGAGAGAACCAATCCAATCGATTCAATAGAGAAAATGACATCATTTTTGCCTATGGAAATCAAATCGAGCGTCGACGAAGCCTCGGACGCAAAACGGAGGAGGTTGCTGGGGCGGTATCGGTATCATTTCGGAGTCTTGGCCCTGGCCCTGTTCCTATTGCTCTTTGTAACATCGTCTAGCACTACAAAGAAAAGCAACGCCGTATGCCAGCAGCAATGTTCCGCCCGCCGCGACCAGAGGTACCAGCACTTCAAAGGGAAAGATATTCTGAACCCCAGGGACCTCTTGAAGCTGGTGTCCGACCAAAAGGACTCTCTTATCGAACAGCTGAAGGTTGACTACGGCGAGGAACACTTCACCAACATTTTTATGAACAAAGACGGTACTCCCCGCCCATTTGTGCCCGTTGGTGATGATTCCTCGGAGCTTCTCAAGCGAAAGCTCATGATCAAGGTCCTGTCGGCGATGAAGAATCTCCGACAAACGGAATCTTCCTTCCACGGGTGCGACTGCATCCACGGCGACGTTGGAATCGCTAGCCCACCGGCGGGGGTGGAGACCAAGCAGGCATCCGGCGATAACAACGCTACAAGTACCTTCGATTCATCGTTCGAGAAGTACGTTTGGGCCACGGGGGGACACTCGGCCTCGGCGGCCCACGGAAATCTGTACAATGAATCCTACACCGCGTTCATGGAACGGGATTTGAAGGACGTTTTTGGGTCGATCGGGATAGACTTTTACGGCCGAAAGTACGTTAGTATTTGAGCTCATCGAATGAATTGATGTGGTTTGTGTTTGGGCATCATGCGGATCCTCTTTTTGATTTATTAATAGCGCGTGCTTGTTGTTATTAACTAACGAAACAATTGTTGGGTCGATTGATTGCTCTGTCATGTGACTCTCTGTCGTATAGTTATGCGATGGGTGGCACGGGCTCGGCAATGGAGGTCTCTATGTGCTGGACCGAGATTTTTGGGGCGGACGTGGACTTTTTTTCTTGGGACTATGGCATGACGGACGCTGGCGAGCCCTACCGATTGATGCACTATGCCTACCGTGGCTCTGTTTCCCCGGGCCGGCCCGCCTTCATGGGCATCCGGGTCAACCTCGACCGGTACGAGCAGGATAAGCTCATCAAACACTTGGCCGAGAGCGGGATACCGGTGCACATCGAGGACAATCCCTCCTTTTCGAAGATGCGCAAGGGGATCCCGGATAGCTTTGGCCTCGACCAGGCCGCGTTAACTGCTATGCCCGAATACGTTAGGAACTTTCGGTGCCAGGACATGTATGAAAAAGGGGAGCCTTATTGCGAAACTGAAAAATACACCAAGGAGCTTTGTGAAGATCGGCGGGGGAAGGCACCTTGGCATCCAGGAATGTAAGTTACAGAAGAGCAACAATGCATTCTTGCGAAAGTTAGAAAATAGTTGAAAATGTATCCATCTCTTTATTTCACCGACCACCTGACCCTATAATTCATTCATTCCTATCCTTTCAGAAAGACGCATGCCATGGTTGGCCATGCTCTATCACTTTTCCTCATTGAGAACCTACAGTCGGCCCTGAAGGAGTTGATAAAAAACCAACCAGAGAGTGTCGAAATCCTGCTGTCTCGGCTTAAACAAGAAGAGGAAAACCTATTTGATACCAAGATTTCCAGGGCAAGTTTCGAAGATTATGCCAAAAAATTGTTCTATGCGAGAGACAAAGAGAACATCGAGAGCGTCGATCCAACCATTTTCTACACGGGAAACAGCATGTGTCACACCGCGCGGACCCCTGCCGAGACACGATACCTAGGCTATCTGACAAACACGGACAAAGTTGGTGGACCCGCGCCTATTGGTTCCGAGACCGTGAGTAACACCCGCTGGCGATTGGCAGCATTTACATTCCAGCAAAGACCTATTTCCTCACTTGTGTTTTGCCTCTATTTGCCTGTCGTTGCAGTACGACGTTGGCGTGGAAGATGTGGACGTGCCGCTCGATACTGAGGAAATGGTGCTCACTTGGCAACAGGACGAGAAGCGCCAGGCCGATTGCCCGGTGGCCGTGAGCATCGACTACAAGGATTCGTTCATGTCGCAGGGGGGCAACTGGAACACGCTGGTGTTCCCCAACGACGCCGAGCGAGCTGCCTACGGGTACGATCCTCAGCAACAGGTGAAAGGGTACGTCTTGGTAGCCTTCCGCACCTGCGACTGGGATCGGTGCGAAGAAAAGTTCGTAGGCCACAAGGAGTTCGATGCGGAGGGAACGAGCTGGGAGATGAAGGTAAATGGAGTGGCCGTAGAGAAACTGGTAGACGTCGGCCACAAGGTGCACCTGCTGAAGGGCACAAACGGGTTTGTATTCAAACCGACCGAGAACAACGATTACAAGTTCGAAATCAAGGTGAATATCCCCGGCAAGTACGTCAAGGTATCCTCTTTCATTGTAGTTTAAAAACGAGAAGATTCTAAGCCAGTCACAACAGACAAAAGTTCCCTTTGTGTGTACTAAACTAAGATAGAAATCGTGCGTAAACCGTGTAGTTTACATTTTTCTCTGGAAGTTCCCATCACAGCCCACCATATATATGTTTGTCGACCCTACATTTAAAGGCTTTTATTTCATAATTTAAGTACCGTTCATTTTTTTCATTTTCGTGGCCAATTTTTGAAAAATTGGATGGGATGAAAATCCCTGTGATGAGGATTTCAGACCAAGTTCCTTCGTAGTGCATTTCGAAAATGTTTGAATGTTTCACCAACGCTGAGGGACGATCATCTCAAATTGTTGTTCAACCCTCCAAACTTTCTGACACGCTTTCATTTTTAAAATCCCCTTCTTTCCTCACATTGTCAATCGTTGTTGCCTCTTTAAGCATTGTTCTAGCTTGAAGAAAGAATAGTAGTGGCAGACGCCATAGTAGCGTGCCCGCGTTAGGCATTAGAAGCAAAGAAAAACCTGAAGATTTTACCCACATATCTTGCTGTTTCTAGCTAAGGCTTTAGAAATATGTCTCAAGCTTGTGAGTACTGTATCCACTCTTTATCAAAGTGTTGCCCTTGCGATGACAAGGATACTGATCTTTTCATTAATCTGAATCTGATGTACTCCCTCAGTTGCCTCTCCACTGAGTCGTGCGCGTTCTTCAAAGTAAATTTGTTTCAGAGACCTTTGCCCGATACCGATGACTCCAACCGTTCGATGTGGTTCTCATGGTAGGCTTTGATGGCAGCTTCGGCCACTGTTTGGATCCCCACCCCTTCCTCTATAGCTATTTCCCGGCAGTGGTCGAATTCCGCCTTGGTTCGAACGACGCGGCCGTCCTTGAAGCTCGAGACCTTCACATCGACTCTTCCCTTCCTTACCGTGTTTGGAAACGGGGTTGCCACCGACACTACGGATCGCTTGAGCTTGGCCCGCTGTATCCCCCGTTGGATTCTCACCCCCAGGGTCGGAGTGTGGAGGAACATGAGCTCTAGGAGCTTGGTGATGGTGGGATTGTCTTCTCCGCCGTTGATGGTGTCCTTGCAAAGGCAGTGGAGCGTATGCGCCGGTCGGCCCTTTTTCATGACGATCGGTGCGATCCAGGCATCGATCGCTCCGTGATCTAGGAGCACCTCGATGGCAAAGGCGAGGCTCTCCCCGGTGGCGTCGTCGAGGTTGGTTTCGAGGTGTGCCACGCTGTCCGTCTCGAAAAGCGGTAGGGAGCCGCCGCTGCTTGTCGTTGCAAGGTTGGTGGGTGCCGACTCCATCGTGATGCGTTTGTGTTCGGCTGTGATAGGAAACTCTGCAACAATAGTGACATCCCACTATCCTTCCTGACAATTTTTGAAATCCACGAAGATACCAGGAGACACAACATCAGATGTAAATCCGGTACATAACGACCGTTCTGATAACGGCTAATCTTCCCGCATTCAAAAATAATTGTCAATGTACCTGTACTGTAGTATCGTACGACTTGTACTGTACCAACCGTCCGTTAGTACTGTACGAAACTTAGAACGCGTACGCATTATTCATATGTATCGTACATACTCGAAGTATTTACCATGCTCGTGGTCGTGTTTCGTGCTTCACGCTTCATGCTTCATGCAACCGTTCAGTCCGTAGTATGTACGTACAAGAGATATGCTTCGTGAAAAACACATCAACTTAACTACGCCCAAGTCTCTCACTCCCATCGGAACAAGCGCTCTCGAAAGAGAACAACTACCGAAGAAAGCAAACTACACGGCATTTGTCTTTTGACTCCATTGGAAAGGGCAGCAACACATGCAGTCGTCCGTGTTCCACAGAAACAAATCCGTTTTTCGATGGAAGCCTTGCTGATGATCTACTCTGGTCGTTAAATTCTATGCACTGCAACCATTTCGTTCGACACGGCAGATACTGCAAGATTCTCTCAGTAGAAGAAAGATCTCTGCAACCGGACGCTGTCGGAGTAAGCACCACACAACGACACAGCTCTGAAGTATGACCTTTCCTCCCGTCGTTCCAAACGGCTTTTTAGCTCTAACCGATTGCAATGTGTACCATGCCGTTGGGGACGACGGGGATTGCTGCGAGAGTGAAGACAGCAGGATTTCCTGGTTCGATGTCGATCTTCCTTTCTCGCGAATAGTGGACTCCGCGGACCAAAATAGTAGAGATCCCGATTTCAGGGGTGATGGTTGCGATGGTTTTTCTCCGTGCTCGTGTTGCTTCCTGGTGCTTGAGAAACAAAAGAAAACGTCCAGAGAACCAATGGAGCAGCAGCTACCGAACATGACACTGAAATCAACTGTCACGGGGGAAAAGCATCAACAATACACCGGCAACGACCAAAAGAACCAACAAAGCACCCATACTCAAGAATTTCCTCCGAGGTACGATGGTACCGTCCACGATATTAGTTGCAGCCTCTGTGGAGAGGGATTGTCGTCACAATCGAAACACAGCAAACGATCCGATGCTTCGCTCCTATTGGGATTGGCTCTGGCGTCACAGGATTACGGACACATTGTGGTTCAGTCCATCAAAGTGGGCATCTACTCCAGAAAATCGCAGACGAGTGAAACGGAGCACAGAGCCAATTACCAGCACCGTACCCATTACCGCAAGCGAAAGGCGCGCCTGCTGATCGCCTTTGCGTGCCAAGAACTCTTTGGGCATCATGCCAAGCAAAAGCACCGAACGTCCTTGAGTCCAAAACATTTGCAAACTAACCGGCGGCGATTTTTTGTCGATTCGAAAACCACAAAATCCTTACCCGCCGCTACGCAATTAGTACTTTCCATTATGAGCAGCGACTGGAGGGAATACGACAAGTTGTTACTCGATGATGGACTCTTAAACAGTACATCGTTGGTTCGGCGAAGGAAAGAACGAACACGAGCTCTTTCCTTCTTTCCATCCAGAATGAATCTTGAGGACGTCTTTTTGCGAATCGGCGGCGTCTCTTCGTCTCCCTCCTCTGCCCGGTGGTCGGCTCCGGCCGTTTCTCCCCGGCGGAGCAACGATCGGCAAACAGAAGGAGCGACGGCCAAACAGCTGCTGTTGAGCATGCCCAGCGATGTTCTCTGTCACCACATCGGTGGGTATCTACGCGCCAGATCGCTCGCTGCCCTCCGTGGCACCTGCTTGCACTTACACTGGACCCTCCGGGCGGTTGTCCCCGGCCTCCGATTGGATCTCTACTCGCACCAGATCGAGTCGCTGCAGTGGATGCGGGAGCGGGAAAGCAAGCCCATCACCGAGGACGATCTGCTGATGGAACACAGACCCCCTGCCAAAAGTATACAAACAGCACAACAACAACTATACTCCGACGACAATACCCCTCAGAAACCAGTAAGCAGCAACGAGGAACAAATACAAACAAAAAAACAAAAACAACCATTAGGAGGCTTAACAGCATCCCAATGGAGCGCCAGCAATCGCAGAACCAAATGGGACGGAGACGCCCATCGAGCGGCTACCGGGGGAGGCACAGTTGTCTTGTGTCCGAGGCTACAGCAGTTGCACGATCATGATTGTGCTGGAGATGGAGGAGCGATCCGTATCTCTCAGTCGGACTGTTGTGAGGTGGTCCATGGGGGCCAGGGACAGACGAGACTTGGCGGGGATCCATTGTCTCGAAAGGTGGCACGGGGTGGGCTGCTTTGCGATGATCCGGGACTCGGTACGTACATACAATATCTTCTGACTTTCTGGTTTCTACAAACTCCACAAATGAACCGAGACAAAAGATCTTCAGTTCCAATTGTTTTGTTTTTCCCGACTGGGCATCGATGACTGGTTATGATTCTGCTGATTCGTGGGGATTTCTTCTTATGTAAGCGCTTCTCGTACTGAATACACATAATGTGGAATACGGCATGATGTGATACTTCAAAAACATTTTAGGAAAGACAATAACAGTGATATCCCTAATATTGCAAACCATGGGCCTAACCACCGAAAAAGAAACTGGTCCTAACGACTGCAAACCAAAAATTGATTCAGCTCAGCAACAAGATACACAGACGATCTCAATCGATGATCAGTCGGCTTCAGTCGATGAATCAGATACCAAAACTTCTCCAGGAACTACTGCCCTTTCTCCCAGCGACGAGCGAATATTCGAGGAGTACTGGAACGAACAAATCATTCCCGAGTTTCGAGGTAGGGCTCTGACGAAATTGTTTTCCACGTTCTTGCGCAGCAGCAGCGAAGTCAATCTCTTTTTCGACCATTATTGGAGAAAGGCACTCCAACAAGTAGACACAAAGAATACATTGCCCCGCCCGCTTTCACTGAAAGAAATTCGACGTCGCATCGGTCGGTCTGTATACGATGCGGATTCGCTTCAGGCATTCGTTTCCGATGTGGAATCTTGTTTTGAAGCTGCGATAGTGTCATCCAGCGAAGCATCTGTCTCGACTGAAACTTCGAGCACAATTCGCGAAGCGGCCCTGCGATTGCTGACTGTGTTCCGAAGTCGAATCGTTGCATTCAAAACGAGCCAGGTGGAAGTTGCCACTAAGTCGTTCTCCCGGGCCTCCTCTAGGCCGGACTCGATTGTGGCAGTCTTGGTTCAAAAGACCAATTCCGAGAAACTCAAGAACGCGCTCTTGCCATCGTCAGCAACACTGCTCGTGGTTCCTGCCGTTCTTGTGGACCATTGGATGGTGGGTGTTTGTGTTGAATCATTGTTTCCATACCGTTTTTGTGGTCAAGAACTAACTTATTTTTGAATTCTTTCTTTCTCTTGACCCCAGGAGCAATTTAAACTCAATGTGGATATTTCCTACTGTACGGGGAAAATCCCATTGGTATTCAACTATACAGGCAGTAATAGTTCAGCGTTGAAGATAGAAGAAATTTTGTTGAAATGTCGAGACAAGAAAACCCATTTCCCTTTTATTTTCGTCGATAGAACGTCAACCAAAAAAATACCACCCCCATCCTTCATTGCATTGTTCAAGATTGTCATTACTACGAACAACCGTTTTTCTTCCGAATGGAAAAATGGTTCCTTTGAAGACGAGATGAGAAGAAATCATAGCAAAAGTACCAGAAACAGCGGAACCAGTAGATTTGCTGACTTCCGCGACGAGTTGGCGACTTCGGAGGAGGCGTGTCCTTTGCTCAAGGTGAATTGGCTTCGAATGATTGTGGATGAGGGCCATAGTATGGGCAGAGGCAGGGACAACTCTTCAATTTCTTTTGCATCATGGATCAATGCCGAGCGGCGATGGGCCATGACGGGCACACCCACTCCACAAACTTCCACGCAATCAGGGCTGACGAACGTTTTCAACCTTATGCAGTACCTACAGCACGAATTCTTCACCCGGAGACACGATGGAGATACCGTTTGGAATCAGTTGATCGTTCGAAGCTGGAACCGTGGGTTTTTATCATCGTTCTTCCGATTGCGTTCACTCCTGTCTTTGCTCATGATCCGACACGTCAAGAGCGATATCACGGAACTGCCTCTCCCGATATTCAAGATCAATACTCTTTCCATGGGATTCGAAGAGGTATCAACGTACAACACTTTGGTTTGTGCTATACAATCGAATCTCGTCATTACATCAATGAAAGGCAAGACTTCTGGTGCCCAGGACTCTCTTCTTCACAAGTCGCAAACAAAACACGCAAGAGAAGCGATCAGCAATCTTCGTCTAGTGTGTGCGGGTGGAACACAGGTACGCCCCACGCTCAGTGATGAATACCACACTGAATTTCACCAAGACTTTGAAAATTGTAACTCCGACCCAATTCAGCGAACAAAGATCCGAGAATTTATATCGAGGGCGACCACCGGTCGGCAATCAAAATGCGACTGTTGCTCTGTCATGCTTAGTACACTCTTGGTTTTTCCGTGTGGCCATCTCGTCTGCACGGAGTGCGTTGATAGCGACACGACTTCCTGCATCGTGTGCGACAAAGAATTCGACGTAGATGCGTTTCAGAGGTTGCAGCCCGGGTTCAAATACGACTGGCTGCATAACGTAGAAGAGGAAGCGAAAGAGCGGGCCAACTGCAGGATCGAACCAACGGCACAAGACGAAGGTGGCGCCTTGCCCCTGCCGGGGGGTCACGGTGTATTGATCCCAAGCAATCAACGCCAGCGGAGAGCTCGCACCCGTAAATTTGGTGACGGCCACACCTGTCAGTACGATCCAAAACGCTCCGATGGGAAATGCGTGCTCTGCTTTGCAGAACACGAACCCTGCTATTTGGTGGGAGAGCGGCGTTGCAGTGTGTGCTATCGATCGGCAGAAAACTGCCCAACAAGCGAGTCAAAGATCACGCACATTATCGAAAAGCTTCTGAACTTGTACCACCGTAAAGTAGAGGCCGAGAGATCTGCTGCGCACAGCGGAAGGAATCGAGTGTGGGGAGAAAAGTTTCCTCTAACTGGGGGAAGACGACCGCCCAAGGTGATTGTATTCTCCCAGTTTCGAAAGGTTCTGAATATTACCGGGGATAGACTGCTTCGGAGATTCGGTTCGGGCTGCATAGCCGAGTACTGGGGAAAATACCGAAAGAAGGAATTGCAGAAATTCGTCAGGGACGAGAAATGCCTGTGCATGCTTCTGGGCAAGGACGGGAGCGAGGGTCTGGACCTGAGTTTCGTTACCCACATTGTCTTTTTGGAGCAGGTCTGGGATAAATCGCTCGAGAATCAGGTCGTGGCACGTGCCTGGAGAATGGGAGCGAGGGGATCCGTAGAGGTCGAAACGCTGGTTGCCGAAAACTCCATCGAAGAAACCATGTTTCTCCTCGAGGGAAACCAGGACCACGATCCGGATGGCGATTCTTCGAGGGCCACCGGCGTCCTAAAGTTTCGGTCCACCGCCAAGGACCAAAAGAACTCGGAATACCAGCAAGCGAAGGTGCACTACTTGCTGAATAGTTTGAAGCTCATTGCGGATAATACCACAGTTGTTGGTATTGGCGGTGGCAGTAACGATGATGACAGTCACAAAGAGACCACGGGATCACCGGGGCCCGACACGGGTAAGAAAAGACAACTCTCTGATACGGGTGGGCCGCAAAAAGGAGAGCAAACAAAGAGACACCGTGTTTCGTTTCAGGTGTAAGACAAAGAATGGGAACGAAAAAGATTCGGACATAGCACGACGATTCCCTGTCGTTTCACGAAAGAGCGCACATTTGAAAGCAAGTCGTGTCTACGAATGCTGGGCTTGATTCCTTCGAAATGCAGGTCACGAAACGACTTCAATCTACTATCCCAGAGGTACCAAAGAGACGCAAAACACAGAGGAATACTATTGTATGAAATTGGAATAGTTGAGCCTCTTTGTGATTCATTATTTTATGTACCTATCAAGATATAAAAGATTGTCAATTGGTCGTAATAACCTAAAAATTTTCATATTCTAGAAGTATTAACCTTCATCAACTTAGCAATGGACGACGGATCCATTGAGTCCAGTCCAAAAATAAATCCACCAATGAGAACACCAACGTTTGTGAAATTTAGAGGTTAAAAGATTTAGACAGTCCTTCCGTGGATCCAACTGAAGGCTACCTCGGGATCCTCTTCGTTGACTTTCTTCTTTCTATTCATCGATCGCTCAGCCAACTTCTGGTATCGTTGGGGAAGATTGCAGAGGTACTCGCGCTCCTTCTCGGCTTCGGCAGAAAGACCTTCGAGGTTCTCGAGATCCCATCGCTTCACCAAGTGTCCAATAATCTGGGCGTAATCGATGGCCGTGTATACACCCAACTTCTGTGCAACGGCGGAAAAGTTCTCGTACAGGTTGGAATCGACACCATCCGTCATGAGCTCAGCAGGCATGACAATTTGGCCGCGCATCATGTCTCCAAAGGTCATGATAAGACCATCGGGATCACGCTTAAGAATCTCTTCGCTAAATGTCTGGTAGGCCTTCTCGTGACGGGCTTCGTCACCGGCAATCTTGGCGCAGATTCTGCGAAGGTTGCTATCCCCAGAGTCTCCTGCCAATCGACCAACGTTCGAGTGAGAAACTTTGGTTGCTCGCTCCTGGAAAGATGTGTAGACAAAACCTCTGTATGGATCCTTCTGTGCATCGGGATTGAATCCACTAGTAATCAAGTGCTGGATGGTGACCTCGATGGCACGCATGTCGCACTTTCCGCTAAGGTAGAGATATTTGTTGAGAAGATCTCCGTGGCGGTTCTCTTCCGAGGTCCATCCACGGCTCCACTTCGCCCACGGCGTATCGGAATCTCCAGTGGGATCATCGCAACCCTCGAAGGTGTTGAGCAGTGTCTGGTAGGTGGGAAGGGCCTCTTCCGTCACCATGTCTCCGACAAGGACTACCATTACTTCGTCCGGAAGTTCCTGCGCCATCTCTCTCAATTCCTTGACCTCCTCTTCCCAGCCGTCCTTGGCAAGGTCGGGGAGGAAGTCCTGGGGCTGCCACGATGCTTCACCAGTTTCCAAGAGCTGTTTGTACGAATATTACATTATGCATTTGAGTGCAACAGAAAAAGATTCAAGTGGCAGAGAAATGACAAACAATGACGGAAACAGATCGATCAGAAAAAAAATCGGCACCACAAAATTCCCTGACACCCGTTGACATCCCTTGACACCAGCGCCATGGCAGTGTTCTTCATTAGTTCTTTCCCACTTACGATCTCGTCAACCATCGCATTGGCAATGGGTCCAATATCCTCGATGACTTCAACGTGTTTGGGGTACAAAAACTCGTTTGTCTGAAGTCTCTTGTACATAGCATCCTTTTCAAAGTCAGCTCCGACGATATCGTCGAGCTCCTTTTTGGTTACCGTGGAGGGGTCTACGGCAACGTTCAACCGGGTTTGCGAAAGCGTTGCCCGGTGAAAGGATTGCTGGGACTGGAAGGCGAAGATCTTCGCGACAGTGCAGAGTCCCAAAAGGATTCGCATGAAGTAGCTCGAGTCGTATTGTTGAGCCATTGTAATTAGATTAAATATTGATACTACACAGATATGATTACACTTTTCGATACGTTTTTTGTGGTTTGGTGGTTGCCGACGAGCACTATAATACGAGTCGTAAATATTCCTTGGGAACCAAAAACTGTTCGGGTCGAAGGTCGAAACACAGAAAGATAGAGAAAAGGTTCGGGAGGAAAGCTCGCTGTTTTTTGAATGAGTTTGAACATCATCATCACCAAATTCAATTTTCGAACGCAACGATGATGGATTTTCGATTTCCGAGTTTCGTCACGTTTTACGGCAGAACCGTACGGTACAATGCGTCCCTACAGTATACCAGTACGGGACAATGATTTTCCTTGGTTCCAAACCGAAAAAAATAGATTCACTCCTTGAAACAACGGTACAATGCCGTTGCTTTGAAGTAGGAACGAGTCACGTGTTTAGAAAAAGACAAAATCATAGCCCGAAATTGTACTGGAAAAAAATACGATCCCTTGTGATTGATTGGAAAGCAATTGTGATTGAACAGGGACAAGATCAACACTTATAATTTTTTGTGTGACGTCGCCTACTACCTACACGTATTTACACGCACGAACCAAATGAGCCAATCTCACCTGGTTCCGTGGAAGGCGGGAACGCGTGCATGCACCGATGACTTCATGTCTTTGACACGTCAATCAATGAGGATGGGTCGAAGGAGTCGTATTTCAAAATGGCAGTTTCCGACCCCTTCCTAGCATTTCCCCCCAAAGCACGGGCGACAAAACCCGTTTTCGGGGGTCGGACCGGACCGGGCATGAACTGTTACGAACCACCCCACACCGTAGCAAATTCTCTCCCAAGCGAAAATTCGAAACCGCAACGCAGAAGGAAACCAAATCGGAGAACGAAGCGAATGCAAAAAGCGCGGGCAGCTGTGGAGAAGTACAGGAAATGCTGCAACGAGATGATCCGTTACAGAATACAAGATGTATAAAATAGAAAAAATATAATTCAGCAATGAAGGAGATTTAAGTTCAATCGAAGCAAGGATCGACAAGCTACTCAATAAATACGTTGCACAAAACGAAGGCACGGCACCATGTTGAGTCTTTGTTTTTCGTTCCGACAGAGGCAACGGCGGAACCGACGTAAGTTCCGCAATCCATTGGGGGCTGTTCTTGGGGTTCTAGTCTATGCAGTGGTCAATATTCTTTGCAAAATGCAGACCGTGGCCTTTGTCGAGGTAGCATTGTCTTCCGGCCGGGGCCGGAAGAATACTCCACTCGGACGAACGGAGGTTTGCAACAAGAACGACTCTGGCAGAGCCAGTGAAATGTATTCAAGCACGAGTTCCACCGAGCAAGCAATTGCGAAATCCAATGCTCCGCGGCGCTTGACTACCGACAATGGCAATATCAAATCGGAAAGAAACAATTATAATGACAATGGCAAGAAGTACGAAAGAAGTCCAAAAGAAATGAATAATCGGCAGCGTCGCCGCAACCAACACCACACGACTAGTGGCACTCGTAGCTCAGAATGCCAACGGATCACAAAAGAATTGGATGCGATTCGGTCCCCACCTGGAATAAAAGATTGGATTACAGACACAATATGGCAACATCAGCAAAATAGCACTCTGCAGTCGCCGTCGCCCTGGGCAGGGTGGAACGTTCACGAACAGGTAAGCTTCGTGAAGTACCTGCGGCAGAGGAATGCTTATGCTTCCATCGTGCCCTTTCTCTCCGGCTTAGATCCGAATCCCTCAGACAGAGAAATGGACAAAGATAATTCACTTCGCCCAGGGAAATCGAGCAGAACGCAAAATCATCTCGTCAAGGTATATACGACGGCGTTGTTTGCCCTCTCTGCTTGTACAGATTCGGGCCAACAAGATTGGAACCATGGGCTGGATACGAAACCAATGGTGCTTGAAATTCTTGATCAAATGGATCGGAATCACATTCCAGCCACAACATTGACGTATGTAGCGATATTCAAAAATCTGCAGGGTCGTCCAGCGGATGTGGCCCAAATGATTCGATTCTTGGAACAACGAGAACGTAATCTCGCGCCGAAGGCTAAGAACCCCGGGAAACTTTGGGATGCCGAAGTCTACCACGCTGCTATTTATGCCTGTCGGAGCCATAGTAATCGCTTTCGCCGAACGAGTCGAAGTAGCGACAACGGATATGGCAGCCGCAATGAGTCCATGAATCCCAATTTCGACAACAAAGATTGGCAGACTGCAATTGCCTTGATGCAGCAGATGCAAAGCAAGGGTGTTTCCCCAACGTCGCAAACATACCTTGCAGTCCTCGAGGTTTTTGGTCAGCACCCGAGCAAGATGGCCGTGATGAAGTCGATTATTCAGCAGTGGAAAAACTCCAAGGCCGCCGGTGTCTGCAACAACGAAGAAGATGATCGGATCTGGGCTACCGCGCTCAACGCATGTGCCGTTGCGGGCGATTATTGCCAAGCGCTAAAGTTTATTGAGGAAATGATGTCCGAGGGGTGCGCTCCTAATCTTCGTCACTGCACGGCTCTCCTGAAAGCCATTTCCGGAGCCAAGGGGTACCCTCAGGACCAGCTCGCTATGACTGCACTGAATGCAATGATGGGGAACGAGACCGCGGCGCTCGAAACACAAGATGGTGACAACGGCAAAGACTACCGTGTACTGCTGCCTTGTACCGATCTGGACATAGTCGCACTAAATACCGTCCTGTCGATTGTAGTCAAGGCAGGGAACTTTGAAGACGCAATGGTGCTCTTCAATCGCATCAAGAGGGGAAAATTCCGAAATGCCGCTGGAGGCATGATTACCCCCGACCGCATTACGTATCACAACCTATTAGCTGGCTCAAGCGATCCCGAAACTGCGAAGCGGATAGTCAAGGAAATGCGGTTGTCGAGAAGAAACCGCAACGGTGCCATTCCACCAACCAGCGTAACGTATGCGCACGCCATAAGCACCTGCCAACGAGCCAAAACGCCAGACCTCTCGACCGTCAACCAGCTGATGAAATGGGCCAGCGAGGACGGTGTAAAGCACACGGTGTTCATGTACGCTTCCGCGATCTGGACTGCCCAGCGCTGTGGTGACCTCTCCCGATGCCTGGAACTCTACGAAGAAATGGAACGAACAGGATGCAGAGCGAACTCCGTGGTTATGAACGGAATTCTGACCGCGCTCTGCGATCGTGGTGCCAACGCAAGTGCGTTGAATGCATTCCATCTGATGAAGGATCGAGGCTTTCAGGTTTCACCCATTGCTCTGAAGCGGTTGGTCTTTCTTACAATACAGTCCAAAAAGAATCAGTTGACGGAAAAGGAAAAAGAAGCAACTCTCTCGGCGATACTGGATCGCCTCGATCCACAGGAACGAACCGTAAAGATTAGCAGTCCCGTCTTCGAAGCCTTGATTTGCATCCATGCATCCAGGGGCGACATCGACCAAGCCCTGTCCGTGGCTGACAAAATAAACGGGACTTTCGATGCGGCCTGTCTCCGAGCAATCCTCCTTGCGTATTCCACGGGTCCAAAATCGTTATGGTCGGACGCCGTTGAACTGCTTCATACAACAATTATTGAAGAATCACCGGCACCCGGAAAGGTAGACCAGATTGCGCTGAGCCACACTCTTACAACTTGTAGCAGAGCAAACGAGTTTGAAGAGAGTTTATCGCTGCTGAGTCTCTACGGGATTCCAGTCAACGAATTGCCTGATGGGTTCCCACACCTGTCCATTGTAGCCCTGAATGCTTTGATAGCCGCCTGTGGTCGCTGTGGACGCCCCGATCTTAGTATATTCGTTTTGAATGAGATATCATCGCGATATGGTTTGCGCCCAGACAGTCGGAGCTACAGAAGCGCAATGATTGCCTGTAACAAGGCACAGCATGCGGAGAAAGCTAGGAATTCAAACAACTCACAGGAAACCACGAACGACGAAATGGATGGCGAGTACGCTCTTCAATGGTGGGAGTGTTCTCTTGCACTTTACAGGAGGATGACCGAAGAGGGATTGAAACCAGACGTACAAACCCATTCTTCGATCATCTCAAGTTGTGAGGCCGCTGGCGAATGGCAGCGGGCGCTCTGGGTACTACAATCCATAATCGACAAATCTGCGGACGAACCGGACGATGCAACCCCTTCTCTGAACGTATATTGTTGGAATGCAGCTCTGAGTGCCTGTGAAAAGGGAGGTGCTTGGGTCGAAGCCCTCGATCTTTACGAGCGGATGCTCGAATCTCCTTTCCAACCTAATGTCGTGACCATCAATTCTATGATGGAAGCGCTCGACAAAGCCGACCAGAAAGAGCTCGCACAGAGCATCTACGACGAGGGACTGGAACTCGGCATTCTCCATCCATGGAAGGAGACGACCGACAAGGATGGCACCCCCATCATGGCCCTCGATCTGCACAACTTTTCGGAATCCATGGCGAGGGCAGCCGTTCGCAAAACCATGGACAACTGGCTGGACGAGAAGGACGAAACGGGTGGCGGTCTGAGCGGCGATTTTGTGATCATTACGGGGAAGGGAAAGCACAGCGCGTCCCACCCAGTTCTTCAGAGAGTTACGAAGCAAGTGTTTCGGGAGGAGTACGGGATCGAGGCAGCCGTAGACAAATCCAATAGCGGACGCCTCGTTATTTCCACGGGGGATCTTCTGGAGTTGTATTCCGGCAAGTCCTGGAGATAGCAGCGGCGTGTCATGCACTTTGTCCTTTTAAGGTACAAGTTATAGCAATAATTTATCTTGACATTCTACTTAAAACTCGGAAAAATCATTTTGTTAACAACTACAAGCACGTACGTACTCGTACTGCAGTTCGGACAGCAATATCCCAAATCCCAAAAACTATCTTCAAAATTATTCGAAAGTACACTCTTACTGTATGAACCTACGGTATTCTATGCATGAATATTACTATGGGAGAAAATAAACACTGATATCGTACCCAAATTGCTCGCTCCCTCCGAAGTGAAGATCCCCTTGATTGAATCCCCTTGATTGAAAAAGTCTGATGAAATCCTAGCCATCAGCGTTTGACTCGGCCACATTCAATTTTAAAAACAAGCACCTAAATAAGAACTGCGTGTGATTGCTGTGATAATTCGACAAATACTAGCTTGTAGTATTGGTTGTCGTTTTTCAACATATACGCTGTAGGTTGGTGGTGAGGATAGATCAAACAGCACATACTGTTGCTTCCCGTAGAATGGGTCGTCTATCGAGGGACAAGCGGGATGTATTCTATCGACGAGCAAAGGAAAAGGGTTACCGAGCTCGATCGGCATTCAAACTGCTTCAGCTTGATTCCGAGTTCAATCTGTTCGATGGGGTAACGCGGGCTGTCGATCTCTGTGCGGCCCCTGGATCATGGAGCCAGGTGCTGTCCGACAAGCTAGTGGTTTCCAAGCGAAATTCAGCGCCCGACGAAACCAAGACTGAAGAAACCTCCAACGCAACGATTGTGGCCGTGGACCTCCAGCCAATGGCTCCGATCGACGGCGTTCTTTGCATTCAGGGGGACATTACGAGCTATGAAACCGCGCAGGCGATCCTCAAGCCTTTTGGCTGCGGGAGCGAGGGCGGTACCAAGGACGGAGGCGAAACCCGTGCCGAACTAGTGATCTGCGATGGTGCCCCCGACGTGACGGGATTGCACGACCTCGACGAATACCTCCAGGCGCAGTTGCTGATCAGCGCGGTCAAGATTACAACTCATGTATTGGTGGACGGTGGTATGTTCCTTTGGCGTTCGCATGGCGTCGAATTTCTCGTATCGTTTCTTTTCATCCTGTAGCATTATCAAGTCCACTTACACATGTGTTGTGCGTTTCGGAATGTGCTTTCAGGAACCTTTGTCGCTAAAATCTTTCGGGGCCGCCATGCAAGCCAATTGTATTCTCAGTTGCGTCTCTTGTTTGATCGTGTGAGCATTGCAAAGCCCACCAGTTCGAGAAATTCCTCTCTGGAGTCGTTCGTGGTGTGCCAGCAATTCAACAAGCGCGGGTCTGCCGACCTGCGAAACCTATCGCTGGACCGAGACACGGTTCTGGACGTGGTGGAAGGATCTCCCTCGTTGCCAAAGTGCATACCACCCTTTCTGACCTGTGGCGATCTGAGCGGGTGGGGCGAAGCGCCCGGGACCATTATGGATGCGGACAAGAGCTATCCCATGGAAGAAGAGGACTACGTGCAGCCGATTCATCCACCCATTGCACCACCGCATATGCAAGCGATCGAAGAAAAAGAGATACAACGCCAGAAACAGGGATAGACGAATTTATCATCCAATTCTTTGTCCGGGATCTAACCTGGGATTACGAAAGATGCAGTGCCGCTTCATCGAACGGTTCGGGGGCAACTCGTGAGGTAAATAATTGCTATGAATTTGAATCCCAAGGTGTTGAGGAATAATGCTCATGTTGCACCGCGCAATCGACTGCAAAGAGGAAGACCTTCCCCATGGTTCTCCTCTTTGTCTTAACAGTCTGTCCGCCGCTAGAACGACGAAGTCACTTTGCCCTTGATCCGACAAATATTGCCACGCCGGATCAAGCTTTACTGTGAATCGACATTTTTGCTCATTTATGGATCGATCAACAGATCGATCGGGAATACGAGAATAAAACTTCACTGACAATTCCCTTTCTCTCTTTACATTCGTATGGATTCCAGATGCTACACGGTACGGCAACTACCACTCATGAAATTTGGTACAAAAGATCGGAGTAAATTAATGCCATTGTCAGATTTCAATTCTTTTCTCTGCAAGCTTTTGAGATCCACTACGCACTCCGTTTCATTTTGCAACAAGGCTTAGGAACCGCGAGTCGCACCAAAAAGAAGGAAACAATTTATACGACCATCTTAAAAGCTACGAAGTAGCACAAAATTCAGTCCGGTACGGACGTCCCTTCGGAAGTTGGCAACTGGCTCAGACTAGCAATGCACACTTCCAAACATGAATCACAATTGTTGAGTAATAGCTTGTTGAGAAGTGCACAGATTAATTTGCCCGATTATCTTGTTTTGCTACGTATTCTCTATAGAGCCGAACCAATAGCTTAGCGCCGTCCGAAACATCGTGCAGGTCCATGTCCGCAAAGCACAGCCTCGCGGAGCTCTCGCACAGGTCTTTCGGTTGTCCGCTCTGCTGGAAACCGTCCACCACCGGGTCGCACCTCACACCGGGCATAAACCTTAGGCCGTGGCGGAGACAGTGCGACGCAAAGGCCGAGGAGGGTGGCTCCCCGGCACCGGTTTCGTCCTCGGTGCGGGGCAGGTCTAGAAAGTCCACCCACACAAAGTATCCCCCCGCGGGACGGCAGGCGATCCGAATGTCTGGCTCGGAGTCCAGGACGTCGCAGAGCGTCTCGCACCGTTCTTGGTACGATGCGTTCAATCCGGCCAGGATCCTGTCCTGCAGGCCCCCCTCGAGTGCCGTCCGCAATACGTTGCCGACGAAGGGGGCGCAGCCCCCCTGGCTCTGGATGTATCCCAGGTCGGCGATGGAGTCGATGATCTCGGTCGGTCCCTCGATCCAGCCACAGCGGACCCCTGGGGTGAAAATTTTCGTAAAGGAGCTCACCGACACCGAGCATCCCATCGTCTTTCGGTTTATCTTTTTAGCGCCATCGCTTGCCGGTAAAAGCGATGGCTGCGACGATGCCAAACGGTCCAGTACAGAGAACCGCGACGGTCGCGTTCGCCTGTCTTCCCTCCAGTCCAACAGATGGTAGACCTCGTCGGCGGCTACCAGAATCCCAAACTCTCTCGCCAACCGGCACAGCCTCCACCGATCGTCCAGCGGCATCGTGATCCCGGTCGGATTTTGGTGGGTCGGGACCACGTAGATCATGCGGGGCACGCCGATGCTTCCTTCGCGCAACCCGCGTTCCAGTGCGCCCACGTCCACCACAGGCGCGCCGCCCCGTTGCTTCATGGGGAGGCTCTTGACCTCGAGGCCGTGCGACCGAAAAATGCCCGCCGCCAAGAAATAGCAGGGCCGCTCGACCAGGACCACGTCCCCCTCCGTGGTCTGGGCCGTGCAAAGCATGTCCAGGCCGTGGCTGACGCCGTGGGTAAGAAACATATCCATGTCTTCGTCTCGTTGTTCCTCGGCATGGTTTTCCAGCGGCAATTCGTCGTCGAGGGTGTGCCTCCGCAAAAAGAGCGATAGTTCCTTCAACAGAAAGGGATCGCCCCGGTCGGATTTGAGGTACTGGAGGGAAGTTGTGAGGCGTTCTTGGTTCTCCCGAGACGCCATAGTTTGCAATATTTCTTGCATCTCTCTCGCCGGCAGAAGACCCGTGTTTGGATGGCCCCGCCAAAAGTTGTACACCACACCGGTCCTCCGTTGGGTGCTGGGAGAAGAGGAAGCCGACATGCCGATTTTGGACGACGAAAGCGACGACGACGACGCTGCTGCTGTAGCTGGGACTGGGCCTACAAAACGGGACKGTGATATGTGCACACCCCTGAACAAGGCATAGAATGAAAGGCGATGGAATTGCAATGAGCGCATCGGCAATCGCATGAAGTCGTATCTTTTTCAGGCTGTGTGCACCGATGTTTTCTGATGCTCTGAAGAAAAACGTACAGTACAGAAACATCATCCAGGCACAAACCGAATGCGAGTGCCACAAAAACCTACGAGGGCCACAGTATTTTATGTACGAGAGCTCGTGAAAAATTTCTAGATGTAGTTACGTGTAGAAGTACTACGTACGATTACTACTACGAGAGGACCAAAACGGGGATCTTTTTGTTTCTTTAAATCCAGGACCCGGAGTTGTCGCTTGGGAACGCCATATTAGTTTTCATAGATACTAAACATGAGTAAGAGAAAGATACTAATTGCGTGGTATTTGAGTCTGTGTTAGTCTCCACACAAAGATATGTTCCTCACCTATTTTGAGAAAGTAAATACAAGCAATGCGAAGGAAAACGTTTCAATACAAACGCCCTCATACCTACTTTCTTATTTCCAACGTCTCAGCACCAACGTCAGAATGAAAACTAACTAAAAGGGGGACGTAAAGTTGTAAAACTAGGGCACACTTTCGAAAAACGTTCGTATGCAATACCGCAGGGCCAAAACTCCGGACGCGAAAGAGCTATTGGAACAGGGTCCCTTGGCTCTTGCTTCACTCCTCGGCATCCTGCAGCCCCCGCAAAAACGCTCCGATCAGGTCCTTCGCGGTGCGATCGAGGGACGACCATTCGGATCCTCCGTGGGAAGGAGTTGGGTTCGGAAGCCGGGGTTCCTCCCCGCTGTCCTCGCCGGTGCCCCCCACAAAATCCCCGGGAGACAGGGACCCCCATTCCCATCCCTCCCGGATAAAGGCCCGGCGGCGAAAGTCGACCCCCAGGCGCTCGGCAAACTCCGAAGCGGTGCGAACCGTGCCGAGGCCGTGCGTCGTCGTCGTCGTTGTTCCGGTCGGCGGGCTTTCGCCCCCGAGCAGCTGCCGCTGTACGGCCGCCAGGGACCGGTCCCGGAGCTCCCGCCGGAGGGGGTCGGTGGTTCCCGCCGGAGGCGGCGGGCGGTGGGCCCGGCTCCAGAGGTGGTAGCAAGCGCTCTCGGCGGGGGCGAACAGGTCGTACCCGTGGGTGAAGAGCCTCACCGCCATGCTCGGTTCCTCCCCGAAAAACAGGTGGTGCAGCCCGTTCGTGTCGTAGGGAACCTCGCGGACGACCCTCCCGGGCCCAAAGTTGAAGCCGCCGGCGTAGAGGTACTGGCGGTGGGCGACCACCCGTGCGCTGGTTGGGTCTGGGGCAGCGACCGGGTCCCGGCGGAGGAGCCTCCCCCTCTGCCGCAGCATGCCGTTGGTGTCGAACTTCCACGGCACCAGGTACGTCCCCCGTGTCTCGCTGGGAACCTCGTTGGGGAGCGTGTAGCCCACCGGATAGGCCGTCAGAAGGATCTTGTCGGCCTGCGCCGCTTCGTTAACGTCGGCAGCGGCCACGAGCCGCCGTGCCCGCAGGTCAACGATCGTTCGCACCAGGTAGTCGTCCCAGTGGTCCCGGAAGCGCATGTGGGAATCGATCTGCAGAACATAGTCTTCTCCCCGGTACAGGCTCTGGCAGAGCCCCCTTGCGTAGCACGGACCGGTGGCATCCCGGGCGTGCATGCGCATCGCACGGATCTGGTGCGGCTCGGGAGCGAGGGGCTCGGGGGACTGGGAAAAGCGAACGATGCTCTCCCAGATGGCCTCGTCGTATGCCTCCCCGTCCACCAGCTGCGCGACGATCCCTACCACGATGCGGTGCGGGTGTTTTGCCCTGGAAAACAGGGCTTGGAGGGTGGGACGCGTTTCCGAGTCCCGGAAACTGGCGATCGAGACAAAAATGCTCGGTGGCGTTGAAACCGCAGCAGAAGAATCGTTGGCCTCGTCTCCGTTGCGTTTCATCGCAGCCGCAGCCTCGATCGCTGGCGTCATTGATGGGGGCCTTGCAACGCTGCTTTCGGCAACCCCGGCAGGAGCGGCGGGACCGCTATCGTTTCTCAAAGTCGGCGGGGACGGATCTGTTCCCAGGGCGAGGGTCCCATAGAACCATATCGTAATGGCCAATCGGGACCGTCGGTGGCTCGGCAGAACCTGGTGCTCCACCCGATCGGATCGAAAGACAACCATCCGGTCTCGATGGGGCACCACATCGACATAGCGTCCGTTTCCGGAGGGACAAAACATGCGAAGGGCACCTCCGTCCAGCTCCCCGTCCCAGTCTTCGTCGGTGAGGTAGTAGATCGCGGTAAGGAGACGCAACGCTGGTGGTTCGATGTTCTTGCTGCTGCTGCTGCTGCTGCTGCTTCGTTTGTTGCTTGTGGCTCCCATTGGTAACTCGTGGTGACAAGACTTTTCTCGATCACAGTGCCGAGGGTATCCGCTTTTCGAATCCCCCGGGTACTCTGCCACCTGGACAGACGTCTTCGACAAATCCAATCGAATCGAATGGCCGCGGTTGCCGTTGTCACCCGCCGTGCCGTATTTGATGCCACCCTTGTTCGTGCTATCGCCGCCGTTGTTGCCGCCGTGGAATTCGTTTTCGAACGTGTTCGAAACCGCCTGGATGAGCCGGTGCAGGTGCGGGCGAAGGGTGGCAAAGGAGGGTCGTTGTCGTTGCTCCCTAGAAACGAAGGTGCTCCTGTCCCCGCGCACCGAGGAGACCGGAGGATCTGCCTCTCTTGGGTCGGAAAGAGGCACTTTCCCGTGGCCCACCGATCGCAGGAGCTCGAACAACTCGTCCCCCATGGCGTCCCCGGCGGTCCGAGCGGGCGCCAGTCGTTCCAGGAAGACACCGAGTTCCTCGGTGAGGCGATCCGCGTCGAAAAGCCCGGGGTGTGTGGCTCGTTCCTCCGGCTCGACGCCGCTGGACTGCGACCCGCTCACGTTGTCCAAAAGCACAAACCACGGAGGGGACGATCCGTTCACGTCGTCGCGTTCGTCATCGTTTTTGTTTTCGTTCTGGTTCTCACAAGACAACAGGCGATCGGTGAGATCCCTGGTCCAGCACGACAATGCCGGTAGACGACGGCGATCGTCCGTCCCGTTGTGGTGTCTTTGTTCTCCCGCAACGGTTGCATCGTCCACGGTCATGGTTCAGCGGCGGTGGTTGCTGCCATGGCCAGCACGGTGCTAGGCACGGAGCTATCTGTTGTGTATTGTTGTGATGTTACACGCAGAGAAGTGAAACAAAAATAATGGAACGCTGGAAAGGTGACGCCAAAATTTAGCGCGAAAGAAAACAACCAATAACAGAGCGTTCGTACTGCAGTACGTACGGGTAGGGTACAACTCTAATCCAATCCAGTAGAGGATCAAAATTACAAATCACTCTGTTGTCGCTTTGACGGATAGCGACTAGTGACAGATGAAATATTATCTTAATAATAGTTTAGAGTTACATAGATGTCGGTGTCACTTTCCTCGGTACTATTTCTACCTTGGAAGGATACGTGCATTCTATTATGTTGAAAGTCGCCTAGGTAGTAAGTTTATCTTTGGAATGGCTTGAATCCAATCTGGTTTCTTACGTGCACAAAAATGGCACTTTGCAATCATACTAATTGCAAATTTGATGTGAATGCGTCCATATTGGGAAAGAAAAACAATGTGTGCATTGTTGTAGACAGCCATCCAAAGTCTATCGTCGAATCATGGCTTTATTTGCTGACGAAAGTGCCTCCCTCCCCGGATCCGGACCCTTCTGCACCACCCGCAAGCACTTCTTTGAGAAGAGCGTGTGGGACTCGGCCATCGGTGATAAATGCACCACCTACTCCCAATTCAATGGCACTCGTGGCGTACTATGGACGGAGTAAACGCAATTAGCAATGTAAGAAAGAAAAAGTGAGAAATTGAAATTCGATGCGTGCCATTCTCGAGGAATCCTAAGAATTCCAATGCAACAAAACGTACGGAAACCTTGGGGATCATTCCACCGGTGATTGTTTCGTCCTCGATCAGGGATTCCACGTCGGCGCAGCTCAGCGAGGGCAGCAGCTTCATTTCCTTGTCCAACACCCCGGCAATGTCGGTCAAGAACAGGGCCCGGGCAGCGCGCAACTCCCCGGCGATTCTTCCGGCCGCCACGTCCGCGTTCACGTTGTAGGCAATGTCTTTTTCGTCGCCAATCCCGGTTCCGATGGGGGACACCACGGGGCAGATTCCCATGTCGAGCAGGTCGTTCAAGAGTTTGGTATTGACGCTTTCTACCTCTCCGACAAAACCCAGGTCGTAGCCGTCTTTGTTGGTTTTTTTCACGCATTGCAGCAGCGAGTCGTCCCGGCCCGACAGTCCGATGGCCCTGCCGCCGGCACTGCATATCGTCGAAGAAATTTCCTTGTTGACGCTTCCGCAGAGGACCATTTCGGCCACGTCGACGACCTCCTTGGACGACACCCGCATGCCGCCTTCGAACCGCGACTCGACCCCTACCTGTTCCAGCATGGCATTGATTTGTGGCCCTCCCCCGTGAACGACGAGGATTCGCACACCCAGGTTTTGCAGGGTAACAACATCCTGGCAGAACCCGGCCTTGAGCTCTGGCGATGTCATGGCATTCTAGAAAAGAGTGAAAAAAAAAAAAAAAAAATCGATGTTAAAACCTCGCAAGGATGGGCGAAACAGCATTGCAGTGATGCATAGGAATTTCTTCCTAGGTTCGCGTTATATAGAACATGGGAAAATCATGCCCTCATGATGTGCACGCAAAGCTATCTTCGATGCCAATAAAATCCGACTCGACTCGACTCGACGCGATTTCATTCGCTTTAACGCAGGTGAAAAAACGCCTCAAAAAACATACCCCTCCGTACTTCACAACAACGGTCTGGCCCCTGAGCGATCTAGCGGCATCGGCAATGGTCTCGGCGACCTCCGAAAAGTTTTCGGGTGCCGCCGAAACCGATGTTTTCGAGACCGCGCCGGGTGCACGGGGAGCCAGGGCCGACGACGGGAAGGCGAAACCCGATGCTACCGATGCGGTCGATGCCGCGACGATGAGGACTGATGCAAGCGATTTCATGTTCGTTCGTTTGTGTGTTTTCTTCGTTTGATTTGGTGTGGTTTGGCTCGGTTTTGGCTTCCGGAGGGAACTTGGCTCTTCGCAGCAGCTTCGATCGTTCACGCCTTCGCAAGGCGTCAGCTAACGGATACCGGCACAAATTCAAGATGTGATCGACGGATCGGATCACAAAACCGACGAAACTGCACGAAGTTTTGTCCTTACTGTAAGAGTACGTACGTACGTACGCAACGGTACATTCTCGAAACTGCACTCAACCATATCCACGAATCACATTCGATCTGGGATTGAGGAACAGCTGCTGTTTGATTTTAACATCATATCCTTCTTATCATATGAAAGTACTTCCAGTCTCAGGTTTTCTTCTATTAGTTTGCGTCTGTCTATCGTTCCCTAGAAGGAGGACCAGTCATCTGTGAACTGTGTTTTCAATCTGTTTTGCCCCACAGTTGTGAATGGTAGGATCCTGTACCATACCATAGTAATATCTCTACCCCGTGTTTTGATAGTTTCGAGAAATCGAATCGACTTACTGATTCTTCCGAAACGAAGCAGTAGTACAGCAATCGTTATACTCTGGTTTGGGTCTAAGTTGATAGAAGAGCAACTCGATCACAAGCATCAGCAGCGATAAGCAGAACCCAGGCTTGTAGCACTGAATCAATTGAATTCAACCAATCCGCTTAATTTGCTCAATTCACCATGGCTAAAAAAGGCAAGAGCCCATCAAAAAAGCAATCGCGGAAGACCGGCAAGGACTCCGCCGAAAAGAAGAAGGGAGTCGATGTGGACAAGATTACCTGGGATGACATTGCAGCCATGTCGGACTCCGACGACGATGCCGGTGGCGAGAAAGCGATTGAGCTGAGCAAAAAGGCGAAAGATCTCCGCCAGAACATTGCAAACAACCTCAGCGGCCTCTTGGCGTCAATAAATCAGAAAGACGGGGACGACGAAGAAGAGTTTGAAGAAGCCGTACTCGACGAGTCTTCCGATGAAGAAGACGATGCACAGTCAGAKGACGGAAATGACGAGGACGAAGGTCAGGGCGGCATGGAAGAAGAGGAAGAAGAAGAAGAGGAAGAAGATAGTGACAACAACGAATCGTTCATAGACAAGATCAAAATCAAAAGCAACGATGCCGAGGATGACGGTGACGATAGCGACAGCGAGTCTAGCGATGATGAGATGGATGAAGAAACGAAGAAGAAGCAGGAAAAGTATGCCAGACTCGAGAACAACAACAACATCAATTCAAAGGCTCTTTCGGTTGTTGCCGCCGAGCTAAATTCCGTTCACTCCAAGATGCCCTGGGCGGAAACTTTTGTCATCGTGCCACCGACCCCACTTCCCTTTGGAGAAAACGGAGATCCAGAAAGCAATCCACTAGATATTCACGATGATTTAAAGAGGGAAGTAGCATTCTACAACACTGCTCTCGAGGCCGTCAATCTGGCCCGACCGAAATGTCAGGAAGCGGGCATTCCTTTCACCAGAGAAGGCGACTTTTTTGCAGAAATGGTCAAGACCGATGGTAAGTGCGATGCGATGTAAAGCCCCAAAGAGAGGCCGTGTAGGAAATGCATGCGAACCAATTTCCTTTCCTTCAAGTTTCATACCGTTCGCTTACAGAACAAAAAATGCGTCTCTTGTGGTTTTCTTGCTTGCTGGCTTGCTTTCATCCTCTTTATCCATTTTTCTCGCACAGATCACATGGCGAATGTGAAGGACCGTCTCATATTCGAAAACAAGAAGATCGAGGCCGTGGCGCAGCGCAAGTCGAACAAGGAGCAAAAACTACGCGCCAAGGAGTCGCAGGCCAACCGCTTGGCCGAGAAGGCGAAACGAAAGAGGGACCACTTCCGGGACGTGGAGGACTGGGCGAACTCGGCCGCAAAGAACCGTGGCGGCGGCCTCCGGGACGATGTGGACGACCACTTTTTGAACAACCGGTACGACGGTTCCGGCCCCAGCAAGAAGCGCCAGAACGCCGACAAGAAATACGGGTACGGTGGAAAGAGGGGGCGCTTCAAGCAGAACGATCGCAAATCCATGAACGACATGTCCGGATACAACCCGCGTGGCAACTTTGCCGGAGGAATGAAGAAGACCGGCTCGGGGGCAAACAGAGCCGGAAAGAGGGCCCGAGACGCGAAGCGATCGAGGCGCTAGAAAAGAGCACGCACCGAACAGCGACGAATGTGCTGTGTACAAAAAGTAGTAATGATGATGATAAAACAATCGAGTTTTCAGTTACATCATTCTATAGGAATGTGAATGAATCATTAGTATTCAACAAGTTGTATAATACTCTTACCGCGCGATGCATATAGTAGACGTCGGTCCACTTCAAGTCTTGGGAACACTACGTTCGTACCGTATGGCGGTGGCATTTTCTATCCATTCCGTATTTTGTACTGTATGACTAAATTCATCGAGAGCCAGCGGATGAAAAAATACAAGCATGGGTTCGTCTTCTAAGTGCACTCTACCAGTGCGGTCTGCTTTAGATCATCTTCGTATGTGACAAAGAAGAAGGATTTGTAACTTCATAAAGTTTAATTTTACTTGCCCAGATACTTTATTTCTAAATGCAGTGCACAGGAGGGCACGCAGTTTCGAACGACCAGGGAAAACAACACGAGTACCATGAATCACAAATATTAGCCGAACACAAAAGACGAGGTTGATTGACAAGGGACACAACTCGTTTCTTTCGTGATTTTCAATAGTTTATTGATTGATTGTGTGTTGTCCTTAGGAACAACAGTTTATTGACATTATTTTATCGCTCCGCTCCCAAACAAAAATAAAACACACGGACGGGCTACCGTATTATTGTATTTCTTCTATTCCAATTGCGTTCTCTTGCTTACTTTCGCTTTACCAAAGTGGCAGAGAGCCAGTCAAGACCCTCGTACAGACCGTCTCCAGTAGTGGCACAGCATGCCTGGATGTACCATTGACGATAGGACGGGCGAAGACCGTGCAATCCGAGCTTGTCGGTCATTTCTGCCGCACTCATGGCATTTGGCAAATCCTGTTTGTTGGCAAAGACGAGAAGGACAGCGTCTCTCAATTCATCCTCGTTCAACATTCGGTGCAACTCGTCTCGGGCGGCATCGATACGATCGGCATCATTAGAATCCACGACGAAAATCAAGCCCTGCGTGTTTTGGTAGTAGTGACGCCACAATGGACGGATCTTATCTTGACCACCCACATCCCACACTGTGAATGAAATGTTCTTGTATTCAACGGTTTCAACATTGAATCCTATTGGTATGATAGTAGGCGAGACGAAAATTAGAAACTGAATATCGCAAACAAATCTGAAGTCCATCGGACAATGACCAATCTTCTGATTCACGACTTACCGATGGTTGGAATAGTAGTGACAACTGCAGTGAAGAAGATAACGAGGTTTTAACATAAGACAGTGAGTTACAATTCGATCCAATCTATCTACGACTCGCAATGAGTGAGGCGAACACGAGATCCAACAAATTTATAAACTAACCTTCTCCGAGCTTCAATTTGTAAAGGATGGTGGTTTTACCGGCGGCATCAAGACCGACCATGAGAATTCTCATCTCCTTCTTGCCGAACTACATTGTGAAGAATAGAGCACAGTATAAAAAGGCATTATCCATGTGAGATAAAACTGTATATGATGCACTATCGCCGTCGTGAAATGACCGTTGAAAATGTTACGTAGAAAAAGTACTGGGTGTGTCGTAGAACCCATGTGACTCAAAAATTCAGACCAACCGCCCTTTCGTTGTTGTCCATGGCGTTCCAGACCAACCCTTCGCCATTGCGCAACTCCATTGTCTGATGCTTACCAGGCCTTCGAAAAGCTTAGAAAATGTCAAACCCATCTTGTATTAATTTATTGTTGTCGTTTCCTAGAGGTTTTATTCGGTCTGCTGAAGTATTCACTATGACTTCGAATTGTAGTAAATGAGGCTAGAGGTGAAATTTAATTCATGGATGAACCGAACGAGTGAAGTGCAGTAAGTACCTACAGTAAGACTCGCCGCAGGTTTGTGGCGCATCGATCGCATGTCGCCACCGATTTTCATATTTTTAAATTCCAATGGACATAGCTGTACCCTTCAGTACCAGAGCACTCTTCCGGTAGCGTAGCGAGTGTTCTATTCTAAATCTAGTCTCTCACGCGCACGAGCTGAGTAGTGCAGACTTCGTGTTGCAACGCTTGCGGGATCCGTGCCGACAAAATTCTCGTCATTTATTTATTTCGTCAAAATGACCAATGGAATGACTCGAGCGATTGTTTTTCGTTTCACTTGTTTGTTCCTAACGGATAAATGCCGTTGGTGCTGCTACGTATGAAACCGTAATACGGTAGGCGTAGAGCGGGAAGATTAGATTTGTTTTCCTGTAAAATACTCGTACTCTAGAACTGTATTAGTTTTTTCTTATCTTCCTAATTTCATTTGGGGGGCATCAATTTCATAGTGTGATCCATCCTCCTTTTCATATTAGTTACGGATTTCAAAAGTGGGAACATCACAGCACGTCCATCCACGGACGATCGATCGTTTCTTGGCAGAAGAGTATCGTCCCTTGCGAGTACGAGCAATGTATCGTAGAGTTCTACTGTATTCTCCGTAACAAGGGTACGTACGGTACGATCCGGGGGAAAAATAACAGAAACGACAGTAATGGTTCTCCTCACCTTGAGATCACACATCGAACGGGAACATTCATCTATCTGCAGGATACCGTGATTTCAATCATCCTGTACAAAGCTGCTTCTCACTCCGATTGATCGACATTCTCATGCTGTAGCTCAATAAGTAGCAAACAAGAAAGGCAATCCTCTATCCCAGCACGAAAAACAGACAACAAACACCATGAAGCGAAAGTACTCAGACGAATCAATACTGACCCCATTTCAACGCGACATGAGGTCCCAACGCCAGCAAGCACTCGAAGGGATCCGAGATGCGTTCCAAAGAATTTCACCAAGGGAAGCTGTCACAAAAGAGGACGCTATCCGAGTATCCGATGCGGTGAGTTACTGCAACAGTTTGGTAAAGAACAGAGTGGACACGAGATGGTCCAAGGAAGAAGACACGGGAGAGGTCGTTGCCATGGGCACGGAAGACAACGGCGCATGTGGCTTGTTAGAGGATCCAGATGGAGCGCGGCTCTTTGGTAAGCTATGAATTTGAAACAAAGTTTTTCAAGCGCGTATGATACAATTATCTTCTATTATCCGCATCCCCCTCTCCCGTTTTGGTCTAACACTGTTTGATTCGATGCGATTCGTCACTCCACAACAGAGTACGAACCAACGCTTCTTCCAGAAAGCAAAGTTGTTTTCGAAGGGGACAAAGCTGTCACAGCAGTTGCTGCTGGAGGATTGCATTCTGCTTGTCTTGCTCGTAATGGTGAAGTCTACACGTGGGGCACAAATGACGAGATGGCTCTTGGTCGAGGAAATCTCGACGACGCTGATTTGCTTTCGATCAAGCCAATGGTAGGTATCAAAGATGCAATCCAGATCAGCGCTGGAGACAATCACACAGTTGTTTTGGACTGCCATGGAAAAGTTCACACTGCAGGCGTTTATAAGGACTCTGATTCTGGCTTGTTCAAAGAGCTTACCAGTCCGAATGATCTCAAAATACACGTCCAAAAGCACAAGCATCACGAATTCCCGGTGCAGGTCTTGGGTCTGGGAAAGATCGTGATGGTTGACGCCGGTCATTCTTGGAATGCTGCGCTTGACGAAAATGGCGACTTGTACACTTGGGGTATGGGTCACAGCGGCGAACTAGCCAGAAGCAAAAGCATGTAAGTGATTAACATCCTGAGCGTACCATTGCTTTATTTGGATAAAGGATACTATTTTAACTTTGCCTTTCACCATCTCACGCATTTCGAATGGAATTCCATCTCCACAGGGGAGCAACAACGACCGAAGCCTCATACATTGATTCAGATGGGAAGGATAAAGGAAAGTACGAAAAGTATGACGTGTCGAAGAATTTTATCGGGGAGGTTAGACAGAGACCAGAACTGGATTCTGATGGACAACCCAAACGGGATGAAGACACTGGAAAAATCATCATGGCGGACTATTGGCAATATCATCTTGACAAAATTCGGGATAAATTTTTGACACCCGCACCTGTTGAATGGATTGGAGGGTTGAAGAAAAAAGTCGAGCACTTTTCTTGCGGAATGATCCACCTTTTGGTCGTTGCTCGGGATCCTGGTTCACTTGAAACACGGGTCTTTGGTTCAGGAAACAGTGGCTTTGGCCAACTGGGTCATGGAGATACGAAGGAACTCCACCAATTGACCCCGATCAAAGCCCTAGACAACAAAAAAATTTGCAAAGTAGCAGCTGGTTGCTACCATAATTTGGCGTTGTCCAGGGACGGCGTCAATCTATTTGCCTGGGGAAAGCTGGATGAAGGCGCTACTGGTTTGTACAACCAAGAGAAAACCGAAAGCTATACAAGTGGCGACTTCGAAGGTACACCTAAACAGGTTGCTTTTCCGGACACACTAGGAAATTCTGTTATCGTTGACATCGCTGCTGGTACGTACCGTACGATTCAAGTTTCTTACCTCGTGCTGTTGCGCTTTTGGGGGAGATTATGGGCCTATCACGATTGGATTTTCTCATGTATTTTTCTTCTTGCCGTTGATCACAACTCAATATTTGTGAAAAGGCGATACTACAAGCTTCGCTATCACAGATGGCGGTGATGTATATTCCTGGGGTTACAACGAAAATTCCCAAACCGGTCACTATAGTGTTGCACCCGGTATTATATCTCAACCTCGACTGTTGGATGTTATTGGATCTGTGAATACAAGCATCGAAAAGTCAAAAAAGACGCCCATTGCCAAAAAATGTCGTGTGACTCGTGTTTCTGGTGGAGGGCAGCATTCCTTGATGGTCATCAAGCGCTATCGGTAGGTTTTCGACAGCAAATAGTTGTATATGGTATCAAGTTTCGGTACGGACTTGCGGTGATCTACTTGTACTACTCGCTTTAGAGGCCACAAATGATTATGGAACTAAAACACCTGATTGGTCGGAAGCTAACGATTCGAGTACCCAACTCGATCGCATGTAACAGGATTTGAAACGGACGAGTGCCGACCACTATTCTACTCACATTTTGTCAAACAGCTATCCTTCAACGCCTAGTAAAATGACACAGTCTAGTTTTTGGTCCTTTCATAATTATAGTAGTACGCTTAGAAAATTGCAGCAGGCTAAATAATCTTCGGGAACACGGGTTCCATACTAGGATATCACCAAATACATGGTCTATAATTTTTTCCACGTCTACCGCATCGAGTAAGCATCTATGGTAGTAGGTATATTTTTAGATTCGATTCGTGTCGGTCGGTGTCAATTCAATTGCAAAAATGAAAACCGGAAGAAAATCCTTCGTAGGCCCTTGTAGGCATTTATTTCAGGTTTTGAACCGAAAGGCCAATGAAGGTCCGCAACTGTACCGTGCCATGGACAATATGGTGGCATCCGCACTACCAACCTTTCTTGAATTATCTGAATCGCAAACAATGATTCATCAGCGAGCCTTCTGACGGAAAGGGACAAACGGACCGGTCAACTGGACTAAAATCCGCTCACTTGATGAGGCATTCTGCTTCGAGATCTTGCGCAATCGATTCAATGTGGAGCCTCTGGCGTTCCTCCCTGTCTTGTCGGTCCGACAGCGCCACAAAGGGTTCCACCACGTGGCCCTCAGCATCCAGGTGTAGCTTGTTGACGAGCTCTTCGTAGCACGCAAAAGTTAGGTAGCGCTGCTTTCGCTGGTACATCCGGTGCTCGAGCTCGTCTCTCATCCTCACCAGCAAGAGCATGTTGCCGTACTCCGGGGACTGCATCTTTTCGTGGAGCTTGAACCAGAGCTGCCGTGTCTCGAGGACGAACTTGCGGTTGAGGTTTTTTGGAAAGGGAGATTCGTTGTTGGGGACCTCTGCCTCGACGTTTTTGCCGTCGTCCTCGGCCTCGCCCGTGTTTTCAGCCGTGGAGCCCTTGGCGCTACCGGACGCACCGATCGCCTCGGTGGAAGTTGCTATTTCCAGGGCCTTGGCAATATTGTACAGAATGATTCGCTGCCAGTTGCGATTGGTTTTGTCGCGTTTGTTCTGAATGTCCTGCAGCCGCTCCAGGTCACCCAGATACACACCATTGAAGCCATGCTTGATGTCGGTACCCCATGTGTACCTGGACCGAGGTAACGATAGTAATTGTGACGAGTAGAAACGGAGAAGAAACAGCAACGCAAATGAGATCCATGTGCGATGCATTGGATTCGTCGTTCTTCGCAAAAAGAAAGGGACACACACCAAGCATTCGAGCAATCCATCACTCACCCTTTCGGTTCCACCATAAATCGGAATTCAAGTTCGGAGACGGGACATACGGGCTGCAGGTCCTTATCGAGTCGATACAGGAGAGGTATACCCGTCGGGATCGACATTCCCTTGATGTCCTCGTCGCTGATTCCGTCGATATTTTTTATGAGCGTTCGGATGGTATTGGCATGCGAGACGATCAGGCATTTGTTTCCCGATCGAAGGGACGGAGCAATGACCGAGTTGTAAAATGGCATGATGCGGTCCGCCGCGTCCTTGAGCGATTCGGTGCGGCTCGACTCGAGTTGCTCCTTGGAGAGCTTTCGATACCGCCGGTAGTTGCCGTGCCAATACGGATGGTCGTCCTCCATCCTGGGTGGCCGAACATCGTAGGACCGTCGCATCTGCATCACGAGTTCTTGGTCCAGTCCCAGTTCTTTATAGGCTCCATCTTTGTGGTATCCTTGGAGACTGGAAAAGAATAGTTAAAATAAGGAACGGGACAGGACAACGTGGATTTTTTTCCGACAAATGAGTTGCGTCTCGCACGATGCATCTTTCACAGAAGTTCCTGGTATTCCACAACGAAAACAATTGCACCAGAATGCTCCAGGAGTATAGTCGAACAAGCAGGGTAACAAAACACGCATCACATCCATTTCCGTGCCCCTTTCACCCGAAACGAAACCACAAAACTCAATCACAACAACAACTACTACAACAGACTATGCGAACTTACGCTCCATAGTGACGCTCGTTCAATCGCCACGATTTCGTGACCGGGACCCAGTGCTGGTTGGCATGGTTCAGGGCCATGTTGCAGGAGAACGAGGCCCGCTTGAGAACCGAGGTGAAGGCCTGGTCGATCTCGATGCCGTTCTCAAAGAGCAGCCTGCCGGCCGCCCGGGCCTCCAGCTCCCCCTCGTCCGTGAGGTTCACGTCGCACCACCCCGTGTACTGGTTTAGCTTGTTCCACTCCGATTCGCCATGCCGCAGAAGGACCAGCGTGTGGACGCTGTCCTCCCCGAAATTGGCGAGCTCGAACGGGGGCGGAGCCGGGTCCAGCGGGGTCCCTCCGCTGATAATGTGGCTGATCATGGAATCCTGGTTGTTGTTGCTCTTGTCTTTGTTTCTGCTCCGCATGTGTGGCCCCTTTCCCCGCAATCGCTTGCTCCGGGACGACCGCCCGATCACCACCGGGCCGCCCGTTTTCTTCGAGCCGCTCTTGCTGCTGCTGCTATTGTTGTCGTCGCCCTTGTTCCCGATCTGAAAGTGCCGAACGGCGGTCCTAGTGTACGCATTCGTATTCGCATTTGCATTTGTACTCGTCGTCCCCGCGGGATTTCCTGCTCCTCCCTGCAATCGGAATAGATTAGACATGCGGGCAGAACTCCTCTTCGTGCTTGCACGGGTTGCAACAGCAGCTGTTGCGGCGTTGGGAAACAAACGGATCATGGCGGAGAGCCGTAATATTGTTTGCTTCGTGCTTTGCTGCTCGGCGTCTCAATGCACAACCGTTCTTGCAATTCCTCGGATCGCGTGGGAGTGGGTGGGTGGATCTCGGTCGATCGCTAGTGTCGTCTTCGTTGCGATGGTTACGGGGTGTGTGCCTTCCGATGGTAATCTGTTCGAAGATCGAAACGACTGTAAGGTCTGAGAATCGAAGGTATCGTCATGTACCGTACAGATGTAACTTCGTACTTGGAATGATACGAGTAGTCGTACTTTAACTGTCGTACGAAAAAGGTAGAACGGAAAGGTTAAAAGCAATAGTATTAATCCTACGTACAATGCTACGAGACTACAACTCTTTTTCTTTCGAACACTCACCGATCGATGTTTTTTTGATCGATCGATGATGGATGGAACTAAACTCCGGATTCCATTACGGTAGAAAAGCAGGTAGAAGATACGTATCATGCCGTATGTTCAGTTCGCTACGGTGCGATTGTGTGCGTGCGTGTTTATTATTTTGTCGCAATGTAAGAAAACAACGCGGCGGATCGCCTTTCATACCGAACTGTAATCTACTACAGTACGTAGGTACTGCTGGTACAACTACGCTACGAAACCCGCAGGCAGGAAGGGAGGCAACAATAAATTGGTTGGGGTGCGCAACCCTGGAAAAATTATTCATCGTGTGTTGTGGCAGGAAACTCAAAATTCTCACCTCGCGTGTTACAGTATTTTTCCCATCCTTTCGTGAACCCATTAGAACTACCTATGCACACAAAAACGAGAACGCCACGTTGGTACGTATGATATACTTCATGCATAGTACTGATGAATATGATACATAAGAATGGATAGCCGAAATGTTCTACGGTGCAGTAGCAACCTAACCAATCAGGGCCGGGCTACAACACTACCAAACCTTAACCAGGACTCTGTGCTTGTGCATTGGATTGTGAGGTTACGATACGCACAACTCTGCCCAGTTGCATCTCTATTGTTATTGCTTTTTATTCTTCTTGACAACAGCATTACTATTAATTCGCTCTACAACCGTGCAGGAAGATACCAACTGGAACGACGATATAATGACGATGCTACTACATTCGATTCCTTCCACCCATCCCACATATTTGTTCGTTTTCTTACACACGACTCGGTGCTTTTATTGATTCAGAATCAAATCCAGTCCCCCTCCTTGAGTTTCCTTGGCAGGTACTCTTCCGTAATGTACTGAAACCCGAAGGAAGACAGGGCCTGGATCTCGGCCTTCTTCTTGGTCTTGACCATGATTTCCAGTTCCTTCATCCACATTGGATTCTTCTGGATAAAGTCTTCCGTCATGAGTTCCTTCCCCGTCTTGATATCGCTCTCGGTCATGTCCAGTCGGCACTGGTCTGGGAGGTCGTACTTGTCCAGGTCCGAGGGCCGCAGCCCCAGCCACATAATGTTGGGCGTCGTCAGAGAGGCGCTGTCGTAGCTCATGTTTTTGCTCCCCGACATGTAGACGGACAGAATTTTTAGGCCGTACGGATCCGAGTCCACCAGCCCCAGGACGGGAATCTTGAGTTCGTGGGTGATCCGGGACAGGAACATCCGGGAGGCTACGTCGGGCTGACCCTTCGCCGTGATCACGATGCAGGGGTATTTGTGGTAGAACCGATCTTCCTGTTTCAGTACACAACAAGAAGCGAGCAATTGGTGTTTGTTGTTGTTGTTGTTGCGTGTTTTTGTTCCGTTTTCAAGCGGGTATGGCACATCGATAGTTCAATTGGCAAGAAATGCGCGGTTGTGAGATGGGAAACGAACAAACAATTTTTCGATGGAACAAACGAGGTCCATCTCCCACACAATTCCCCCCCGCCCCATAAAAACACTGCGACGGGGCGGAATCGAATCGCTCGGATGCAACACAAGGCCAAGCAACGCAATAGAAAACGCACCGCCATTCGCATGTAGGCAGCCTCCTTCTCCACGAGCAGTATAAATTCGGCATCGCTCTCGATGTTCTCGATCTTGTCGATGTACGGCGGGATGGCCTTCCCGCCCACCCCCATCTTGGTGCAGTCGATAAAGTCCCCGTCTTCCTCGAATTGGATGCGCCCGACCACCAGCCCCTTGTCGCTGGCCACCACGTGCAGGTTCGACCGCGTGCACCCGATCATGGTGGCCACGTCGTCCAGGACCCCGTCCGACTCGGCCTGGTCGACAAAGAGCTTGACGTCCGTGTAAAAAAGATCACGCTTGGTGATGTGGATCCGCTTGACCAGGACGGCGTGCAGGAGCTGCATCACCCTGAGCGTGATCGCCGACTTGCGTGACTCGCGGACGTTCGTAAAGCTCCGGCCGATGCGCTTCCCCCCCAGCACGATGCGGTCCCATTCCCTCACGTAGATCTGGTTCGAGGCGGACCGGCTCGGTATTTCCAGGGAGAAGCCCTTCTTGGCCAGGACCTGTCTCGTTATCCGGAGGGCCACCCCCTCGATGCCCTCCAGGACCTCGGTGGCGGAGAGCTCGGCGACCTCCACAATGTCGCTCGGGATGTTTTGGTCGCCGTTGTTGCTGCCGACGGCATCGGGGACGCTGTCATCGAAAGAAGTCGGATCCGATCCGTCGTTTTCCTCGGATTTTCGGCGCATTCTCGACTTGAGGGCTCGGCACTTGGCCAGGACCAGATCGGAATCGGCCGCGAGCTTCACGGGTTCGCGTTTTCGGCGTTTCCCGGCGTTTCTGCTTCCGGTGGTGGCAGACGTGACGGGCGTGGGTGTGGAGGGAACCGAAGTCGCCGCCGACGCCTTTCGCGGTTTTCTCCTGGTCGACATGGCACCGCGTTTTGTGCGTTGTTGGCTGCGAAGAAGTGGTACGCCGTGCTAGTCCGGGCGTTGTGTTGTATTGCGTTGTGTTCGTGACACTCGGATCGATGGGAGGCAAGGCTGACACTCGATGAAATGATCATCAAAATGATTTCGGAATCGCGGCCCGCGAAACTCGCGAGTCGCCATGCACATGAACGATGAGCAGATGATCAGGGACTTCCAGAAAAGTACAGTAGTAAGGTACTGTAAAATAAGGTACTCGTACTAGTAGGACGTACACGTAGTACGAGAAGCTTACGTCGCACCGCGTGGTGATCGGGACTCAAAAAAACAGTCACGCAAAGACACAATTCAAAAAACATTCTTCATTCTTCCATCCATCATCCATTCGACGCCGTAATTTGAAAAAGACGCGGTGTCACGCAGTTCACTACTGCTAAAACTTAGCCATGAGACTGCCGAGGCACATGTGTTTTTCCAACTGAATTTGAAAAATTATAAATTATTCCTTCGAAAGCTCCTTTTGCGCATATCTCTATTCACTTCACCGTTCGATCGCAATCGTGCTTCGGTAGCCTTGGGTCGGGAGGAGCTCACCACCATCGGATTGAGCATCGTCAAACGCCTTACGTGATACCAACCACCACAGCCAACATCAAACCAACAATCATGGAGGACCGCCGCCCTCTCACGGCGATCAGCTCGAAAGAGGACTACGGGAGCGGCGCAAGGGCGGATACCGACGTCGAATCGGCGTCGTCGGGATCCTATTCCGCCGCCGCCTCTCCGTATTGGACGGGGCCAGCCCAAAGCGCGGCAAAGAGGGGCAAGTCAGAAGGATTTTCTCCGCTGGTGGCCTTTTGCTTCACGATCAACTATATTCTGGGGGCCGGATTTCTGACCATTCCGTGGGCCTTTGTTCAGAGTGGGCTACTGTTGTCCTCCGTCATGCTGCTCGTTTCGGCCGTCGGATCGGACATTGCCAAGAACTAGTACGTTCGCTTTTCTGTTGCCATCACACTGCAACTCGTTGAGTTGATTTTTGAGCAACCACACACACCAGCAGCATTTTGTTTTTGCCGATATGAGTATGGTGCTCGCGCTGGAAAAAAATCTGTTTTGTATTCTTCCGCTGACCTGTGTATTTTGTATGTTTTATCTAATGCTCTCTCCGGTAAATGATTGCCATTATGCTAGCATGTTGGAAACAATGTCCCGGGCGGAGGCCATGCTGGACAACAAAATGCACTGGAAAAAGCACGAAGCGAAAAGGGGAGGGGCCGACGACAGCACACCAAGGGTTCTGTTGCGGCCCCCTGCAAAGATTGAACGAGAGCGCTTGCTCCAACAGCAATCACCAAAACCAACCCATACACAAAAACAAAGTGGTGACAAAGAAGTACCGGTCCACAAATCTTTGTCGTTTCAATCCTTGCAGGATGCCTTTTCCAAGGCGAAGCTTACGCCGGGACAGGAGAATCGCCATAGGCACGTCGTCGTACTCAAGCCCAAAAAGTACATTGTCAAGGATCGAAAGTTCGAGGCAAACGCTCTCTGCCGCGTGTTTTTGGGGAAGCGCGGATTGCATGCGTTCACCTTCGTGCTCTCCCTTTACATGCTGGGAACCTTGTGGGCCTATACGAGCGTCTTCTCGTCGGCCGTGGCACGGGCATTTCCCGTTTTTTCTTCGGGAACCAGCGACGATCCACACCAACTCATCGGTGTTTTCGGTCTGATAGTGACAACAACGGCTTCGGCCGAATCTCTGAATTACTTGTGTTTTGCCATACTTTTCGGCTGCATTGTTGTTCCGCTATCTTGTCTGGAGCTGGACGAGCAGGTTCCGTTGCAGGTTTTTTTGACGGGATGCCGATTCCTCATGTTTTTCCTAATGATCGGGACATCCGGAATGTGTGCGGAGGACGTATCGGCAATAAGGGCACATTCGGGGGCAATGACTGACGAAAGCAGTGATACCAGCAACGAGGTCGACAGCGTCCGATGGGCTGGCATTGCCAACACGCTTCCTATATTGATCTTTGCCAACATATTTCATCACTCCATTCCGGGATTGGCCCATCCCGCCGCCGACAAGCGTTCGATTGGCCACGTGTTTACCGCCACAAACGTGTTCACGGTGACGGCTTATCTCGTGTTGGGATTGTCCCTGGGCTCGGCCTTTGGAAAGGGGATCGAGCAGTCCTCCAATCTCAACTGGAGCTACTTCCATGCCAACACAGGACACCTTGATGACCAGGGCAACGTTGTTGGTGCCGCATGGTGGACCCGTGCCGTGTCGATGTACATTATGCTGTTCCCGGCCATCGACGTGGTCAGTGCCTACCCTCTGAACGCCATCACTCTCGGAAACAACCTGCTGGGTGCCGTCTACGGCAAGCGCATACACGAGGTAGAAGGCCAGCGGTGGCTCCGAACGGGGTTTCGGTGTTTGGCCAGCATTCCGCCCATACTGTTTGGTATTTTGGTGCGAAACCTTGGCGTCATTACCGATTACACGGGAACCACCGGATTCCTGATTGGCATTTCCTTCCCCGCAATTCTTTACGTATCCAGCCGAAGGATCGCGGAGCGCCGGCAGTTTGCTGCCGACACCTTTTACAGCGGCTACGGCTCTAGCATTTCGATCGCCAGGTTTCAGTTTTGGATCGGAATTTTCATGGTGGTGTTTGTGTTTGCGACCCTGACGCTGCGAGAAATAAGCGAAAACAAAGAATAATAGTAATAACAGAACCCGCCATCAACAACAAACCAACTGGAGCTTAAATGCATAGAACATAGCGCCTGAATAGAACGAGTAGCAGAATAAACCTATGAAAGACTTCCACTCGAATCATGTTTTGCAATTTAGAATTATGTCTGCAGGAAGGAAGAAGCTAGTTGTAATTAATCTACTGCTACTAGTAGTGGTTTCCAGCTGAATATAATGAGCATGGAAAGGAGTGAATCAAATAGTGGATTCTTTAGATGAAATAAAGTTTCTTCTGGTGCTTGTGGTCGATGGATCTACCATTCATCCAAATTAAAATCAGTAGTATTATGACTGAAGTCTGTTTCTACCACTAGCAATAAGAAGTCAAAGCATTAGCAAGAAGTCAAATTTTATTTTTCTTCTTGCTTAGATTCTTCTTGTACAAACTAGCTCCAATGATGCTGCATGGTATGGACTAATGTTCAAATATTAGTTGTTTTTAATGACTTTGGTTTAGTTGGTGCTGTGCTAATTTTTTAGTGTTGCTACAACAAGTACAACAAAATGTGGGTATGCACTTGCAGCTGTTACAAACAAGTAGCAGTATTTGTGTTGACTCAGATCACATTGTACTACTATTAGTACTGGTGGTACCACCACTAGTAGAACAACAGTTTGCCATTAATTTGTTTGAATCAGACAAGTGCCTAAATCAACATATGTCTTGTTACTCAAACCTTAGCAAGACCATCCTTTTGAAAACAAGAATCCAAGTTTCTCATGGAGTATTCTAATCATGCTGTTGAGAACTACTACTAGTAATCAAAATTGGTGACAATGACATGTTAAGAAAAAAAGTTGGAACACAAACTATCAAACGAACAAGGGGGAGAAGCTTATCATTTTGTACTTCTTGAAGGAATTTTTCAGACATTATGTTCCCACCATTGAGCTTCCAATACTACTTAGTGGTAGTCCTCTGGAAGGAGGAAATATGGATTAATTCCATTAACTGCTATCATGATGACATGATAGGACAACCCAACAAGAAGCTACTCTGCCCTTCTATGATGTCACTTCTTCCATGCATCATCTCACATATTCTTCGTCATGTTGTATGATAAGATTTTGCATTTCTTGCCAAAATGTGAGGAGTGCCAGCACCAATATGAGTAAACTTGCCACTCAAACCTTTGCAATACCTCAATCTCAAGAAGAAAAAGAATACCATCATTTTCATACAATACAAATTGCACCATTGAATTTGATCATTGCTGCTGTTTTGATATGCTGTTGTGTAATTATGTATAGTAGTACCTAACAGTATTTTTTCATTTTTGCAGCAAGAGCAACACAACAAAAATGAGTATGAAGTATGGATTAGCCTCTCAAGATAAATTGGATGACAAATTATGATGTTTTCAGATTGATCCTGTATCAGGACGCAGCAGGAAGCACTTTGTTTTTCCTGCCCAGGAGACTTGTTGGAACAGTCCCTCCTTGCTGGTGGTTCTACATTGTAGACTAGAAAAAATGAGTGTAGTAAGAAGACTGTGCACTTTGGCATTCAATACCATTCCCTGGTGGGTTTATTTTGTCATGGCTCTACTACTAGTTCTTCTTACCATTTGTTGTTGGTTTGTTAAATGAAACTACTAGTGGTATTAGAACTATCCTCCCATTATGATTGTAGCAGCACCCTGTATGACCCCCCTTAATCACTTCTTTTCAGAGGATTGTAGGAGAACAGAAAATCAATTTACAGACCAAACCAATTGCAAATTCATGTTCTACATAAAAAATCTTAGAAAAGTGATTCCTGGAGATCTTATATACTATTGATCTTGGCTCTGAGACAAACAGCCATGGACCTTATCCAAGGTGAAATCATGATTTATAACGACATCAAGGTCTACTAGAAATTCTCATTGCAGAAACTAGTAAGCATAATACAGTCTGCTTCTCTTACTAGTAGTACCAGGGGACAATTCACCCAAAGTACAAAGGAATTTGCCTACAAATCAAGGAAATACAAAAGACTTTCCTTCAAAATTGCAAATTCTGGCAATGTAGTACTAGCCACACAAAATCACAGAATTAAGTTAAAGAACAAGCCTTCCAGATCCAAAAATTTCCTTGTTCTGCCAAATTTGGTTCTAGTGCATTAGATATAGTCCAGCCAGTCATTACTAGTACTAAAAACCATTCAAGCTAACTTTAAGGGATTTTCAAATTTGAACAGAATGGTCAAGATTTCAAATTTATAATTCTTGATTCTCTTACGAAATGCTACTAGTACTAGTACTGGTGGTTGCCATTTTCTGCATTTCCTCCCCTTTTATCTACCCTTGCAGTTGAGTGAGAGCAGCATCTAGTAGTTCTTTTCTACTAGTAGTGCCAGTAGTTCTACTAGTAGCTCTGATATTCACATACAGTGTCCTTCAAGGAGGGGTTAACCAGTCTGTAATACATTAACACAAGTACTATCTACATATCATTATTATTAAGCAGTGCAATTTTTGTGTTGTTCATCTCTTTTGATAGGATTACTAAAAATTTAGAGGTCAAATTCCAAAATATTTCCCCTCTACTCCTTCTACTACTAGTAGTAATAGTAGATGCCAGGATCTTTTAGAAAAGAAATTCTCCTCTTCCTTTGTTTGACCACCAGCTAGCATGCTTAAAAAACAAATTGAGCCAGACCATGACTAACTTTTGACCTTCAATATCAGGGCTCTGCATATTGAATCCATCCATCAGCAGGAAAATCAAGCCTTCACATATTAAAACTGTCAACCACCAGCAAGGTCAAGTCTCCATGATGACTAGTTTGAAATTGTTATTGGACCATCATGACAAGAAGACAAAAATAAGAGGAGAAAATAAAGTCTGTGTTTTTCAGAATCCTTGTTAGTGGTAAATAGATGCTTTCAAACAAACATTTTCAAACTGGTCATGTTTCTTTCTGTTACTTCAAATTTCCTACAAGCAAAAATTAATTTTGGCCCAGGATCACCAACAAATGAAAACTAGAGCAAACCAAGTTGATGAACATTTTTGTTAGTAGTAAATTCCCTTGTCATTTTTAAAATCAGCAGGTTATCATAACTGAATGGACATTCTTTTCTGCTAATATTTCAACTTCAATTCATTTGTAAACTAATTCATATTTTATTCAAGCAGAAGAAGAAACAGATGCTTTAGATCAATGTGCAACTTATTTTTAAATGCTTGTGTGTTTGGGTGTGTGTAAAGCATTTATTGCTGAGTGGCCATATATTCTGCATAAGTAGGTTCATCTAGGAGAGATCAAATTGAAACAAATTGCAGAAGAACCAATTGTAGTAATGATTACATAGGGGGAATTACAGGAGGGAACAGTATTGTCATACAACAAGAAATGGGTTCCAGATATTGGAACAAGGGAAGATTCTAGAGCAGCCAGTTTGAGATAGCTAGAAGAATAGATTTCAGATCTTGTTGGAAGGTGAAGTTTTTGAGTCAATTTGACAGCATAATTTCCTTTTGTTTTGGCGATGGGCTTCATGATCATTACCTGATCAAATTTGGTTTGTTGCACTCCATAGGTTGTTTTCAAGTCATTTGGGCAGAAAGGAAAAAAACCAATAATAACACAACATCATGATGTTAAACACTCTGGTGACATAAGTTCATAACATATTTACTATTACATCACTCAAAGTTCAAATAAGATGTCAAGGACTGAATTGTAGTCATTGTTTTCAGTTTCTCCTGATTATAAATCAAGGGAATTCCTTCATGTGGGAAAACATTAAACTCAAGTGTATTTTTCAAAATGTCAAAATCAATTGTAGTATCCAGTACCCAATAAACTTATTTCTACATGGTGGGTAGTACTACTAGACAACAGACCAAATAATATCAATAGTAGTAGTAGTACTAGAAATAATCCCCCGAACATAAATGCCTGCTGCTGGAGGAACAATTCTATTTTTCAATATATCAAAACTTGTACAGTCAGCCCAGCAGCTTGTACCCTTGTTTCTTCTTGAGTAAGGCAAACAAATTGGAGGATGAAAAATGAAAAAGTTGGTGAATGAAATACTAGTACTAGTACACACAAGCATGCTGGTTGCTGCTGGCCAAATACTATGCACCTCAGTATCCATGGCAAATGACATCTGAACCCACTGAGTTTAAGACTCAAACAGGGAAAATTTTCTTGTTAACAAGAAAATTTTAAAAGAGGAGAATGGGAGAAGCGAAGTGCAAGAATCACAGAGCAGGCAGAAATGGCTGAACAAAAATAGAAAAATATATCAATCCAAATTGATGTCTGAAAATATGCCAGCAACAGAACACCACAAAAACAAAGAGTATTTTGAAGCAGTGACTGCACTAACTATTCCATTCTCTACTTCTATGGCAATGTCCTCTCTAATATCTACACTCTACACCACTTGGTGATTGATAATAACCTAAAAATTAAAAATCTGTTCCTGTAAACCATAAATTTGTGTTCAGACATCATTGTTTATGTTGATTGAATTTTCATGCTGGCTTTTGTTGGGGACAACAACAAGAAACATTGGATACTACTACTAAACATTTGTTTTGAAGTGTCTAGGAGTGCCAGTTGTGTAAGCACCCAATTACAGGTTTTTAATGATTATTACCAGTAGTAACTCACTCTATTGTATCTGATCTTCACTGCTTTATTTCCATTCAACAAGAAGAACTGATTGATGGAGGTAGGGCAATGTCAGAACTTTGTGAAGCCAGCCTTGTTGTTGTTGTTGTTGTTGTTGTTGGTGTTGTTGTTGGTGTTGGTGTTGCTGCTGCTGCTGCTGCTGCTTCTTAATAGTAGTAGTACTAGTACTAGTGGAAAATTGTTACAGGCGACAAGAATAGAAATGAGTAGCCATGACAATGGCACACACAACAAACAGGAGGAGGAGGAGTTATATGATGATAAATTTTCTTATGATTTCACTTACCCCCCCTTTATCAGGAATTTAGTGGAAACCATTCTTGAACCATTCTTGCTGCTTGCTGCTGGTAGGCAAAGCAAATGCTGGTGTGGCACCAGGTTGGTTGGCAGAGACAGGGGGAGGGCACCACAAGCAGCAGCACCAACAGTTTAGTATTATTAGCACTAGTACTACTAGTAGTACCCAATGGTGACTACTACAAGTAGTTCCTAACGACATCCTTCTTGTTTTTGTTATTAGTAGTACTACTATTTGTTGCCAAAATGTCAAAATGTAATCAACAAAACAAGAAACTGCAAACAAGAACAAGCAAGAAGAAAAACAAATATCATGTTCTTGTTCTTGTGCTTGTTTTACACCACCAGTGTGAAGAAGAAGCAGCAGACCCAATTTGGATGAATCTCATCACCAGTGAGGCTCCTCCCCATTATTCTATTTTAATAATTTTAAAAAATGACATAGTAGTAGTAGCACTACTACTAGTACTAAAAATAATAAGACGAACAAGAAACATAGTAGTAGTAGCAGTACTGGTAAAACTAGCACTAGTTGTTGTAGTAGTAGCATACAAGTTGCTTTTGATATTCATCTGTAATAATACGTGAGATTGGTGGTACAAGTACTACTAGTACTAGAACCTCATCTATTTGAACTGTAGTAGTAGTAGTATTAGTAGTATATTCTACAGTACAAGGCATGTGCCCAAATATGTGGATTGAATCCAAGACAGGTCTCACCCTCCAGACAGAGTGATTGGGGACACTTCCCATCCACACCTCTACTGGAATAACTTCAATGTACTACTACTAATAATAAGAAGGGGATCTGGTGGAAGTCTCAGATTGATTGGCCACCACCAAGCGTTTTTTTTAAGAGCCCTCAGTATCCCCAAGGTCTGTAGCATCCTACTACGTACAAATTATTACTACCAAATATTTTGATATAAAAATACTTATTTTTTTTAAAAAAAGTGAGACAGGTTCAATCCGGGAACCCAAATGAGGAGGTGTATTGTTCCCTCTGTAGAGCCACGTAAAGTTGGCTCCGGACCCGTCTCCACCTCATTAGGGTTCGTACCTCATACTCGTACGTACAATAAGTATCTACCTTTTCTTTAGGACAAGGTCCCATACATTCCACGTGGTTGGCTCGTTAGAAGTAGAAGTACTTTTTGTATCACGTCATCGGTTACGTACCAGTGCGAGTATGATTACTACGTTCTCGTACTCGTACTCACCAGACCTGATGATTCGTACATCAACTAACATACCGTACACCTCCCTCTGATCTGGACTCGTACCGTAGATGAACCGTACGGACATACTCGTACTCATACCTCGTACTTTATGTTGCCGTTCTCTTTCTGAACGGATACGAGTGCGACACGGGAATGATAGGTGGTTTGTTCTTTGATTCCCCGGCACATCAGCAAGCAACCCCTTGCTCAGCTTTCGTGCTGCAACTTCCGAAGGCAACTTCACGCAGGACACCCAACCAGCCACCAAGCAGTATCACGGTAGTTACTGGATTGCTTCAAAGCATCGTTGAAAAGAAATCAACCCCAAAATGAGAATACAGACGGCTTCTCTCCTCCTCTTCCTGTCGTCTTACGAACAGAACGATGGTGTGGCCGACGCCTTCTCGATGGTGCCCAGGCCCACGGGGAAAGCGAACGCCCCTTCGTTTTCCGTGACGCCTGAACCCGTCACCGAGTCGTCCACCGTTCTCTTTGGAAAACGCCGACAGACCAAGAGGAAAAAGAAGCAGACCCAGGGACGATCGCAGCAGTTCTACGAAGCCATAGAAGACGCGAAGGGAAACAGCAGCGCCCCGGAGGAATCCTCGTCGACCGCAACGGCAACGGCAACACCGCCCCGATCGCCCGAGCAGCAAAAGGCTATGGACGAAGCCCAGGCACGATTCGAGCAGCGCCCCGAGGTCACCACCATGGTGGTTGACGAGGAAAGCGGAACGGAATTCATCGCGCAGGGACAGAAAGTCATGGACGTGGTCACGCGCAAGGCCGTGAAGCTCAGCAACGCGGGAGCGGACGCCCGGTTGGCGCAGATGTTTCCGGGCGTGCCTCCCCAGGTCAGGGAGCAGCACCGCATCGATTGGAAGACGGCGGAGATCCCTGAGGTCCTGGACAAACTCCTGGCGGCGTGCTCGACCGACCTCGGTGACGGCAAGACAGGCATCCCCCCACATCCGTCCCTCACCAACGAGGGCATCGACTTTGTCCTGGCCAACCGCGATCGCCTCGGATACAAAATGTCAAAGACCATCCCCCGATGGACCTTCAATGCCGCGTCGCAGGGAAGGATGGCCGAGGCGAAGGAGGTCTGGAACAAGCTCCACGTCAACTTCCTCACGATCGAGAACTATGTCTCGGGACCCTTTCGACAAATCATGCAGGACGCAGAGGGACGCGTGGGACCGAACTTTGGGAACCTCGAACTCGCTAGCTTCTGCAGCGGCGATCTGTACGAGCGGGTCGCCAACTACCTCGTGCTGAAGGGCATGGTGGCGCACTGGGAAAAGAAGGTGGTCGATGCCGACTTTCTCGAGAACAGCGACGAGGACGAGATCAAAATGTACCGGGGAGATCCCAAGCGATACCTTAAGAAGGACTCGCAGGACGCGCCCATCCTTTACACGCTCAAAGAATGCACGCAGGTCTGTGCCATGGCCCAGCAAATGTGCAAGCTCTTTGTCGAAGATGAGAAACTGTTTGGTGACTTTCCGGACGAGATTGTCTTTTTGGAAGACGCCCTTACAATTAGGGGCGGAACGGCGCTGCGAAAGTACATGATCGACGAGTTCTGTCCCTCGCGTGGCATCACACCCGAGGGACTCCGGGAGGGCGTCAAACGCTTGGGTCAGCAGCTGGACAACATGCAAATAGATCCGTACGCCGACATTACCATGAAAATAGAGCAACTCTATGCCGCCATGGCGGTTGGATCCGACGACGCTACGGATCCCTACGCGAAGTACCTGGGCTTCCAGGCCTCGGAGGACCCGAACAATCCCGCCTACTTCGAGACGTATACCTTCAACCACGCCAAAAAATCGCTGGTACGGTTCATGGACGACACCTACCCCAGCGTGGGTGGCATTGCCGAAATGATCGGACCCCCACCCGCCAAGGGCGAAAACGAGAACGAAGAAAAGAAGAACCCCTTCGAGGGCCTGACCAACGGGTTGAACAACATCATGGGCCAGATCAAGGGCGAGCGAACGCTGCGGGTCGAGCCCTCCTACGACGACGATGCTACCCCCTACGTCGTACCGAAAGAGAGATCGATCGGCAGAAAGCACGACCAGGGTTGGTTCGAGGAGCTCAACGCCGACGACGGTAACCCGAAGGATCGGTTCGGAAAGATGGAACCGGGGCGAATCATCGACTAAGCAACAAGAACAACAGGTAAAAGCAAGTAGTAGACGTTCTGCACGTGGCACTGGACTATCAAACCGCGTGAAAGGTATCCATTTTAAATAATAGCTAGTGATGTGCAATCGATCTGATGGTTTGTGCAGTGTATCGTAGCGCGCTTGTAGCACCCACTGCGTTGATTTGTGTCGAAACGAAGTCGAAGTGGAACTGCATGAGCAAGATTACCAGTATGAATACCCTCAAGGGTTTTTCGTTTAGTAAAGGATTTTGATCAGTGTCGACATGGGAAACGAGCTGCACGGATGTCGTAGAGGAAACATTGTGTTATCTTTTCGGAAATCCTAGTTTAGGAGTCCCCAAACTACTTACAAGAGACACTGCAGACAACGGTCAATCATTCTTACCCCTGTTTGCTACGACTACAAACTGAGTACTGTATTTTGTATTTTGTTTCAACTTTCCCTGGCATCCAGAACATCCCTAAACCCTCCGAAAGCGGGTACGCCGTGGAAAATTCATTGTTGGGAATTTTCACGAAAATAATTGTGCCATATCCATTGTCTAAAAATGATTCGTGCGTTTAAGTAAAAAGTCAGCTTTATTATTTCTACGATGTTAGTTATTGTCGCAGAATTCTCTTGCGTTTTGGAACATTTGAAGCCAGGGACCGGCCTTCAAGTCCTTCCAGTCCGAAGGAGTCCATGGCCATTGCCAGGTAGTAAACACACGCTCAGGATGGGGCATCATTGCAAGGTGGCGACCATCCTCAGAACACAGGGCGGCCATACCACCGGGACTTCCGTTGGGATTGAATGGGTATTCTTCTGTGGGTTCATTTGTGTCATTCACGTAACGAAGAGGAATCTGGTTGTTCTTCTTGACAGCATCATGAACAGATTCATCGGGGAAGAAGAATCTGCCCTCTCCATGCGCGACCCAAACACCAAGAGACGATCCTTCCATGCCCTTGAACATAATCGCTGAACTCTTGCCGATAGCAACACTGCTAAAACGGCTCTCAAATTTCCCACTCTCATTGTGCAGAAGACGAGGTTGTCGTTCCTCTGGCAATCCCTTTTGTTCTGGGATCCATCCAAGAAGAGCCATGAGCTGACATCCGTTGCAGACTCCGAGACTGAAAGTATCTGGTCTGTTGCGGAAGTCTTGGAATTGCTTGTACACGCTTTCGTTGAACTTGATGACTCCGGCCCAGCCTTTTCCACTATCAAGGACATCGGCGAATGAGAAACCACCGACAAATACGATACCACGGAACTGTTCAAGACTAACAGTGCCATCAAGCAAGTCTTTCACATGGACATCCCATGCGTCGAATCCAGCACTCAAAAAGGCCGAAATCATCTCACGATCTCCGTTGCTACCCTCTTGCCGAAGAATTGCGACCTTGTGCTTTGTTTCCGATTTCATGATGCTGTCATCGGTAGGCTTTGGTTCATACGTAAGCTTCCATTGAGGGGCCTGACGCGACTTCAGACCTTCTTCCTCTTGAACCACACATTTAGGATTTCTCTGTCGATGTTCAAGTTTGAAACTTGTTGCCTCCCAAACATCACGCAAGACAGTCATCTTGCTTTCGATGCAAGGTGCAGATGATCCAACAGCAATCTTGATAGAGTCACCGGCAGCGACAGTTCCGATTTCTTCAACAGGAACAGACGCATCGCTGTATGCTTTCATAATGGACTCGACATCCGACGCGGCAACTTCAATGACCAATCCAGCTTCCTCGTTGAAAAGTGTATCGATCTCTGTTCCGGTCGATGAAGGAATAGTGACATCAATGGAACAATTTCCGGCGAAGGCCATTTCGAGCAACGTTGTAACCAAACCACCGTCGGATCGATCGTGACCAGCGAGAATACTTCGCTTGTCGATAAGATCTTGGGTGACCTCCATTGCCTTCTTCAAAGTGGCAAAGTCTTCCAAGTCAGCACTTTCGTTTCCAAGCTGCGAGTAGACAGTGGCAAGAGCACTTCCTCCGAGTCTCTTCTTTCCTCCTCCTAGATCAATGAAGAGGAGTTTGGAGCCGCTAGCAGGGCATTTCAAGTCAGGTGTGACAGTTTTCGTAACATCGGGGCAGGTCACGTAGCATGTCATTGTCAATTCACCAGGTGCCTTGGTGACTTCGTCTCCGCAACTTGCTGCCATCGACAAAGAGTCTTTACCTCCATCAATTCCGATACCGAGTTCTAGGACGCAGTCGCGCAAGGCCACACAAGCATCCCACATCTTGGCTCCTTCACCGGGTAGTTTTGCGGCATACATCCAGTTACCACTTGCTTTGATATCTTCAATCTTCGACATCTTAGCCCATACGATGTTGGTCATTGCCTCGGCAACAGTCATTCGTGCCATGGCAGCTGAGTCGATGAGACCCTTGATAGGCTGTTCTCCACACGCTGTTGCTGTTCCAGTTATTCCGAAATGCGTGTGGGCAGTCACGCCAACATTAGCGAGTGGTAGTTGGAGAGGTCCAACGCATTGCTGCTGGGCACACAGGCCCGTGACCGACCTGTCAACCTTGTGAACAAGGAAGCGCTTAGACCCAACCGACAACAAACGAAGGACGCGGTCTAGTGCACTCATAACAGTTGTGTCCTCGGGAAGTTTTAGGGGCTCAAGATCCATCTTGACACGATTGTCGACAAATGTCTTTTGAGGCATTTTTCCAAGAACAAGTTCAAGTGGCAAATCCACAGGAGTAGATCCATCCATAGAATCGTGAACAACGACTTTTCCGTCACCAGTTACCTCACCCATGATAGCAATTGGGCAGTTTTCACGTTCTGCCATCTTTTCAAAAAGCTCCCTGCTTTCTGGACGAAGAAGAAGCCCGTTGTTTTCTTGGTATTCGGCACCCCAGATCTCAAGTACAGAAAGAGTGTCGTCTCCGATGTTGACGTTACGGATGTCATACGATGCTCCGATAGGTTCCACAAGTTCCTTCAAAATGTTTCCGTTTCCTCCTGCCCCTTGATCGTGGACAGAAACGATAGGGTTATCATCACCAAGATCACAGCACGCACGCATCAGACGGTTCATGCGGTTTTCCATCTCTGCGTCTCCTCTTTGGACAGCGTCGAAATCCAAATCAGCATTTTCGGAGCTTTGAACTCGAGAAGAGGCAGCTCCACCTCCAATTCCGATTCGGTAGCACGGTCCACCGATCTTCACGACAAGCATTCCTTTCTCCGGTTCGCCCTTTTCGGAAAATCGTCCATCCATTTGTCCGATTCCGGCAGAGAACATGATTGGCTTGACCCACTCGAAACGCTCACCATTAGGCAACCTTTGCCCGAAGGATCTTGTGAAACCGTGGATTACAGGTTCACCATATTTGTTACCATAATCGGATGCACCGTCACTTGCCTTGATTTCAATGTCCAAAGGAGCAGCAAGATTGCTGGGGTAGACGAAGGACTTGTCTTCCCAGGGCAATTCATACCCAGGAATTTGTAAATTTCCAACACAATAGGACGAAATTCCCGCTACAGGGTAGGCACCTCGTCCAGTAGCCATGACATCACGCAATCGACCACCGGTACCAGTTTCTGCACCAGCAAAGGGAGCAACTCCCGAAGGAAAGTTGTGAGTTTCGGCTGTCAAAATAGGATGTAACGTTTGCTTGCCAACTTTCACTGACCCCGCCTGGGTCGTAGAAGAGGGGCGTAGATTATCGCACTCGTAACCCTCAATAGATGAGGAGTTGTCATGAAAGGCAATGATTGAGTTGTTTGGAACATCTTTTGGAAGGGTTGCCTTGACCATTTTGAAGAGAGTATCCTCTTTTTCTTCCCCATCGATTACCATCTTTCCCCCGAAAAACCAGTGCCTGGAGTGTTCTGAATTAGACTGACCCATGTCGAAGCACTCTACATCCGTAGGATCTCGTCCAAGTTTTTCCTGGGTGGTATTTAAAGGATGATGTAGACAGATATATCAGATATTTGTTCGACCTTCGTGAAAACGAAAGAGCGTGCGAAATAATGCACAAGAAAGATGCACTTACTTTGAATAAATTAGTGTAGTAATCCAAATCAAAATCATCAAATCCAAGTCCCTTTTCTGCATTGATTTTCTCTAGAGCGGCTCGCCCTTCGGTCATGATAGGGACAGTCTCAACAGGTACTGGTTGAGCACCATTATCAAAAGTAGTCAATGGCTTATCGTATTCTTCTTCTGTCATTCTATCATGCAACATCTTCTTCAGTTCCTTGATTGCCGTGTCACTGATATCATCGCTCAGGAGAAAGCGATAGCGTCTCGAAAGTTCAAGACGCTCGACAGGTACCCCACATGCCTTGCAAATACTTGTAGCATTCGACGAAAAGGCGGACGTAAAAGTCATTCGAGGACCGAATTCAACCTGCCAGATTTTACCGGGAGAGGATTCTTCATCAAAAAAGGACTTTTCAAGCTTCAAATGATTTTTTTCGAAAGTTTCGGCCAATAGCCATTCCAAACGATCTTTTTGCGTTGGTTCCAAGTCGCCATCGATGCTCAGTTGCACGTTGAAACAACTTTCTCTCTCGACATCGGTAATCTTATCAGCATCCTCGCCAAGCCCAAGCGATGCAAGTTGCTCCTTACATGAAGGCAACAAAGAGTGAGAGGTGTCAATCTTCCTGTAGTAATGGATGATTTTTTCCGTCATGGTGGAGAAAAATTCTGTCTTTTTCTTTCACAGATCGCAGAGATATGTTTTACTATGTTCTTTTTGATGATATACGTTCCATTCATTATCTAGCTGTCCGATGATGTTGACAGTTGATGGAGTAGACGAGACAGTTCTGTCGTCAACAAATTTATTGGAAAATAGATTTGATGGCCCGAAACATGCGCGCAGTCGTACGTACGTGCGTCTGTCAGACAATGGTACATGTTTGGTTTTTTTTGTCATGGGGTTCGTACGATACGTACGTACGTCGTGTACTAACTTTTTAGTACAAGCATTACTAGTAGTAGTACTACGTACTACTAGTAGTACAACATGAAACATAACTCAAGTGATCTAAAGTAACTTGGAGGCAAACATCAGCAAGAAAAAAGTGTACTTTTAGTACCTTGTAACATCTAATTAATTTTTAAATAATTAATTTTTTCAGTTCAGAGGCAATTGCTTTGCCCAGGTCAATATTGCCACTCTTTATATCGAGTTTCACAGTGTCTGTCTTTACTTTGATCAAGACACGAACAGGAACTCCTGATGCAGATGTTCCTGCCAGCGTTCCGTAGGAAGGATTGGTGGGGTCAACTTCTGTCATTCGCAAAAAGGTGCAAACCTTCTGTTTGATTTTTTCTGGTGCCATGGTCGAATTATGTGCAATTTTCGTGCTATGAGATGCCCACTGCGAAGACGCTAGTTCTGACGCGACGCGTTCCATTGTCATTCCGTCTCCAGATGGTGACATGTGAACTGAAACAGGTAAAGTTAGCTTCACTGAGACATTTGAGTCTCTTGTGGCTAGTTTGCCCTTGACCTCTAGAGCTACATCTAATGATGGATACGAAAAAGGCCCAACCTTTGAGGACTCCACCGTAGAGTTGGGTGCGACATCACCAATTTGTATATCACCATGATTTTTCAGCTGCAATACGAGACCACTCAATGTGGTTGCATTAGTATCATTTTGTATCCGAATGACCAGCGAAACTCCCATAGAACTTTCCATCTGAGAACGAGAAACACGATAAGATAACTGAACCCTCGACCAATCCACTGAAGGAGAACCCGAGGCAGAAGATGGTTTAATGGTTGCAAGGAGGTATGGTTTCTTTCCACTAGTCCCGACTTTAGACGACGAAATCGCTTTGCTATTTTGAGTGGTCACACCATAGAGATCTGTAATGGAATTTTGAGGACCAGCAGCAGAGAATCCTTGGGCAGGATTTGGTAGCCCCAAAATGCCGTCGAATGCGTTGTTAACAAGATTGTGCTGGTTCTGCATACCATTGGATGAGTAGGAAAAGGTCTGAGTGGGCGCAGTCTGTTGAGATGGAGGAGCTTGGGTAGTAGCGTTAAAAAGGTCAAGGAGATCGAATTCTTTCGTCGGGGGCTCGTTCATTTGTTGATTGGAATCTTTCTTGCTTTTTTTTGAGTCTTTCTTCTTTTTCTTCTTCTTTGATTTCGAACGTTCTGCTTCTGTTGCCATGTCCATCGATACAGGTTCAGGTTGTCTCTCAGGTACAACTCGATGTTTGCGCTCTAGGAAAACTTCATCTTCTCGAAGTGGTTCGGAAAGGTCGACGTTTGCTAAACCGTTTAGCTCCGACCCATTCTTTCTTCCACCAGCTCTCATTGAAGGTTTGAATTGGATGACATCATCGTCATCATCGTCACTTTCATAGATAGCCATGTTTTGAAATCCTAGTTGCGATGCATTTGTGGTCTCTTTCTGTTTTTTGTTCTTCTTCTTTTTCTTCTTTTTGACATCGGTATCTTCATCATCGTCATCTCCTAACTGAATGTTACCGAAGCGAGTTGGTAAATTGGTCTTCGAGTTAGACTCATTCCGCAAATCTGTTGTTGCGGTCGAAGAATTGAGATAAAATGGATCATTGGCAGTTTTGGTTGGATTTTGTCTCACATTATCTTGTGATTGTCCCGGAGACAACAATCCAGAAGTCATCGAAGGTTCGTTGTTGTTGCTGAAGCTGTTGCTCATGACGTCATTTGTAAAAGAAGATTGGGCATCAATTGATGGTACAGCATCAGCGGAAACGTTGCTTGTAGGTTTTGAAAGTGTCATCGGTTTTTGTTGAGTAAAGCTTACAGCTTCCATGCTCAGCCGAGAGCTCTGTCGATGTGCTTTTTCCTCTTCAATCCAAAAAGAAAAGACAGAAGCATCAATAGGAACATTTAAGTCGACATCTACTCCAGTTAAAGCCGCCTGTTTCTTCCGTTGTGCTTTTGCACCAGTGGGTTTCATAGGAGATGGTTTCAATAGATAATTCAACGTAGAACTGGCATTGCGGCAGCGAAGTGCCAAAGAACCTTCGCTTTTCCCAACCATATTTTCGAAAGGATCAAGCTTTTTTGAGGCACTGGTTTCTTTGACTTTTGCCGATGCAATCGCAGGCATGTTCAGCAAATTTCCATCGGAAGGGGTATGGTCGTCGGGACTATCATCATCACTTTCCCCTTCGCCATCGTCTAATGCTGTCAATCCAGGAGGTCCCAAACCACGAAGCCCAGAAGTCAATTCCAACGCCACCAACACACCGTTCAATGTATTTGCACGCTCACGAACCTCTGAATCTGTGCTTTCCATGTATACGCCTAAATTGAAAAAAATGGTATGAACACATGCTTCAAGCTCGGAATCCGAAACTTGCGAGTTGGCACAGCTCGCAGCAAATATTTTCAGGCTAGCCTGCAGAAACACCGATTGGGTCGACGCCGCTAGCTTGTTTGAATTGATTGGTGCCGTCACGGCCTGTAACAGGGAATGGGAGGGACCTTCGCTGTTCTCATCATAGATGTAAACCGCATCCGAATCCATCGTCATAGCTTCTGGGAGAAGATCGGAATACTCACCAACAATCCAAGCCAGAGCGGGGAGAATTTCTGGCATAATGTGCTTACCCCGGCCATTATCTGTAATATTGGCCGCATTGTTGTCGTTGTTTCCCTCCAGCAAAACTTCCATCGACCGCTTTACGGCGTATGCACGCACGGGCAATACTCGAAGGGCAACATCGCAGATTTGCGATCGCAAAAGTTCACCATGGGCATCCAGTCCCCTCATGTGACCAAGCTGAAGCAATGTGTCAAGATACCAACGGAAGTCTTGCATAAGAGCATATTTATCCCCACTGCACATTTCTACCACCTTGGCGACTAAATCGAGCTTGTAGGTGCCATTGGCAAATTCCACATGCTGAAGCAATTGGCCGACAAGCTCGACAAGGTTCTTGCGGGAAGCCATACTGGGCAACAAATCCAGCGCCCGGGAGCGGATCGTTACGTCCTCATCTGAGAGGCACGCTAATATGAGAGGTCGGTAACCGGAGCTCGACAAAACCTTTGGAAACGACTGCACGAGACTCCCGAATCCCACCAGACCCAGGTACTTGAGATTCGCATCTTTCTCTTGCACAAAATCCCGAAAGGTCTGGGCACACAGCGCCACAATGTCGGGCGTGTTCGCGGGCATGCTTCCATCACTTTTCTGGCAGTATGGCAGGCATTTGGTGATGGCATGAGCGGCTTCGTACAGCAGAGATTTCGCAGGAGTGCTGCGGACAACGCCGGCCAAAGGATCAAGTAGTTTCCGGGCCAATCGCGGTTCCTCTGGCACAAGACTCCCCAAAAGTTTGACCACTTTAATAAGCATCCAATTGTTGTTCGAATTGGTCAGAATGTCAAAAAAGGCAGGAGCCAAATGAAGATAGTTCTTTGGGTTTGTATGGGAGAGCTCTGTGATCACATTGACGGCACAGCTAACGACCGCAGGGTTTGAATCATTTAGGCATTGTTGGATTTTCTCGAAGGTTAGTCGCAACCCTTGTGGGTACTTGATGAATAACTTAAAGAGGCACAAAAGAGCTTTTTTTCTCAAATAAGGCTGGGAATGCGTGGTCAGGTTTGTGAGCTCTGGCAATAGATCTTGGGCAAGCTGCTCTGTTACGATGTTCGAGACGCAATTGATGGCGAGCCCGGCTTCGTAAATACCTGCACCGGCAACCGCACTGTGCAATTCCTTTTTGAGAAGATTTGTCGTCAGCAGAATCACGTCGGTATCTTGTGTAAATCCTTGTGCGGCAGCCAGGTACCCGATCCGTTTCTGGGCAAATCTCGGTGAACTCATTACTTCTGTGGTAGCAAAGGATGCCCAGCTCATGCTGTACCCCATCATGTGCAAGAAAGTGAGTTTTTGGAGTGCATTCGTTTTGATGTACATGTCATCGGAATTTATCTCGGTTTTGATTTCCGAAATACATTGACTGATATACAAGGCAGTGTCTCTTTTCGAGGCACGAATACCCTTGACTATGTCTTGCAGAGTTTTCTCAAACATAATGAGTCGTTGGATCGCTGTTTGGATCACTCGTCTTCCGGTTCAATGCGTTGTGCTCTAACTCGTATTCCTATCTTTATGAAGGTATCGTGTCGTTCACAGGCGCTATCTTCAGAAATAGAGGAGGTCTATCTCTTCCCTCCATCGGTACCGATGTACTGTATGTATTTTCCCGAGAGAGAGGGAGCGACGGGTTGGAGCCAAAAGACAATCTTCTACTTTCTCGAAAGAGACTCCTGAACCTAAATCCCAGGTACTGGTAAATGGTACGAGACTCGTAGGGCTTGCCCCTAACAAAAGTAAAACTCTTGAATAGCATTCGAGATGTCAGATGTCCGTTCTTCAGGGAGAAAAATAATTGGAGTGCAGTAGTTTTAATCAATCGAGTCATAAATCATGGATACTTTTCCTCCTCTGTTTTTGAGTTTTGGTCCCTTCTCCCACTAGTGATTCACAAGCTAGAGACTGACTTAGTCGTGACGTCAGTACCAAGCCGTAGGAGGATTAGAAAAATCCTTCGAAATCCATCGTGCCCAAGTCGTATGCGGCAGCCGTTCATTCCAAGCGGAAACAAACAAAAATATCGGTACTCGTACGTAGTACCGTACAGTACTTCTTCGCTCCTACGGTACCATACCTTCGAGGTGCTGTGACAAGTATTCCGAAGATCACCAAAACGACACGTCTAGTACATCACAACAGCAAAGCACACATAAAACAAAATAAACAACCCCATTATCTATCTCTCTATCATGAAGACATCGGCTGGACTTATCCTTTCTTTCTTGGCCTCGGCCACCGCTTGGACGTCGCCTTCTTCCATGGCCCGTACGCGACAGCAATCCGCTTTGAAGATGGCCATTGACTACAACGATCCCGTTGTTGCCGAAGAGTTCGCCAAGGTTCAGCCCATGACCTGGGAGGAAATCGAAGAAGAATTGAACGAGTCTGGAATTCCTGCTCCACCCTCGATGAGCGACATGGATCTGAAATTGATGCTTGTTGAGATGAGATTGCGTTTGACGGGGAGACTCGACGGTGACAAAGCCAAGGAACGCCCCACCACGTTCAAGTCCGCCTTTGAAGAAGCCATCTGGACTAAGCCAGCCTTTGCAGAATTTTACAAAATATACGAAGATCGGGACGATCACAACTCCATGAATGTCATCAAGGAAATGTTGAACATCCCCGACATTGCACAGCAACGATACAGTACATCCTACGCGTCGTTGCTCGAAGAACTCGATTTCGCATTGAACGCCCCCCCTCCGGTCAATAGCCCCACCCTTCTTTTCAGTGGATTTCCTTCCAACATGGGAGAAGCCGCACTGAAAATGACGCTCGAGGCCCTAGGAGAAATCGAGGGTCTAGAATGCGAAGAGGACGAATCCTTCCCTATTTTGAGGGGAACGGTTACATTCGCGGATATTGAATCGGCAAAGGCCTGTGTCGCACAATACAATGGAATGGATATGGGAATGGGAACTCTATTGGAAATCACATCGGTGTAATTTAACTATCTTGCTGGAGTCGAAGGCATGATTAATGTTATGAAAATAGATACATGAGTGCAATGCGCTAGAAATACAAATCCAAGCCTTTTAACCGACATGATATATACAGTATCGCGGTAGACTGCCAGGCAACGAATGATGAGATGATAGGATCCAACAAAACTTGAAAAGTATTAGCTGCTTTGCAGAATCATCGGCAATTCGACAAGGTGCCGAAAGCTTTCATCAATATAGTGACACCATCGGCTTGGAATTCTCCAAAATTAGTCTCAATCTGGATTAAAAATTAGATAATTTATTTGTCACCCATTGCCTATTCCGAAACCTATTTTTCTCTTCTACTAATGTCTATTATTACCTCTCTCCCATGCTGTATATTCTCATTTCTTCTTGATCATATATGCACTTCGCTTGCAACCGCAGGTCGCCGATAGCTTCATGGTCTTTGGCATCCCTACCAATGGATTCTTTCGTTGTTTCTTCATCATCTTCGTTATCTTTGCTTGCGGTAGCAGCCAATGGCATCTCGAATCGGTATGCCATGATTGTTGTTCCGGGCGAGCATTCGGATTGGATCTTCTTACCCAGGATCGGCATAGTCCTGGGAACTGCAAAAATCATTATGGTATTGGCGTCTTTCAGATCGTACTTGGCAAAATCTTGCAGCAAAAATGTGGAACGCCTTACCATGAATTGTTATGGTTGAGATTCCGTTTTTTTTGAAATCGAAGCAATGGTGACCGACAAATCCGAACCATCCGTCAATCGGTGGAGTCACGAAGGATAAAAACGACAGAAGTGAATACAACATGAATATTTCCATGACATTTAAAAAAAAGGGCAAAAGAACGTTGGGCAGTGACATTCGTGTTCTGATCTTTTGTGGAAGACGAAAGGCGCACCGACAAATAATGGTCTGCAAACACAAACCACACTCGAGTTCCAGGAAAATTCTTGGAGAGTTCTGTCACTCCACATGAGTCTTTTTCGTCCTCCTCCCAGTCTTACCGCTTTACCTCCGAGGACCAAAAGAATTKGCGTCGAAATGACGATAATGCCCACAGTGTCCAATTGAATTCGATTCCAACAGCTTTGTATCCCAGCTTTGCGGCCTCGTAGACGGCTTGTCCGTCTCCACTGCCTAGATCCACGAACACAGGTGGGGTGGCGGATGCAGATGCGCGAATGTGCGCTTCTTGTTGTGGTCTTGGCGATGATTGTGAAAGATTTGTAGCTGATCTCGGGGACGATATCATTGCACGTTTGTTTTTGTTGTGCTCGATGATGAACTTTAGGGCATTTTGTACCTTCCCTGCGGGTGTCGCCATAAAGGGTGCATTCTTAATGAATAAAAAAGGAAATTGTAGTCCTACTAAGCCAATGATCGAAGCTCCCATCACAACCATAGCGCCGGCTCCAAGGTTCACCTTCTGCGTGGTTACTCCACTCATTGCTAATGAATCACCTGCCATGTTGCTTTCGTTGATCTCTTTTCGTAGTTGCCTCTCCAACTCCGGATCCAACACAGGCTCTTCGTCTGTTATTGTGCGTTTCATCTCAAGCTGTTTCCCGTTGCTACATCTATTAGCATGTCTGTTAAAAGTGTTATGTATCGCTCATCCATAAGTTCTTCGAAATAAGTAGACCACCAGAATCTCAAGGCGTAGATTGAATGAATAAAGGAACCGATGTGTGATGAATTGGAGATAAAATTGGACTTGTTTTGGTTTTTCAAACCATCGAAAAAGGAAAAGAAGGTTTTTGGTTTTTTGGTTTTGTAAGGTAGTTAGCGTATTAGATAGTAGGTACGATAGGTATGTATCATTACCTTGGCAGCTGTCTGTAGTCTGTAGTCTGTACCGCACTGTTTTTTCGAAAGAGAAAATAAGAATACCGATATTACACGTATTTTGCTCCGTTTTACGACACAACCCCATTTCCCAAATATTGCGGGAAACGAAACAAAATCCATCCCAGCCAGCAAAACAACAACCATGGCGGATTGCAGTGCAGCAGGAACGACTATTGATCGAGCGGCTCGCGCAGTCCTCGGTGGAGCGGGAGCTTCATCCGTTTCTACCGTCACCAAGCACGCCGGTGCGGTTCTTGGACATGCTTCGATGTTAGCTGGTACGAATATGAATGTTGCTGCATCCATGCCACTGGAGTCACCGGATCATCTGGTTATGCCTGGTGCTGCGTTGAACTCCAGCAATCCAGTCACCATCCCTCCTGCGGCACAGAATGTTCGTTCGATCCAACAACACGAGCCTATGTTGGCAGACGCCTCTCAACAGCATCATCTTCATCACCCAGCAGCATCTATCACACCAAGCAACATGACGGCCCCGCTCTACCAACAGCAGCAGCTTCACCACCATCACCAACAGCAACAGCAGATGAAAATGAAAATGCAAATGCAGATGCAGATCCAATTGCAACAGCAACAAGTTATGACAATGATGTTGCATCAACAGCAGCAACAGCAACTTAAAATACAACAACAAAAACAACAGCAGCAGCTGAAGATTGATCAATCCGAAGAGGCTGCAATCACAGAGCATCAGCCTCAAGCTACAGAGAATGAGTGGTTCGATGATCTGGAGGATGACTTTCAACGAGAAGGAGGAGACATAATCGACTCTTTGAACGATGAAGCTGTTCACGCTATTACCGGAGGAGCAGGTATCGATGAGTTGGCCGCTGCATGGGCGGAAGCAGAGGCAGAATACGACAGTGTACTTTTGGATCATGAACTGCAGGAAAAGAGTCAAGAAGGGGAAGTACTAGTGGACGATGATTATGCTAATTTATGGCAGGGTGAAAACAGCAATCTGCAACCCCTCACTTCAGAGCCTAGACCCTACGAATTTATCAATCCTGTGTCTCTCGACGGTGGCAACACTACTGCTACTAATAGCTCTACTTCTAACTCCAAGAACTACATGGAAGAAGGCATGAAACAGTTTAGAGAGGGAAATATCAAAGAAGCGATAAGATCCTTCGAGATGGAACTCCAGAACCAGAACATGGACAATGCCACGGCGTGGAGAATGCTAGGCAACTGCCACGCCGAAAACGATCAGGACCCGGAAGCCATCCAGTGTTTTGAGGCCGCGGTGGAACGAGACCCCTTCTGCCCGGAAGCCTTGCTGGCACTCGGGGTCAGCTACGTCAACGAACTGAACCACGAGCGGGCACTCGAAAACATGAAAGCCTGGTTCACCCACAATCCAAAGTATGCCGGATTGGAATTCGATGCGCTTCCGGAGACCAACACCGCGCCAGGGGACGACATCTACGGGGCGGCTCTCGAACGAAACACCGCGGACGATGTCACGGGAAGCCACCGGAGCGCAAAAGAATCGGCGTTCGACGAAGCGAAACGGATGCTGCTTGCGGCCCTGGAGTACGACCCGACCGACGCTGGGGATCTGCACGAGGCTCTGGGGGTCATTTACAGCGTGATCAAAGACTACGATTCCGCAGTGGATTCCTTCCGCAAGGCGCTCGAAACCCGCCCGGACGATTACCAGCTGTGGAACAAGCTCGGGGCAACACTGGCCAACGGGAGCCAGCCCGATCAGGCCCTTCCCATGTATGCCCGGTCGCTGAAACTGAAACCGAAGTACGCCCGGGCGTGGCTGAACATGGCCATTTCTCACAGCAACCTACAGGACCACGACGAAGCCGCCCGTAGCTATCTCCAGACATTGTCGCTAAACCCGGGAGCTACACATTGCTGGACCTATCTTCGAATGTCCCTCTCGAGCAACGAACGATGGGATTTGTTGCCCCTGGTATTTGAAAGAAATCTCGAAGGCTTTCAAGAGCACTTCGATTTCGTCTTATACAGCTAGTGCTCGATTTTCGAACGTCTGCCATAAGTAGTGCGTGCAGGAAGGGTATCATATCAATTTTAAATTACGAATCTCAAGGCACGAGATGGAAAGCTCGTATTGTCATGAGAAAAATCGATTGTATTGATTTGTGAAAATCCGATGTAGAAACCTAGAAAAGCGTTTGTCGGCGACGAAACTCAAAAACAAAACCAATAATTTATTATCTCGTTCGATTTTATGTAGAGATTACATATTAGCAACTAGTTCCAAAACTTGGGTATGTGACGACGATGCGGGAGGCATTCGCCMAGAGATAAAAAAAAATTGAAAGCGTAGCACGATTTCACACCACTCATCGTGTTCCAAAAGATCCGTGTCTTATTCATTGTTTGACCTAGGCATGGCCCTGCCGTTGTTGTGCCTGTAGCGCTTGCTGCTGCGCCGCTGCAGCTGCCGCTTGCTGTTGTTGCAAGAGTTGCTGCTGCCTGCTCGCCGCACTGAGCGTCTTGAGCTCGGTAATAATGTTGGCACACAGGGTCATGAACGAAAAGGCGTCACCGGTTTTTTTCTGGAAATCCAATAGATAAATGTTTTGCTGTACCTTGTACAGCGTCAGACCAATCTTGATGGAGTAATTCTGGGTGGACAGGTTTGGGACGGGGACCTCGTGTCCGTCGTCTCCCGCTACAACCTTCATGTAATCCGTGACTTTTGTTGGAGCGGTAGTTTGTTTTTCTTTCGCTCCGTCCATCGAAACATCTTCGTCTGTGTCCATGCTGCCGGTGGCCAGACTCACGGTATGGCGAAAGGCGGCGTCCGCTGTTTCTCCTCCGGCCGCCGGCATCATCCCCGAAAAGTGGCTGCTCTGCAAGGCCGGCAACGCGCTTTCTTGCGGGCCGTTTGGTCGCCACTTGCACTTGATCCGGTACGACGACAATTGGAGCCATTGGCAACCCAGCGCCATGAGAGCCTTGTAGACCTCGGTCATGACGTGGGCCGGATCCTTTTTACTCTGAATACCTAGATACCACCGTCGTGTTCTTCTTCCGTGTTGGTGCTGGGCAATCATCCCCGTGTTACCTGGAATGCTCGAGGTCATTTGGACGACGGGATGGCTACCGACACCGACGACACCAATGGGGGGTGTTTGAGCCGCCGAAGCCGGCGGGTGGGAGAGACCCGACGGAGTCCCTGAGTGTTGTTGGCTCCCCGGTTGCGTCAGGGCCCGCGTTGCCTCTTCCGCAAGCTTTGCTTGGTTGGCCGGAGACTGCAGGGTTGTGGGAGATTGTGATGAATTGTGCGAATGATTGGAACCGTAGGATCGACCGTCGTAGCTCCCGCCACTCGCCGATCCGTACCTTCCGGAGGGGTAGTGACTCCCGCCCGGTGTCGCCCCCCGTGATCCCCCCGGTGAAAACGCCGGTGGAGTTGCACTGGCGGCTTCTTTGATCGCCCTCGCCACCTCCATGACTCTTAGGCGGGTGTGCTTGTGGTCTAGGATAAGTTCATAGGCGCAGCGCAGATCGCGCAATAGTTTTGGCGTGTCGGAATCTCGGTTGTCTTCCAGGGCTGCGGCCTTTTCGATCAGGTCTCTCGACACGGTAGGATATTGTTGCATTGCGGCACCGTTCATGTGATTCGATATGCCGTTTTGGTTGGCCAGACTGCCGTACGCCTTGTGAAAGGGAAGTTTCATGACTTCGTCGATCACCTGCGAATCCACCACCCGTTCCTGTTTCTCCATTAACTCTGGAGGGTGTCTGAGGTACGGTGGAAGTTTGTGCTGAAACCACGGATGCAATCGAATTTCTGGTATCGTGATTCTCTTCATGGGGTCGACTTCCAGCATCCGAGGGATCAAGTTTTTTGCCAGCTGGGAAAGATGAGTCGGCAGGCTGTACATTCCACTCTTGATCTTTTTGAACAGATTGGGAATCGATTCGTCGTCAAAGGGCAGAGAACCACACAGCAGTGCGTACAAAATGACCCCGCAGGACCAAACATCTACCTCGGGACCGGCGTATAAATGTCCACTGATGACTTCCGGGGCGGCATAGTTCGGCGACCCACAGGATGTCCTCAAAAAGTCACCGTCTCGCATCAGGTTGGAAAGACCAAAATCTGCAATCTTGATGTTGTCGTTGGCATCTAGCAATAGATTCTCTGGTTTCAAATCTCTGTGAACAATCTTTTGAAAATGGCAATACTCTACACCCGAAATGATCTGGTGAAAGAAATTTCTGGCCTCGTCGGCACTGAGACGTCCCTTGCTCACGATATAGTCGAAGAGTTCTCCGCCCGAAACGTATTCGTTCACTAGGAAAATGTCGGTGGGAGTGTCGATGACTTCGTACAGACGGATAATATGTGGATGGGTACAGAGATGCAAAATGTTGATCTCGCGCTGGACCTTCTCTTCCATTCCTAGTTGCTTGATCTTTGCCTTGTTCAATATCTTTACGGCGACCTTGTGTCCCGTGACAACATGGGTGGCTAATTTAACCTATCCATCGCAGCCGTATTATGCGATCGAATTGTTTGGTTCGAGATACCCAAAAGACATGGAATGGAATGCAATCGCAAGGAAAGTGAAGTTGGTCACATCCGATCGCAGTTTTGGTTTTGTGATGATCATTGGTTTGCATCGATCGATGTGGATTGGCACGGAAAGTTGTTAGCATACAAAAGGCATTGACGGTAGTAATCCAGCACAAAGCAATTGGCATAGCAGCAAAAGAGAGTCAGGAGGCAGACAGTCAACAAGGAGTCAAAGTTAGCATCATGTTGTTGTAAGGATCATGTTGTTGCAACAGCAGTATCCATGACGTCACGAGAAAAAATTGCGTGCAGAGAACAGGAGGCATGTCAACAAAACTCGCGCACAATCTTTCGTAAAAAAATATTTTGGCGCAGTCTACGGTAGGGAAATACGAGTTTTTCACGCGTATCACCCCTGTTTTTCTCAACCTTGATTGATGCCTTCCCCTCGACCCCTCCCCAAGCTGCTCGAGGTGTCGTACCTTTCCAAAGGCTCCGATTCCGAGATTCTTCCCCAGGATAAACTGCCCGATCTGTACCGGAGCTTGCTCCATGGCTGTGGCTTTGGGAAATTTTTCGGAGCAAGAGCAGAGACGAGACGGAACGCGTAGCTGTGTGTTTGTGTGTATGTGTGTAGTGGTGTGATCGGGAGGCAGCGGCGGTCCCGTGATGTGATTTTGCTGGGATTGTGAAGGGGAGCCGAGAGAGACTTTCATTCACCCTGGCTTCACTTTGTTTTTTGTTTTGGGTCGAGGAGGAAACGAAACGTCAAAGAACGACAGAGAACACGGATGGCGAAAATACAACGCCCCTCTTTCCGCGCGGCAGCAGCACCTGTTTGAAGTTGATCCATTCGATTAAAAACAAAGAAAAACGGTGTCTTCCGTGTTCGACAACCGTTAGCTACGTAACGTTTGCGTTATCGTGCGGGTTGTTCAAACTCGTTCTGCTGTCTGCTGCCGTGCTCCTACCTAACAAGCTGACATAATTTACATATGGTACATACGTACTATGGTGCCGTGCATCTTATTTTTGAATTTTGCGTGCCTCGTCCCGAGAAGTCCCGTTCTTGCTTGTCGTCCCTTCTCTCAAAGACAATCCAAAGGAAGTCACAGCAACCGAACCCGTCGTGCTGTGATTATTAGTATTAAACCGCGCTCCCACTTGCGATTCTGGTGTACAATCCTGTCTAGGGCAGCATAGTGTTTGACAATGGCGTCGTCGAGATGGAAGCGCTTCGCGTTCTTCGAAAAGAACGCCATCAGCCTCCCCTCGGAAGTCCTCGAAGACCTCCTCCCCGCCGGCGAGTACGAATACTCGAACAGCGGTGGGCGAGGCCGCAGGTCGGAGGAAGGTCCTTCCAATTCCAAGGACAAGGTGCGAATGGTAGTCACCACCGCTGCTCTTCCCCTGGATTCAAAGCCGGGGCACGGAGCAACCGCCGGGATGCCGAACCAGGGAAGCGGCGGCAATGCCAATGCTTCCGGGGGCGGGGAGTACACCGTGGCCCTCAACGAGATGTGGTCCGGCTTGGCGGCGTGCAACCCCATGGAGAACATTCCCGGAGGCTACGCCGGTGGCACGAACCAGACGATCACCCTGCCGAGCCAGGCACAGCTCTTCGAAGACGACAGCAACGTCGTGTCGTCGTCCTCGGGAGCAGCGGTCGACGGACTCGTCCTGGCCTTTGTCACCTCCCGCGACACCAACCGCGTGCACTGCTTCGACATCTCGGTCCGCTGCAACCACAGAAGCAGCGGAGGGGCCCCGGGCATCGAGCCGAGCGCCGACGGCGACACCCAGGCCAGCGGGAAGAAGGCCAGCGATCCGGAAGACCTGGACGGCTGGAGGGGGTACCTGGCGCCGATCCAGATGGGCACGCGAGCGACCAGCGATTCGCGGGCGGCGGCGGGCCGGTCGTCGGATGGACGGGCTTCGGCCGACACGGATGCGGCCCGACCGCAAGAAGAGCCCAGGGAAGGAATCGTGGGGATTGCGACGTGCCGGGGGACCTCCGGGCACCGGCCGATGCACATGGCCTGCATCACGGCTACCAACCTCGTGGTTTGCGTAGATCCCCACTTGTATCTGTCGTGGTAAGTTCAGGAGCAGCGTCCGCAGGAGTCGTGGCTGTGGAATGGGCTCTGTACGCTAAAAAAATCTCAAAACTTTTCTCCCGCTTGGATTGTCGAAACCGAAACTAGTCGCCGTCCACTGTCTACTCCCGAAAACAACGAAGCTCCATCTTTCACCCTTGGTTCGAACTGGAACGAAGCCAGCTATGGGAAAATGACTGCGGTAGACGTCGCTCCCGGCATTGTTGCGGTGGGAACAGACACTGGTAGTCTCCACATCTTTACGTATGGTGGTGGCAGACGTGTTCTTCGACCATACTTGTCGATTCCGTCTCCGCCTTCCAACGATATGGCAATCGTAGTCTGCAAAATATCCGTCGGAAAGGAAAAGGTCAGTGTTTTTGTGGCGTACCAGCGAGGGAGGAAGACCCATCGCGGTGCCAAGACCGATGGTTCACCAACTCCACGAACGTCGTCGGGGGTGAGCTGCTACGACATGCCCTTGCCAAAGGGAAACTCTCCCGCCGCAGTAACCGCTCCATCGGCCCGACACGACCTAGACGGGCGAAACGTTTCTTCGTCGAGCTTGTGCGATGCTGTTTTCAACGAAAACGAAAATGAGTTACAGCTCTGTGTGGCCCGCCCCGACGGTTTGTACACGTACTCAACGACCCAAAAGGTAGATGTCTCTCCCATTGACGGCTCGAAACTGGCGATTTGCCTGGTGCCATCGCCAAAAGCAGCAGGGACGTCTCGGGAGATGGTGTCTTCGGGAAAGACCGGTTCTGGGTTTGTGTTGGTGGCATCGACCGACAGCAAGTCAAGAAGGGATGCCGTCGATTTGTACGATCCCCACAACAAGCTCGTTGCCTTCCATTTGCTGCTCAGCCCGGGCCACACAGCGATTCGCGCCGCGGGTGTCACCACTCCTCCGACTCGGAGCGCGGACGGGAGCTTGCAAAACGGCCGATCTTCGGCCGTGGTATTCACGTCGGGCGGATCCCTTGTGACCCTCACCGAAAAGGAAACCGCGCAGAAGGTCAATCTCTTGGTGCAAAAGAATTTGTATTCCGCGGCAATATTTGTAGCATACGCGGATCCATCCTACGAAACCGAAGACATCACGCTGCTCTACCGACGCCATGCCGAATACTTGTACCGAAAGGGCGAGTACAGCAGTGCTATCGAACAATACATACATACGATCGGCTCTCTCGAGCCATCCCATGTCATATTCCGATTTTTGGACGCACCCAAGATTCCACTCCTCGTCAAATACCTCGAGGAGCTCCGGTCGCGGGATCTGACAACACCCGTTCACAACGAGCTGCTTCGAACGTGTTACCTCAAGCTAAACGACACCGAATCCGCCGAAGCCATTGCTGCTTTTTCGTCCCGTTCGATGGACTCGGAATCGCTGTCGACCATGGTGGCGAAGTCCCCGAAGGATGCCTTTGCCACCATCTGCTCGTTCCAGGCTCCGGAAGCCGCGGAGGCGCTGGCTGTCTACGGTGCCACACTAGCACGCTTACTTCCGCGGGAAACAGCGGGTCTGGTGGTCTCGTTGTGCCTGGGAACGTTTTCGCCACAGAAGCTTGCCGACTCACAGGCCGCCGTGATGGCAAACGCAAAAAAACTTCTGGAACAACCCGTCGACGACCGTGATCGTGCCTGCGACCCTTATCCGGTCCACGTATTCGCCTCGGCCTTTCTGGAGAACCCCAAAATACTTCGCTTGATTTTGACCCACTGCAACCGCAATAAGTGCTATCTAAGTCCTTCCTTGCGCAGAACCCTCCTCGAACTGACGCTGCAAGAATGGAACCAGGCCAAGCGAACGGGAGACATGGAGGCGGAACGAATGAGAAGGAAAGAAGCCATTGCCGCCCTGACGGATTCCCACAGCCGAGAGATCGGAGATTACGATGCCCTCGTCATTGTGCAGCTCGCAGGGTTTGAAGACGGAGAGCTTCTCTTGTACGAGCGGCTTCAAATGGGACCCATGCTTCTGTCCCGGTACGCCAAAGACGGCGGCGTCAAGGCCCGGAGGCAGATGCTGGCGATGTGCCGGAATGACCCGGAAATCTCGGCCGACGTCCTGGGATACTTTGTGAACATGGTGACGGAGCGGATGGCACTCGCGGAGAAAGAGGGAGTCGACGACGGAGAGGAATCCGACGACGAGGTCAACGACATCCTGGAGGACATCCAGGACACACTGGCGCTTGCCAAGCGCCAGGGAGTCCTACCGCCGGTGCGGATCGCCCGCATCCTCGCCGGCGAGGGCACGGGGCAATTCAGTGGCTCGTCGGCGGAAGCCGCCTCCGACCGTTCCCCGGTCCGGACCGTCCCGCTGTCCGTTGCGCTCGACTACGTCGGGGACATCCTGGACGAATCCCGAAAGGAAATCTCGCGCCTGAAAACGGAGGTGGAAGACTACAACCAGCTCTGCAATTCCATGGAAGCCCAGATCGACGCCCTGCTGAACACGTCGGCTTCTGCCTCGCAGCAACGGATCGCAACGACGCAGTCGTCGGAAGAACCGAGCAAGCAGCTGTCGCCCAGGATTCACGTCGAAGACATGTACACCAAGGTTCGACTGCACCTGGACAAGAACGACAAGCAAGACAACAAGGCCGACCTCTCCCGCGAAGCATTCTGGAGGGATATGGACCAGAGCGAAGACAGCTTCCAGACCCTAGCGAGATTCTTTGCCCAGAATGTAATCCAATAGTCATGTTAATACCGTACATATACTTGACATTCTATTATTGTTTGTGCTATACTCGACTTTTTGCGTGTTCGTTGGTTTCAAAAACGATTTCGGGATCTTTCAAACCGATAGTATCATGAATACGGAACGATTGCTTTATGTATGTTATGAACAATGATCTACCCCGATGCATTGAAATCCACTTAGCCATTAATTTGAAAGCGCATTGACCGCCTTTATCATCTCGGCCTTTTTCAGTTGCTTTCCGTCCTTGTCCACGGTTGAGATTCCCTTCGACGTCAGAAATGCGTTGAAGTCTTTTACCGTTGTTCTCGACAGCGCCGACTTGGTCAGCGTAGTGAGATCGCCCGTGCTGGGGGCTGGAGCCGTTTTCTTTGCGGGTGCCTCTTGTTTGGCTTCAGCGGCGGGGGCTTTCGTCTTGGCGAAAAATGGTTCATCAGCCTTCGCCGCCTTTTTGGGTGCCGTGGCCTTCTTTGGTGCAGCAGCCTTCTTCGCAGGCGCAGCGGCCTTCTTGGGTGCCGCGGTCTTTTTCTGAGGCGAAGCCTTCTTCTTAGGAGCAGCGGCCTTTTTCTTGGGTGCAGCAACCTTTTTCTTTGGAGCAGCCTTTTTCTTTGGAGCAGCCTTTTTCTTTGGAGCAGCCTTCTTTGGCGCAGCTGCAGATGCTTCGGGCAGTTTCGCCTCCTTCGCTGCTTTCTCGGCCTCCTTCTTTGCTGCCACGGCCTTTTTCTTTTCTTCTGCGGCCTTCTTTCTGTCGTCGGCAGCCTTTTTCCTGGCGTCCGCGGCCTTTTTCTTTGCTTCGGCAGCCTTCTTCTTGGCTTCCTCGGTATTTTTCTTTTTCTCTGCGAGTTTTTTCTTGGCTTCCTCTGCCTTCTGCGCCTTCTCTTGTTCCACCCTAGCGCTCTCCAGCTCCCTCATGAGTGCACGGCACTCCTGTCGCGCCTTGGCAAGCTCAATGTCCATATCCTTCACCTTTCCCTTGTTTGCCGCAATCTTTTGGTTCAACGAGTTGATTTCGCGGTTGAGATTGAGGGAATCGTCGGCTGCCTTGAGCTTTGCCTTGCTAATGACCAATTCCTTCTGCGTGAGTTTTTCCTTGGCGTCCTTCAGCTGGGAATCGAGGTCGATGCCGTTGGCTTCGAGTGCCTCCATGCGGCTCTGCAAGGCAAGCTGTTGTTTCGAAAGACGGAAAGCAGAAACAAAAGTGTTGAGCAAGTGCCCCGCTGCTCAACAACGCTTTGTGGATCGGAATCGCACCAACACCATCGCATAGTGACATTGCAGAAACACCAAAACCAATTGCACACACTTACCAGCTCGTCTGTAAGGCCACCGATCGCATCCGAGGAAGCAGCGATGTCCATCGTTTCCGTCTTGGGCTTGTCGTTGCCCTTGTTGGCGGCTCCAAGAACGAGCAAAAGCATTCCGGTGGCCGCCAATGCGGCCAATCCTTGTTCGTTGGGGGAAAGGGTAGCGGAGTATTCCTGCAGKGCCTTGATGTTGAACCCGGAAAAATCAATGCCGGCGGAACCAGCGGCCACGGCCTGTCCCTTGGCCACCGTTGGCAGGGAGATCTTCGGGAAATCGATCTCCGCAGGATCTTTCCCGGCCAATCTCACAATGTTGTCGCGCAACAGGATCGATTTGGTCTTGGTGACCTCCCAGTTCGTTCCGGAAGCGGCGGATGCCGCATCCCCAGACACCGAGGCCCGGACAAAGCTGAACAGCGGGCGGGCCTTGCCCGCTTCCAGCGGGGGGGGAGGGGGAATGACGACCTTGGCCTGAGTTGCCGTTACCAGGTTGTTCACGGCGTCTTGCGTCGCCTGCGTCGCCTTCACCGCCGCGTCTTGCGTCGCCTTCATCGCCGCTTCTTGCGTCGCCCTCATCGCCGGTTCAACGGCAGCGGCGACATCGGGGGGCGGGGGAGACGTCGCGCTCGCGGCGGCGTCGCTCGCCTTGGACGCAGCGCCGCTGTAGTCGGTCTTCGCGTTCTGCAAGAGAGACGACAAATCGTCGTCGAGGTTGAGGTATGTGTTTTTGGCCGAGGCAACGGTTTCGGTCTTGGAATATCCCCAACCCGCCGCTGTCTTTAAAGATCCGCCAATCCTGCCGTTGTGAACCTGGACAAAGGCCACCACCGCGCTGGTAGTCAAGGCAACGCCGGTCACCACCCGGCCGAAAGTTGTCGTCTTCATTCTGGATTATTTGGCTCCTCGCTTGCTGCGCTTTGTAATCTAACGATACGTTACGTTACAACCGTGTTCGCGTCGGCTTCCCTCGTCTTGTATTTCGAGCCGGAGGCCGTCTATTGAATAGTGTGTGGTGCTACAGAATTATTCTATGACAACGGTGAAGGTGAGCAGTATCGTATCACGGTCTACGTTACGGTATTTTTCTAAACGATTCGACTAGTACCGGTTTGTACCGGTAGATATGATACGAGATTTCCTAACCGTAATTCCCTACTGTCCCGTGCTCTGACATCGGCAGTTTCGGTTGTTTTCGGTTTACACCCTTGCCGACATGAATTCGAATTGCCTAGAATTGGTGTCTAAATCTTTTTCATCGAACATTCCAGCGCGACAGGTTCAAGGTGGCTAGAACCTAGACGGACGACGGAGAGGCGTCGTTTTCGAAAATCTTCTGGAATGCTAAGGAGTTGGACAATACGAAAAAAGAAAATATGGTCAACACCCCCGAGCATCTCCGAAAACCAGGGTAGTAAAGTACACTTCGACGTATCTATTCAAAAAATAGGGTTCCTCTCTTTTTTTCATCGCTGCTTCGAAGAGTGCTCGCAGCACTCTGTAACGGGCAACGAGTATCGTGCGGTTTACTCGTACTTTATGGGTGCGTCAATTCTTACTCCTCGTAATTTTTCTTTAGATTATTGTGTCCTTACCATACTCCCCGTACAGCACTGTACAGTACGATGCCCCTCCTCACTTGTACGGCACTGGGGGTACAGAAACATGCTGTAGTCTTCGCCGCATATTTTCCGTACTAGTACCGGTACGAGACTTGCACGAGGTATGAAGTCAGTCACCGAATGAAAACTCTACGGTGCAACATTTTTGATTCATCACGCAAAAGCACGGTGATCACGGCGATCCTCCTCACTTTTTGTCGTTTAGCACAAAACACAAAAATTCCTACATTTTCCAAAATCACTGTTATTTCGGAATAAAATCCAAGCAACGCCACCGGAACAAAATGTAAGTTACACATCCTCTGAAAAAAGATCGAACACGTCATTTCGCGCTGGTAACGTTTAGATTGGTGATATATTCGGTCCGTTTTGCCCGAAAAGGCCTTTGTTCCGTCGTTGCGGAAGACTGCGTGTGCCTGCTAGCCTTTTCTCCTGCACCCGGTCCGTGAGAAAACTTGTTGGTGATTACGATGGATTAAGATAATTGTTTGTACTGTGTGCATTTTGGTTCGCGTTCCTGGACCGTGAGAGACAAAATCCATCGTTAGCGGTGTGATTTTCGTCTTAGGAAATCGGCAGTCGAAAAAAAAAAAAACATTTACCGCAGTCGTACGGTAGCGGAAGCCAAACGCGACACTTTCTTGTCGTTTCGGGGGGATTTTTGACATATTATTTGTTTGTACGCTCTGAGTGTGTGTGTGTGTGTGTGCGTGCGAACAAAAAGACATGATTTGTGTGTGAAATCACACCTGTTATTTCTTTTGTGTTCGGGTGATGAATCAGGAGCCAGTCATACGCCAACCGCACCAGTACTGCTCCTACTATTCGGTACATGCACTAGCATTTTGTATGCGCGCTCTCGTCAAACAATCTGCAACTCCATCCATTTTTTACTACGACTAGGAGTGCTGCAAAGTACGGGCGCAGCCAACTCGTACAGTCCTACACACAATGCTGGCTACCTTTCTGTTTCACGAGCTACCCATGGTTCTGCGCATCATAGACTTCGTAGCATTTTCTACTTCGCTTCTACGTACCGCAATGTTGGACCAAAACCTGCGAACACGCGCGCAATCCTAGGCAGTGCGAGTACCAGACGCATCTTCGTGGGGGGTTCGTCAGATTCGTTATTGATTTTACGGTTAAATTTGTGTCCCTTCCGACCGGAACGCTCGATTTGAAAACATCACGCGTTTCACTCACGCTGCACGTCTTCTCCTTTTCCCGCAATTTTTGTGTTCCTCAATACAGAATTCGAAAACACTATCAGCGGATTGCACAATACAGAAACCGAAACCATGACGGATGTCGAAGACTTTGAAGATATGGAAGACTCCATGGATATGGGGTCCATGGAATTCGCAAGTGGCGATGACGGCGGTGACGATGTCGACGCCGAGGTAGTGGTGGATGACAACGACGGGGAGGAGGAGGAGGAGGAGGAAGAAGAAGAAGTTGATCTGGACGAATATGAAGACCAAGACGAAAACGGAGATCAGGAAGAGGACGCCGAGGCGGCAGACGAAGAGGAGGATGCAGATACAGCAGACAATGCCGAAGACGAAGAGGACGACGACGAGGTAGAGGCAGAAGAGGGCGAGAGCGAAGCTGAGGGAGAGCCCGAGGAAGAGGTGGAAGCGGAAGAAGAAGATGCCGAAACAGCCGAGAACGCAGAAGAAGAGGCCGACGACGAGGTAGAAGTGGAAGCCGAAGAAGACGACGACGAGGTAGAGGTGGAAGAAGAAGACCCGGATACAGCAGATAACGAAGAAGACGAGGACGATGAGGAGGTAGAAGCCGAAGAGGAGGCAAACAATACAGAAGACGAAAACAATGACGACGAAGATGAAAACGACGAAGAGGCAAACAATACAGAAGACGAAAACAATGACGACGATGTTGATGAAGACGAGACAGACAATGACGAAGAAAATGATAGTGATAGCGACGGCGGCGACGACGACGACGATGAAGAGTTAGGGACAAAGGCATTGTTGGGTCCAGAAATCAGAGATGACGAAGACGCAGCTGTTGACTTCGTCCCGGAAGAAGTTGATGACGAGGACGAAGACATGGACGATGATGACGAAGACGACGAGGCGGACGAAGAAGGTAAGAAATTGACAATGACTATCTGTCTTTTGAAATAAATTTGCAGTGGAGTGTTTCACTAAAAAAAATGTTATTGAAATTTCGTAGACGACGATGCATCGGACGACGATCAAGACGGACCGCAACTGAAGAAACAGAAGACTAGTTGATTCCAATGGAAATTTCAGATATTGGGGGGAATACATCACAAGAAGGCTTTCGTTGCCTGTCGAAGTGTACTATGAGGGAAACCGACTCGGGATGAAAAATGTAATGCTTAAGGAATTCTTTACGGGATCAAATCAATATCCACGTTTTATTTTTCAAGATCAATCTACTCTAGTGCGACGAGTTGATCCAGTAGTCGGACTACAAGGCAAGCCAGAGACACACTTAGTCTCGCGATGCACCCTCCTCCACTGCTTCTTTCTCTCGAGGTTATGTAATATGCACCTCCAGTTTGGTACGACTCAACGATAGCATTGTAGCGACACTAATGCACTTCGGATTGATCTGTTTTCACGGATCTCTTCGAATTTTGCCGTAGGCGCAAACGAAGCCCAGGGTCGTTATCGGCCACGCAATGTTGGGGATGTTGAAGCAAATGGGACTGTCTCGCAAGTACAAGCAATACTTGTGTCCGACAGAAGCTTTATAACTTTTAAGGAACCTAGTTCTTGCATTCATTTGTATCCTTGTTCGATACTATACCGGTGTCTAGAAGAAATTGTTGATCGTAATGCAGAACTTATTTTTGGGGAAAAATTCCATTTATATGTTTCAAAAATAATCTTGAACAATATATATTATTTACGTTAGTGGAGCCGAGTAGAACGAAACTATTCTGTCTTCATTGCCGGCACCTGTGGACGTAGTAGTCACAAAGAGGTGCGACTTCACAGTAGAGGACGAAAGGATCCGCCCATGGCTCGTCAATTGTCTATCGTTCTTAGTCTTGTTTTTGCCGTGTTGCTTTTTGGTCCTTCGAATTGCTCTTTCTGTTTTGGACCATGTTTTTCAATGATTTAATGAAACGCCTTTCGAATGTTCCGACCAACAGCACGATGCCAGCGAGGAACACGATTCCAGTGACTACGTGCCACCCCGTCTGCACCAACCAATCGCTGTTTCGAATTTCCAATCGAAGATGAAAGCCGTTCGCGGCAAGGTTTTCTAGCGACAACCGAGTAGCTAGCCATGCAAGGGCAAACGCTGCCAAAACTACTGGGTGCGGACAGAGATCGAGCAGTAGCGGTGATCGCTCACCTGTTTGTGATTTCGAAAAGTATGCCACTGCAAAATGCAACGAGTATAGCGATCGAATGAACATTGCCACACAGTTTGCAATAACTATCCCAAGCGTCCCATAGCGACCCACAAAGAGGTATGCAGTAGAGGCAAACGCCACACCGGTCGCCGTGTGCACCAATCCCAGTTTTGTCATTTCTGTTGCAGCGGTGTCACCACCACCAACAGCGTAGACGAACGCTTCCGTCATCCCGTTGAGGGCCAGAAACGAAGTGTATACACAAAAGCCAGCCAGAATATTGGAAGCCTCGATGTTGGATCCCCATGTCCGTCCAGCCAATATGTTGAGAAGAAGCCCAGTATAATGAACAGCAAAGCAGCCAAATACGAGCCCAACATACAGAACAAGCTTTACAAGCGTTGTATAGGATCGAAAGAGGTCGTTCTGGTGAACAGTGTTGTGTTTGTCGGATTCGCTCGCCAATCGGCTCCACAGCAACCGAGCATTCTCTTCGAGAGGTTGCAAAAGGATACGCGCAGCCATGCCACCATACGATGCACCCATTGCATACACTCCTTGGTTGTAGCTATCAGACATGGCTGTCAAAACGATCTTGTCGGCTTCGGTCAGCATGTGCTTGAAAAATCCTTGAATCGTGTACACAAAGGTCGTGTAACACGTATTCCCGTCGAGACCGCTGAGAAATACCGACAGCGACGACGGAGGCGACCCGGCCTCGTTCCAGTCGGGCGTTGAGAGGGCCCTGCCGTACAAGTAAAAAGTGTAGATTGTAGCATAGACTAGCTGTGCCAAACCGAATGCCGTTATGGTCCACGACGAGGGCAAAAACTGAATTCCCACCGCCGTCGCAACGGTCTTTGCTACTGTGGCAATTCCCTCTGCCTCTACCCGGGGGGGAACCTCTAATTTCCGCAAAAAGAAGAGCACCGCGGGTTCACCACTCCCCTCTACCCATGAGGCGATGCAGTATAATACCCCTGCTATTCGATAGTCCGTGGCAACCTCGTCGCTGGATGTTGCGAAAAGCAAATGCCATATCATGGTTGTTCCCGAAATGAAGGTAACCACTGGAATGGTTAACCAAGCTACCTGCACAAAAAAGCGTAGAATGTAATACAAATTGAGAACAAAAATGTACAGTTCATAAAAAAATCGGCTAAAGCTTGTTTTGAACCTACCGTCTGATTTTCTGGCACCACGTTCTGAGTAAGTGCTAACCGAAAGCCCTCGCGGCTTATGAACAAAATCGTCGTTAGAATCAATTCCAGTTGGATGCTTGTTCCGAGCGTCGATGGGTCGAGGGCGCGGATAGTAAGCTGCGTGCAAACGAAGGAAATCAAACGAAGCACAAGAGTGAAAAGAGTTCCTCGGGCAGCTGCTCTCGTGACATTTTCGACGGACAAACATTCGTTTGCCATTGTAGCAGTGGATGCAGTTCTATCCCGACAGCTAGTGCGATTTTCACTCGTGGGGTTGTCGCTCGTTTCGTAGGGTGGTTGACCCATTTTCTTCCTTTGTGGTAAGGTTCTCGACCTCTGTCGTATGTTGTGGTGTTCAAGTCGTCTTCTATGCACCAATCAACCGCCAACCATATCTAATGCCAAGATTTTGTCGGCATACTGAAATTGATCTTGAGGTTGTGTTATTATCGTTGTCGGGTCAGTTGCTCAGTCGTGGTCAAAATTTTACCGCAGACTTCCTGACAAGGACTCGTGACTGAGTCGAACTTAGGACTTTGATTCTTAATTTTCCCCACAAATGCTGGTGGACTGCAGTAAACAGATAAACAGATCAATGAGAGTTCAACAGGAATGATTAAGAAAGAATGAAGGTTGACTGAGATGGGGTAAGCTATTCCTACTACAGCCGTCAGGAGGTGTAGAATAATGCATCTGAAAACCAACATTATTCAGCATTATCCCCCTATGCCAACAGCCATTTTGAGAGAGAAAATTCAACAGCTACATTTATTCACTCTGATTGTCAATAGTATGTTGAACATCAACCCTGGGAAAGCTTTAAAGACAAAAATACTATCGCAATCAAGCAAGTTCAAAAATTCTATTTCTACATGAATCAAAAATTATGATTGAGAAAGCATCATGGTAAAAGTTTCTTGAACAATGGGCGATGTTTGATATCGGATAATGGTGAAGACGGAAGGAGACATTTAGATGAAATTCATTTCTCTGTTCCTTCCTCCTTAACCATGACTCTCTCTCGTCGCCCTTCTTTCCATTCTACGTTTTCTTTCCACACCGACCCTTCGTCTCCTTCGTAACATTCTCTTTTCCATATTGGAACCCTTGCTTTGAGCTCGTCGATCAGAAATTCGATGCAATGCAAAGCATCTCGTCGATGGGGACTCGAGCATGCCAAAATCACGCTCGCTTTGCCAACAGGACAATCGCCCAGTATATGAACGGCGGCAATCTTGTGAATGCTCGCAAACTTTTTGCAGGCATCGTCGCACACACCCCTTAGCTCCTTTATGGCCATCGGAACATACCCCTCGTAGCTCAGCTGGGTGACCATTTTGTCCTGAAAATTATCCCTCGTCGTTCCTGTGAAAGTCGCAATCGCACCGCACGAGGAGTCGTTAACAAACCGGGAGCATTCATCGAGTGTCGGAAGGTCTTCCGAGACTCGGATGAAGTACTTATCGTCGCTCGTGGAGCTAGACGATGAGGACATTGTTAGGATTATTTGTTCTAGCTCTTGCAAATATTTCTGAGGAATTTCCCACGATATCGTCAATATTGTCTTTTCGCAGACGACATAAAATAATTGTAATGAAAGACCGACACTCCAGATGATGTAGGCAGTGTTGCAGTTTTTTGTAATCTTCAGTGTGCGGTTCGTAATCTTACTCTTACATTTGCTGGTGATCAGTGGTCGTACAGGCACTCGCGTAATAAATAATAAATGGCGCCCCTTAAATAAAAGTGATGATTAACGAAAAAAACTTGAAAGCAAACAGAAACTACGAAACGTACCGTACGGTTACTGCTACTCCCTAGTACTATACTACATCGGAACGTAAGGGGGTGAGTTGATGTACCTCGGCGTAGTCGTATTAGTTGTACCATTGCTCTTTTCAAACAACGTTCAAATAAGACTAAAGTACTAGTAAATGTTAGAGACTGAAAATATGCCATCCTGCTCTTCTATTACCACAGCGCTGGGGCACGAATACTATTCTTTCAACTCCATTCCTTCCATTGCCGCTTCCAGTTCTTTTTCCATGGCATCACCAGCAAACCATTCGATCGCCTTCGGAATAATATGCGATCTGAAAGCTTGAGCAATGTCATAGTCTTCGTCGAATGCAGCCTCCACACGAAGACATTCTTCCTCGTCCATGGTTTCCAAATTTGGCATTGAGGGTGCCGTGAAAAAGTTAAAAAAGGAATCACGAGGCACCTTCTTGGTGACCGTTCGGACTTGTCCAGCATTCTTTCCTGTCCCGCGTTGCTGCTTCGTGACCTCTACATGGGTCAATGCTATATTTGGTTTCCATTTTATTTCGCAACCTTCGACATTTTTCAAAATAGGTTCATCCGCAAGGAGCAAATTGGGAACATCATAACTTTTCGTCAAAACCGTATTTTCAAAGTAGTCGTTGGGAGCAAAATGAAATTCAAGACTGAATCCCTCGCCGTTGTCGTCGTTAATACATTTGATATCTTCCAGATGACCCAAGCATTCAATATCTTCTTCCGAGACAATCCCTTGAGTAACTGGCATTTGTTGGATTGCACATGCCCAGAACATAGGGATTCCTTTGTCCATTTCTTCTCCGTCGGCTTCTTTTGTTTCGCCAGCAGCGGCTATTTCATCGTCCATTTGCCCTAAAACTACTTCTTTTCTTCTTTCGTAGAGTGGTTCTGAAAGCTTCTGGAATTTCGCTTCCATTGCGGCACGTTCCGCTAAATACTCTTTCATTAACGCGTCTCGCTCATTATTGATTTCTTTGAGTTTTTCAACGCGAAGTTGAATGTAATGAGGCAGGCCCTCAGTGATGCCTTCTACGCCGTCATCCTCGACCTCTTCGACAGCGCCATCATTATTTTTAAAACCTGTCAGCCCCGACGATAGACCAGATTCTGAGCTCTTCACCACTGCTTCAGCATAGGCTCGAACGAATTCATCTTTCTCGACAAAGTGTGAAGTCAACACCCCTTTGGCCATCAGCTTCATTTTCATTTCTGAAATCTTCATGCCCTTCGCCTTTTCAATTTCGGCCTGAATTTTCTCTTCGGTTGTCATGGTAGCGGCTGTCTCGTCTTCAGATGTCATAGTAAAGGTTACTTTCAAATAATTCAAATATGTCTCCTGTCTTAGCGTATTACAGCTCGGTTCCTCTGATTATATTTCTTTACTGTAGACTACGAGGTGCGAAACTGCATTTAAGATCTTCCGAAAAACTTCTCTACAGCCAGTTAGTACTAGTACCGTATTCGGACGAGCACAACCTCATCAATGCTCGTGATTAAGGAAGAAAAATCTGATCTAATTGTATGGCTATCGCAGTCTTTGACTCAGTCGTGTTTGAACTTTGGTGCGATGGCAAGACGATTGATGTAACAGTAATCGTGCTGCTACGTAAAACCGTTAAGACGTCTCAAACCTGTACTCTAATTAGTGTATTTCAATCAAAATCATGGTCGCATCTGTGACCAGAAATGTCGACGAGAAGGTGAGTTCAGATTTGCTGAGATCAGTTTGCGAACGACTTTGTGACGGCTAATTTGAACAATATTCTCTTGCATAAAAATTTGAGAAACGGATTCAACTGCCAAACTCAATTTGATTTCCGTTACGATTTTTCGACATCGTGAAGCCGCCTGTGAATTGCTTCTAATTTGAGTTGATTAAGCGATATAGAATTATGCAGTTTGTGGCACAAACATGAGCTTCATCTCATAATAACGGACCTCCATTTCATCGATGCTAAACTCGTGAATATCATCTAATCCGAGCCGTTTTTGTTCGTTTCAAAGTTCAAGGATAGATAGCAAAATGAATGTGTCTTTCAACAAAAATACGATTGGTCATTCAGATCACGTATGGCCCTTTCAATCAGTGAAGACTTCACCTATCACTACGAATACCGAAGCGACACCTAAAGTTCCTTCCAATAGAAAGAAACGAGTGGCATGGTCGAAGAAGGTAAGTGCAATTACATTGTGAACTTCCACTCCTGGAATCCAAGAACTACTACTTTTTTCACACTGGATCGTATGTTCTCAACCATTCGAATTGTCTCCTTGTTATGACGATCTACCGGTACCGTTTGGCTTTTCTCTGTCGAAGGAGGATGAGTTTCTCATGGCGTCGGTGAAAAGATTCGGAGGCGGCGATGTAAAATGGCCCCAAATTGCCGTTCAAATAAACAAGGCTTTTCATGTCACTAGAAACGGCAAACAGTGTCGAGAACGTTGGCTTAATCATTTGCGTCCAAATATCAAAAAAGGCAAGTGGACAGGACATGAGGAGGGGATGATCGAATACTTTTACAACAATTTCGGCCCAAAGTAAGTAATGATTGCATCATTTGAAGCTGTGATCAGTATACTTCACAGTGTTCCTCTGCAGAATCAGTGGGAAAGAACTAACCAAACGTAATACCACCTGTTTTTCTACAGGTGGTCCACTATGTCGAAGCTAATGAAGAATCGGACCGATAATGACATTAAAAACAAATGGAATTCAATGAAGCGGGCACGTGAAAGAAAGAAGGCTGAAGTCAGTAGCGCTATCATGACTGATAATGATGAGGCTTCTAGACGAATCGTGATGCGTGAAATTCGTACTAATACACAATCGAAGATTGGAAAAATGCCTCCGAAATCATTGGAAAGAGCTCTTACGTCAGAAAATATAAACGGTGGTGATCGCACTGAAAATTTACCTGTTCTCGCAGACTGTGTGAACGAGGTGTTCGAAATCTGATGTAGATGAAAGAGCAACCGTTTGCATGATTCAACTTTCGTCAAAATCGACCTAAGAATCTTCGGAAGTACATATTCATGTATAAAGAATCGAACTGCAAATAATCATGGAAGTAAATACTACTACGTTAACAATTAGAAGTCTCAAATGCAGAAACTTAGATTTCAGATTACTCAAATCCGAAATTCTACCGCACTACTGTGGAGTAGGCTCTCGAAGTCACCACCGATACGGTGCCGTATTGAGCTCATGGCCGTTCGCGATGCGACAAACGGAAACGCCGAGCAAGCTTCATTTTCACATCAGTGTTTAAGACTGGTGGTATAGCCCTAACTTCGAGCTCGATGTCACTCAATTGAGCGTACATGCATTGACACCGAACTAGGACAGGAAACTTTGGTTTCTCTTCGACTTCGAGCTCTCTGGGGTCATTGGAGCCAATCTCGAACCTAGCTTGTAGCTGAAATTTTTCTCCCCCACCGAGCTCCGAAACACACCAAATGACGCTGCGTTTGGACTCGTTCCAAACACCACCGGGAGGTGACGTCGTGAGTGATTCTCCGTTCACTTCTGGAGGAACTCCCATTATAATCGTTAAATCAGTCAAAGTGTCCTCGTTGTGAGGGTTAGAACTTATCTGCAAGGCCACTCTCCAGTGTCTCTCCTCCAGGCGAACCCGTGTTTGTACTCGCTGTTGAAAGATGTTAACAAAAGTGGAAAATCGCAATTAGCTTATTCATTCGTGACGGTTCTTGATAGGAAATGTTGTCATTGAACTTACAATAGGGACCGGTCGGAGATCACTTCCGCACTTGTATCGTATGACCGGGAAGTATTCCTCTGTTTTGGGTACGGATACAGCAAACTTGTGTGTGGTGTTGTCGTTTGTTACTTCTGCATATTTTTTGTTTTCTTGTATCGACTGGATATAGTTGGATGGATCATGTATAAGAAGAGAAAAAGGGATTCCACGATCGATATTGGACCGAACCTGGACCTGAATCACCCCCTCGACGGAACATGATGACAACTTAGAGACTTTGTAGAAGCATGTCAGGTCCTCGTTAAGGGCTATGTTCACGAACACCTTCGCAGGAGGGCCTCCGTTGGTAGCTATGTTATCCTTTGGATCACCAGAAAACGGATCAAAAAGCTGTCGACTTGTAAGGCTGCCCTGGGGCGTCCTTGACTGGGAGACAAAGGAAGTATTGCCTTCGAGAGACTCGATTCCTATCGAAGAGCGTCGACCATGTGCATTCCTTCGCGACATTCTGTTAATGGAAGTGGAATCCTTGGTATTGGAAGCCAAAAGCCCATGTAGTCTCGATCGGTGCGGCGTTCTAGATGCTGTGTCTTTTGTGGGGCCCTTCAAAGTCAAATTTGAGCCACTGGTGGTTGACGACCGTGCAGATACCGAAACATCGTCAACGCCCCCGACCTTCCCAATGCTATTGCTGCTAGCATTTCGCTCAGGCTTTGCGGCACTAAAGCTTCGTTTTTCGCCTCTAAAGTCGAAACCTCCCAAATCGGCATCCCTCGCAAATTTTCGATTCCGTTTTTTGCCACTCCTTCCAGTGGCGGCAGCTTCTCTTGCTGCCTGTCTATTCTCGTACTTCCTTAACATCGAATCGGAATCAAACACCGACAGGACTGCCATCCGTTCTACAAGGATTCTGGCATGGTCAGCCGAATTTTCTTGGAGGGGATTGCTCTTTCCAAAACTACTGCTATCCATTTCTTGTTGGTGGCCCCGTTTCTTCGAACTCGTCGTCAATATTCGTCTGGCGAATTGATCCTCCTGGTTTATCTCTATTCGCTGTTCTCCTTCTACAACTGAATTTACCAGTCGATCTTCGTCGTCTGTAAGCAATAATGAAGTCATCAGGGATTTTGATGAAGAGAGCATCGCCATGGCCCCACTTGCACTACTACGCTCCCTACTGCCGGTATTCGAGGATGCTGTTTCTGCCAGTATACCTAGGCACTTTTTCATTCTTTGGCTCAAAGAGTACGTTAGGGGTGAGGTTCCAATGCCAAAGGCCGCCGATGGACCACCTCCGACCCCAACACAAAAGATCACCCCCGTAACTTCCTTCGCTTCAATTCCTGCGGTCAAACCAGCGACTCCCTTGTTTGTTTTCGACGAATGCAGTTTGGAAGAGCTCAATATCAAAGGAACCAGAAAGGACGAGAGCTGTTTTCGATCTCGAATCAAGTGAAATTGCATTGCAATTCCGTGGCACTTCTTTGGTCGGAATATTTGCGTCACAAAGTCGTTGCCGCTCTTGTTCGGAAACAGGAATGCTTCGTCTTCGTTCAAGAATCGACCCAAGGTTGCCTTAGTTGTCGTCGAGGTGTTTCCGTCGTTCGTCTGCTTGTTGCTTTTGCCACTCGCCTTGAGAATTGAATTGATATAAAAATGAAGTTCCGTAAGTGCTTCCAGGCAAGATAATTGACATAATGTAGTCGTGGGACTGGGAAGCACCAATGGTTCTACTCCACCACCAACATGAGAGGGTATCGGGGTTGCATCACCGCCAGCAATGTCGCTCCGAAGCAGAATAGATAGAGAAACGAATTCGGGACCCGGAAGCGCTCGAGAGTACAGCAAATCCATTGTCGATGCTTGAATCAATTCGTTTCAACTGTTTTTGTCAATCGAAGGCTCGTTCCTTTGTTCGTTGTTGGTCGACCGTAACGAACCAGTTTGTAATTGATTTTATGACAGCAAAATCCAATCCTTKTGGATGTTTTTGTCAGTACTATCCCTGATCATTAACGTAAAGGTTGTCCAGTGGGTTTCAGATCAGCGAGGAGCTTGGTGAAATTACTGAGCATACCAATAAGACAGTGGGTAATGCATTTCTGGATTCATCATTGTCCGGATCGGATGTCTAGCTAGCTTCACCGTCGTCTTATTTTCGTATTGTATTTTGCAAGTCATCCCCTACGCATGCACCGTACCGTACGGTACAGACTGAACTCTTGATTTTCGATTTTTTGAAATTTGTATGCAAAAATTACCTTTGCCGGCGCGTACTAAATGAGTCATGAGAACCCGTGTCTCGCGGCTGTTGTTTGGACCACCACTCCTCTTGTTTCTTCTTCATATTTTTTTCACCATTTTCAACCATCCCTACTAGCAAAATTAGGTCTTTTGCGGTGCGCAGCCAGGGGAAGTCGAAAGTTGGGTGTACTGTATTTACCGTACTGTACATTTGTCATTTGTTCAATCTTTCATAGTAGTACTAGTAGTAGTAGCATATCAGGAAACTCGTCTCGTGCCACCACCAGCAACATCTCATTTCCGTAACTTTATATTTTTACAGAAAAAAATCACGTTCAACCTAGTACATGCTTTACATTAAAAATTTGTTGATACCATGCTTTTACATTTTTCTCCCCCTCAAATTGTTCCAGTCAAATAACGACTATTTTTGTACTTTTTATTCTATTTGACTTCCATGATTGAAGAAGTAAGAATGATAATAAGCATGACAATAATTTGGAGCAAGAGGCATGACAACCAACAAGTACCATTACTAGTAGCAGTAGTAGTAATACCAAAAATCTTAAATTTAAACTACTACTAGTACTACTACTACTAGCTAGTACTAGTATTACCAGCATCACCAGCACTTGTTCACCCCCAGAATTCCTGTTTCTGCTTCTTCTTGTTCCTCATTGTTGCTGCCTTGTCCTGCCAACGTTCTTCTTCTTCTTCCCTCCTCCTCTTCTTGTTCTTCTTGTTGTTGTTGTTCTTGTTCTTGCTGCTGCCCGGCCCTGTTGCTTCTTCTTCTTCTTCTTGTGAGTTCTTCTTCTTCCTCCTCCCCTTCTTGTTCTCCTTCTTGCTATCTACAGATTCTTCTTCTTGTTCATCTCCTACAAAAATTCTGTCTGGTTCTGTGAGGAGATGTGTTGAAAGTGTGGCCATTATTGTTAAAGAAGTTTATGAACCACAAGTCGGGCCAAGCATTGTGGGTTGATGAATTTTGAATTTTCCCCCAAATGGAAAATCGACTCAGTTCCCGGTATTGTAATTCTTTTTATTTCTACCACGGCATCAGACTTAGTTTTTTCTCTAATTATCGCATGCAGTACCCTACAGCACTATTGTACGTAGTATGTTCTACAACGTCACGTTCGGTAGCTCTAATTCGTTCACGGAACGATTGCGGTTGTAGATCGTGTTTGCGGGGTTCGTAACGTTATCGGATGCGCGGGTCATCCTGTTGGAAGCCCCGCTAAGTAGGTCAACAATTTTGCTCCAGAATCTAGTCCAGGGCTTCTTCTGTTTTGGCTCCCAAAAGCTAAAGTTGTCCCGGAGATGCTAAAGTTGTCGCGGGCCGACAACTTTAGCCGGCTCTCTCCCGATTCAAGACGAAGACTGGACAGAGGGTTTTTGATTGTGTCCCGTAGGCTTCATTTTATTGGCACGTATTCCTAAGTACTTCTATTTTTAGGACGACGAGCGCGGATCAATTTTCCCTCCCATGTTTCTTCATTCTTGTGAAATAAATTTACAGAACCTTCATTCACGAAGATCTATATAATTGAACAATCGTGGTTGTCAAATCACGATGGATGTGACTTCGATACAATCCCCTCTCATAATTTACGGACTCGGTCAACGGAGCAGACCAGGGATTCTGCTAGGGGGGAAACTGGGAATTTAATACAGAAACAACGCAAGGATCAACCGAAGCGCTACTACTCGTACCCACGAGACAAGTCAAGTACAAATACCAACTCTCTACTTTACAACAGTCTAGGAAAAGGAAGCGACATCAGAGTTGACTAGGTCTCCCCACGGCAGCACAGAAAGGCGTCTCTGCACGAACGGTTCATAAATCAACGATTGTCTTCGGATCGTGGAGTCAAGAAGTCTCTGACCATGCTGAAGTTAACAATGAATCCGAGAAAGCGCTCGAAGCGGATGAGAGCAGCGCAATTCGGAAAGCTCTATTATTCCGGGCAACCAAACGGTCCTTCACGGATGGAAATAGAACAAAAAGCAGTCGAGCATTGTGAATCGTTGTCGGATAGTCTCGCGGTCCTCCAAAAGCAAGAGATTGCCGCAACGTACAAGTGCAAAGACTACCTAGCGATGACGGAGTTTCGATTGAATATATACGATCTCCTTCCAAACGGTCGAATGAATAGCGACATTACGGCCCAAAATCCTCAGCAACAATCCCAGCCACAGTGCCCCGTCGATTCCCAGATCGACGAGTATTGCCGAGAGCAAATCGTGGAGTGGTCTTTTCGCGTGGTGGATTACTTTCACATCGATCGAGAGGTCGTGGTCTTTTCTCTTTCGATGCTGGATCGCTTCCTGGCCTTGTGCAAGTGTGACCGGGCCACCTTTAAGCTGGCGGCCACCACGACCCTGCACCTTGCTGTCAAAATCTTGCACCCCTGCAAGCTTGCAGAGCTCGGCATCCTCAGCGATCTGAGCCGTGGAGAATTTGACATGAAGGACGTGGCATCGATGGAGACGCACATCCTTGCCGAGCTTCAGTGGCAGCTGCACCCTCCGTCGCCCATTGCCTTTTGCACCGTGCTTCTGGACCTCTTTTTCAGCTCACAAAAAATGGGCATGGTCCACACGGATGTGAACGACCTGTACGATATCTCATCCTTTTTTACGGAGCTGGCCCTCTGCGACTATTACTTTGTGGGCGTGACACCAAGTATAGTTGCGATTACTTCGATAGTCAACGCACTGGAGGGAATGTTTGGCCCCGAGAACAAGGTGGCGCCCCGCATTCTGAAACTCGCCCGCGAAACGAACATATATCAAAACCAAGACCTGTCCCAGATATCCCACCGGTTATGGGAACTCTACGAGCGAAGCGAGGAGTGCGCCCTCCACAACAACGTGGACGCCATGGAAGTCGAGAAGACACCGGAAACCGCGACCGTGCCTCCCGCGAGCGCCGCGGAGGTCTTTGTCCGCAAGGGAGACTGCGGCGCCCAGGTCGTCTCGGACACGGGCTCGCCGGTGTCGGTGTCGAAGCACGGAAAGACGCTGTCCTCGAACGAGCTCATGTGCGCGATGCGCTCCCAGACGCTCCGCAACGGGAGCTGGTGAGCATCTGCGTTGTTTCGCAGCGCACCACCGAGGAACCGCCCGGTGTGTCCCACGAAGGCCACGGTATCGCAACAAGACATGCTATTGTATTACTGTACTTATTCTCACCGACCTTTATCCCCATCCGGGCTCTGGTATAGACACCCGGAAGCCCGGTTCATAGAAAACTACCATAAAAATAACAACTTACAATAAAGACAATGATAAAGATCAGCCCCCCTTGTTCTTGCTGCTGTGAATATGCATGGTGTTTTGTTTCGAACCACGGATCAAAGCCTGTTCTTGGTGATGCGAGTAGTAGTATTTGTTGCCTCTTTTGACCGCTAGTGGTAGTTGTTGTGGTTTGCAGGGTGAAGCAACGGGATGTAGTATGTAGTTTGAGTGCCCCCAACTGGTTGTACGAGTACGTACGCATTGGTATGGACCATATGTACCTGTAGGTACTACTGTACTTAATATGTTCTAGCCGTCGATCGCAAAATTCTTATTCCGTCCACGGGCATCGACCCGATTTGTCGTGTGCGTGCATGGAATCTGTCATTCACCGTGGTGTACCCTAGTACGGTATTCTACGGCATCCTACCCAAAAATCGCTCCCGAACTAACTGTCCATCACGTTCGCCATCGCGTTTGTCAGTACGGTACGTATCGTGTACGCACCGTAGGTACAGTACCAAGAGTGTTTTGAAGAATGAAGAATTTTGATACCACGGTCGTGGACGGGGCATCAACGACACCGCCGGAACACAGACAGCAAACGCAAACGCAAACGCAATTCCAATCGCAATCGCAATTCCAATCGCAATTCCAATCGCAACCGCAATCGCAATCGCAACCGCAATCGCAATCGCAATCGTCTCTCTGCGAATCTCGGCAGGTTCGACAGCAGGACACCCGCCACACACCACCACCGCACCAGCAGGTCGGAGCAGAGCCCGGCGCGTTCCAACACTAGACCAGACTCCCACACTCGCACCCAGGAGAGGAAAAGAACCAATCGTACAAAGACCCCGCGGTGCAAACGGACTCCACGGGCCATTTCAGCGCACCAGCAACGACAACCAAAACCAAAACCACAACGCCAACGCCAACGGCCATCGAATCGAATCCCGACCATGTCCGCCAGCGACGAATCGGTCTCGCAGTTCATGGCCTTCACGGGGAGCGGGGACGCCGAGCGGGCCCAGATGTACCTGGAGATGAGCGGCGGAGACCTCGAGACCGCCGTGGGCCTCTTCCTCGAGCACGGCGGGGGGGGAGGAAGCGGGGGGGCGTCCCCGGGTGCCCCCCCCCTTGGAAGCACCGGAGGCCTCGGCGGAAGCGGGGACGTCCGGGCCCCCGACGCGACCCAGACGATGCGGCTGATGGACGACGGGCCGGGGGGCGGGATGCCGATGGGCCTGATGGGGGGCCATCCCTACGCCCGCATGGGCATGGGCATGGGCTTGGGCCCGCAGCGGTTTGCCACCACCTCGGCCTTTGCCCGCGACGCGGTCAACTCGGCCGCGGGCGCGGACCCCGACGATTCCATGCGTTCCGGCGGCCGGGGCGGGGAGACCGGAAGCGGCAACGCCGAGGAGGAGGACGAGGACGACGACAGCTACGCCGGTTCCGGCAGCCACGCCGACGGGGACGACCCGATGGGCTCCGAGCGGTCCTCTTCCGGCGGCGGCGGCGGCCTGGCCGACCTCTTTTCCCCCCCCGTCCACCTCATCTGCAACGCGGGAGGCTTCGAGGGGGCCCGGGCCAGCGCCAGGGACAGCAAGCGCTGGCTGCTGGTCAACCTCCAGCGGGACAGCGAGTTCTCCTGCCACGCGCTCAACCGGGACGTCTGGAGGGACGAGCTCGTCGAGAACCTGATCGGGGACGGCTTTGTCTTTTGGCAGGAGGTGCGTGTGTGCGATGTTGTGTATAATGTTGCGGTGTGGTGTGGTGTGGTGTGGTGTGGTGTGTTGTTTGCGTTTGTGTTTGCATTTCCATTTGAATATGCGAAACGTGTGGTATTTTTTTGACTTGGCCGGCTCCGAGCTTGCGAAGAGCCGACAACACCCTCCTGACCCTTCTTTTTGGGCTTGATCTTGCACGGTTTCGCACGACACCGCACCAACAGTTTGACACGACCCCAGAGGGCAGCCAGTACGCCGACCGGTACAAGGTCTACGACTACCCACACATCGGGATCATCGACCCCCGCACGAGGCGGCTCATGTGGAAAAAAGAGGGATGGACCCAGGTCAACCCGCTCACCGCCGAGCGGTTCGCGGAGTACGCCATGGACTTTTGCTCCCGCCACTCGCTGGACCGGCCCCCCCAGGCCATCCGCCCGCCGGGGGCGGCCTCCAGGGCCGCCAAGAGGCCCATGCACGAAATGTCCGAGGACGAGCAGCTCCAGGCGGCGATGCGGGCGAGCCTGCAGGACAGCACCGGGGGCGGCAGCGACGACGACGACGACGACGTGGTCATCGTAGACTCGTCCGGCCAGCAGCTGGACGACGACTCGAAACCGAGGGCGGTCGAGCCGTCCGCCGCGGCGGCGGCACCACCACCGGCCGCACCCCCGTCCATGCTGGAGGAGCTGGTTCCCTTTGACGTCGGACCGGAACCCGAAAAGGGTGCGAGGATCCAGTTCCGCATGCCCGACGGAAAACGAAAGATCCGGAGGTTCGACCCTTCCCAGAGCGTGAAACACGTCTACGCGTTTGTTGCGGTACGTTGCGTCGCATTTTGTTTTGTTTTGTTTCGTGGGATCGGATCGGATCGGAGTGTTTTGAACCTCCGTGCCGTCGGAACGCCGCTCTTGGACTCATGCCATTGGCATTGTTGTTCTTCTTTCGAAATTCACCGAAACCTTTTCAATGCTCAGCAATCGAATCCGGAGGGCAGGGACGGAAAAGAATTCACGCTGCAGGCCGGATTTCCTCCCAAGGACCTGATTGGCGACATCGACAGCTCGATCGAGGCCTGTTCGCTGGCAGGAGAAGCCATTACGGTGCGATGGAAATAAGAAGAATGAAAACAAATCGAAACGAAACGAAACGTAGCGGAGGATCCGTGTGTGTCGATCGATCGAAGAGCGATGACCGGAACCTTGTAACAAAGCACAGGCCTTTGCTTTGGCGTGGTGTGTATGGGCGACGCAAGCGATGCGATACCAACCAGCGCACTCTCTCAACGCGGAAGAGGAGATGGGAAGTGTTTCCTGTGGTTGGTTCAAATGAGGTTTCGGTGTTTCTTCTGGGCCCGGACTACTTGCTTATTATAAATCTCATAGCTCGTGTTCGATGCGTTACGTTGCACTACTAGTAGACAATCGATTCTCTAGAAGTGATGTGGATCGATGAGTTCTTTCGAACAAAGATAGTTTCTATGTGTGTGTAGCTTATCTAGAGCGTTCCGTCCGAACGATAACGTTCAGTTTCCAACGGCAACCGCTTGCCGGTTTTGTCTTTTTCCTTCCGTTTTTGTTTGGGCCCTTTTAATGGTGCCCACCGTGTTCGATCTTTGCGGATTTGGGTTTCATGCCCTCCAGTACCGAATCCACTACCAGGTAGGCGCCAAAGATAAAGACGGCGTTTCGGAATCCGGGAAAGGGGGAGGCCCACAGTCTCTGAAACAGGTGGTGGTTGCGCCAGGCGTCTTGTCCCTTGAAAATCATTGTGGCTGGTCTCTTTGGTTTTGTTTGGAATGGAATGAAATGGTATTTTGTGTTGTGTTATTCGGCCGTGTTCACCAGCGGGGGGTTGGTAACAAGCGTGCATTCCGTGAAAACGTCCGAGGGTTGTGAGCGACGGCAAAGGAAGGATCAAGACAACACAATGCGCTCAAGCTGTTAGCAAAAGTATGGACCGAATCGAACCAATCCAATTCGATTCGATTCGATGGCAGGAGCTGGTCCCTTGCCGCGGTTCTTCCTCTACTAATTCGAAAGCGCAATGGCAATAGTTCGAACATCGCCCCAATCGTCCCGCCGATCGCATCGCATCGCATCAATCTGTGGACGGTGGTATTGCGCCGGTCGCCCGGCATCCTCGACGCCACTGCCATTCCACCAAAACGGCGAACTGCTAGCTGCGACGCGGCCTGTTCGCAACGACGGGTTGTTTCGCAACAGATTTGGGTTCGACTTTTGTACGTACCGTTCAAAGCTTCTTCTGCTTGTTGATGGGGAAATCGCCCGGAGGTGATGTTCGGGTCGAACCATCGAGCCTCCCCTCGGATGCTGGTTGTACGAGTAAGTACTCTACGGTATGTACTGTACGGTATGGTACGGTACAACCCCCGTACCTACGACATAGCTTTGGTTGTTTCCATCGATTTTTAATTTTTGTTTTTCGGACGTTCTGACCGAGCTAGTTCTCGACCCACGCACCGTCCAACAACAGTTACAGTACGAAACTGGCGTTGATTCGAATAGTCCTAAAAACGAAACCAAGCGATGCTTTGCTAACAGGACTAACGAATCACGAATACCGTGCTTTTTAGGGACGATTCGATTGATTCCTCCCTTACTCATCTTTTAGTGGTGGACGCATCTTGTTTCGCGTTCCCCCCCATCCCACATTTGCAGTAGGTGTACACGAACGATTTTTTGTTTTTTGGTTCCGTTTTCTCGCTACCGTTCGTACCTAACCCTACTACAATATTTTTTTAAGGACTTCCCGGTTTTTCAATCGTGTCGCCGTGTCATGTGTCATCGCAGTCACCCAGAATTCTTTCTTTCTGTCGATTTGCGAAACTCCTGTCGACACGCAAGAACCGAAGCGACCGAACCCGCTGTCTCTTCGCCTTCACGAACCCATCACACCGAGTGCGCTGCCCTGACACTATTTCAGCGGTTCGACACCCCAGACATTATCCATGCGATACAGCTGTTGACGGCAACCAAGGCTTCGAGGAGAAATCCTGCAACAAGTCCTTCTCCTGCTACCGCACAACGCAATACAACGCCAAGAAAACAGGATCTGGATGTCGACCCGAACGAGCTCGTGGATCGTGGCCACCGCAGCCCGGAGGGGCGTCGCGGTGGGCTGGTGCGGCTTTGATCGCGGAGGCGTCCGAGCGGCGGCGTGCACCGGCGTTTGCCTCCGGAGCAAGTCAACGCGTGCCCGGTCCCCCAGGACCAACGGGGAAACGCATCTGGTGGGTGCCCTGAACGGGATCGCGCGGAGGAAGAGAATCGCGGGCGGAGGGGAAGCCCCTTCGAGAGCCAAACCCCAGCAACCCCGAAAGGGTCTCGGTCCCGAGACCGTGACGAAACCGATTGCCGTGGGTTCTCCGGCAGAGGCGACGACAGTGCTTGCGATGGAACCGGAGATCCAGCATTCCTCCGACGTGAACGAGTTTGTGTCCCCTTCCGAGTTGTTCTTTGCCGGAGACACACCGATTCCTGTAACGAGTCGCCTTCACATTGTCACCCCAAAAGAAGACACTCCAAGAGGGACCTGGCCCATCTTTCGAATCATGGTAAGTTGGTATGCATTGAGTAGTGATAATCATCGATGCTGTTCTGTGACGCTGCAATGCTTTGGATCTCACAGCATACGCTCCGTCTCATCCCTTTTTTCTTGTTGTTCACGAAGGACGAGGATGGATCATTTCGCGACGGTGGCAACGATGGCTATATGCATGATGGTGATGCAGATAATCTGGTTCTCGGAACCTCTTCGCCGGCGAACAAAGCGAACGGCAGCAACGTCATGGAACCAAGCGCATCGAAGAATCATGCTCCAGGCCTCTCTAAACTTCGGGATTCCCTCTCCAAGCTATATCCAAATCACTCCTTGGCAATCGAACAGAATGGCCTGTTTCAACCATCCAAGTTTGAATACGCCGACACGAATTCTAGAGACACGCTACAGCGGCTCCTTCGCCACATGGTGCGGCTGCGAGAGATGGATTCGATCTTCCAAAACGCGCAACGGCAGGGCCGAATCTCGTTTTACCTCACGTGCCGTGGGGAGGAGGGGATTCATTTCGGTACGGCCTCTGCACTGGAGCCCCAGGATATCATTCTGGGCCAATACAGAGAACAAGGTCCTCTGATGTGGAGGGGTTTCACCGTGCAGCAATTTGCCGACCAGTGTTTTGGAAATGCCTCCGATTTGGGAAAGGGAAGACAGATGCCCATTCACTACGGATCGAGGGCTCTAAACTATCAAACGATTAGCAGCTGCCTGGGAACCCAGATTCCCCAAGCCGTTGGAGTTGCCCTCCGGCTCAAAATGATGGCGGCAGCGGACAGCGAGGCCAAGAAGGCCGTGTCGCTTGCCTTTTTCGGAGACGGGTGCACATCGACGACCGACTTTCACTCGGGCTTGAACTTTGCTGCCACCCTGGAGTGCCCGGTGATTTTCTTTTGCAGAAACAACGGCTACGCCATTTCCACGTCGACAAGGGAGCAGTTCGCGGGCGATGGCATTGTTTCGAGAGCCCCCGGCTATGGCATGGCCGGCATTCGAGTGGACGGAAACGACGTCTTTGCCGTTCACGCGGCTGTTCGTGAAGCCCGCACGTATGCCCTGGAGAACAATGCCCCCGTATTGATCGAGGCCATGTCCTACCGACAGGGCCATCACAGGTAAGCGAGTGGGATATCGAGAACCACAAGGCCGCGTATGTCTCTAAGACTCTGTTCGTTTTTGAGATTCTATCAACCTAACAATCGTTTTTGCTATCTTCAAACTATCGATAACAAAGCACGAGTGATGATTCCCTCCAGTATCGAAGCGCCGAGGAGGTCGATCACTTTGCATGCCAAAGTGATCCGTTTGACCGTCTAAGGAAGTTTTTCGAGCGCCACGAGCACTGTGGCGTGACGGACGACGCGATCCAATCCGTAATCGAGGAGGAAAAGAGAGCCGTGTTGGACGCCCTGCGCACAGCAGAACGCAAACCAAAGCCTCCGCTGGAAGACCTCTTCAACGACGTGTACCACGAAATGCCGCCCTCCCTCAAGGCTCAGCAAGCAAAACTGAACGAACACGTCTCAAAGTACCCCGATGCCTACGCATTTTGAAAGACACGGAAGAATTTTTTGAAACTACAAGACAGGGCAGTAATGTGCAAGACTCAATCAAACGCAAAACAAGGAAATTATCGTCTTGAAAACAAGAATACACCATGAAGAGAGGAAGCCATAACTATAAGTTCTGTCCGCATCCCGAAGCAGCATTGATTTGACTAAAATAGATTTCAAATACATCGCACACACAATTATTGTATACAATTCTCCCTCCTCCGGCTGCCAGCAGTGCCTTGTGAGAGTTCAGGCGTTGATTTGCTCTCTATTAGTAGCATCTCAAAGTCGTATGTAGTACTACTTCTTCCTGCTGCGTTCCATTCTTTTTACGTCACCAAGAGAAGTACTAGCAGCACTGATTATGATGTAGCAAGGACGGCGAGCGCTCCTCGGAGGAAGATTCAGGAAAAGGATAAAAGAGAGAAGCTTGAAAATGACAGTATCTTGGTCCCAACAGCTTCACCAGCATCTTGTAGTAGTAGCTTACAGTACTTCTTTGAGTAGTATATCCTTCAGTAACAAGAACAAGAAGAGTACCACTACTCGTATCCTCCTGAAGAAAACACTCCTACTAGTACGAGTGATAATCCACATCAACCCCAAGGCCAGCACAAAGCATTTCTTCCCTTACCAAACAGCATCAATGTGAAGAAGATCGGCATTCTTCCTTACGCAGTGTGCTAACTCCTCGTTCTGTCGTTCCGTTCGTAATCACAGTCACAAACCAGAAGCCAATGCATTTCCCACTTCCCACCGACGTATGGTACGTATCAACCTAAGGTACGTAGCGGAAAGTAGCATAGAGCAAAAGTGAGAAATCGTTCGGGTTACCCGAACGAATACGGAACCAATACGATTGAGTATCTCGTTCTGTAACTAACTGGTACAGTGCCAGGTACAATACGAGTTCCCGGATACTTCTGTAATGCATTCTTCGCATGGTGACGATTTTTCAAAATCCGAAAGATACCGTACAGAGCGTAGGCACTTACGGCACCTCGTACTACTACCGCTGCAGGGTTGTTCTTTTCAATTCTGCATCTTGCCCCCGTTATCGCTCAGGAGGATTAAGTTCAATGACCTTCAAGGTAGACGATTCCAGCAAACATAACCAGCGACGATGATTTTTTCGGTGGCTGCCCAGTCGCGATTCTCTCCTAAATGCAAGGTGCTATTGGCAAGAACATACCAATTTCATCATGCTCCTAGGTTCTGTCCTCGCCATTTTTCTTCTTCTGTGCCTACTCGATTGAGCAACAGCGAGGAGAAACACAAAAGCTCTGGTGTTTTGAAATCAACAAAGGACACGTTGTTTGACAGGGTAGTAACACCAAAAAACCAGTTTTATGCGCTTGTTGCGGGTGGTTCTCTCGGTGCTTACATTATTTCGAAGGGTTTGTTGACCTTCACCGGATTTTTTACACACTTGGTGAGTCGTAAGAGATATGAATCTTCCATGGAACGGACCGTCAAGATTGTATTATCCGTTAGTTTCTCAACGGTGATTCTCTTAGTCACCTATCACCGTCGCTAAGTATAGTTTTTACACAGGTTTTGGTACTGCATCGGTCCTCGGCGGAATGGCTTTAGTGACAGCAGATAATCTCTATATTCGTGCCGACCCGGTCTACAAATACTGCAAGAGTTGGGTAACGAACGATGTTAGGATAGAGAATGCCCTGGGTAGCGGCCTTTATGGGGGGAAACTCCGGAGCTATCGTCTCGATCCGGGAAATTTCAAACTAAAGGGTAAATCGATGATCTGGCGACCTCCCAGGATTCAAATGATTTTTGACATCAAAGCTAGCGACCCACCCTACCGAACGGGTCTTGTAACTTGTGAGGCAAACAAAGCGTTTGGTTTCCCCCCAAGATTGAAAACAGATTTATTGAAAGTAGACTACACGATAGGTGACGAGAAAAGAGCAATATTTTTGGTAGGCAAAGAAGAGGACATGACAAGAGTGTCTTCTAGGTCAGGGTTGAGCCTTGAGAAACTGGCGCAATATGTTCACATTGAGGAAGACAGGAAAATACTTTAATTCGAAAATGTTACTTCAGATTTAATCCAAGAGATTTGCACTACGAAAATCATCTCCTACCAATTGCATCTGTTGCGAATCAAAAACGTTCTTTTCGCCTGATATCGTTGCGAGGACTTGCATTTTCCAAAGCTTAGAACGCACTCGTTCTTGTGGTCGAAGCTAATTTGGGCACCTATGTCATCGCGCGAATAGGAAGCAAAAAAGTCTGTTAGTTTGCTTCGATCTAGAAAAATGTCACGAGCGTTCGACACGACAGACTCAGAGAAAGAATATGCCGATTCCTATATTACTCGACTGGTGCGTTCTTGGCTTTCTATGGCAGAGGTGAAGCTCATAGATATAAGGAGCAATCCTCTATGGCAGTAAGAAAGCCGTGAATCGTGTCCGATACGATGGGATTCCATTGGATGCGATGTGGCACGACTGATACGAGAAGCTACGCACCGTAAAATGTGTGGAGAGTAACATTCAAATGCTGTCCACTTCATTCCAAAATCTGTCAACCTTGAAATATTGCATAGGAGCATCGCCGCACTTGCTGGACAAAGCACTGGTGAACGATCCATTCGAGAGTATTGCTACAAGGTCAATATAGCGTCGAGGTGGGAAAATATTAACCACGATGGCAGTTTTGTCCGTGTCGTGCACCGGGCATTCGAGGGCGCTCCTGAGAGGTTAAAAAAATGTCAGGGAGGACAGAGTGAGCTAGGTAAGAGTGCCGGAGCTTTTTGAATGTCTTTCCTCGTGATGAATCAATGGAATGCTATGGAATCCTCGGAGAATACAAACCTAAAATGTTGTGTCGATCAAAAATTTATTCCGATAAAATAAAACAAGTAATCTTCGTCATCGGAGACCAGCCGTCGAACGGACACAAATGAACACATTACCAGATTCGTACCTTGCGTTCTTCGTTTCAACCCATGGCACTGTCGGCGTCAGGCTACGGAAGGTGAGAAATCTATGGAATGAAGAAAGATGCGAAAAAAGAACGAAGTGTCAGAGATCTGCACCAACCATTAAATGGATTCCGTAAGATATCACGGAACACATCGAGCTTTCGCAGATATTTTCTCTCAACCTGCGTTTTTTCTACACATATCCTTCGGATAGAGCTAATAACAAAGTTATCTTCATCGAGAACCTATCTTCAAACAACTAATATTCAATCGCCTGGCATTCATTGCAGAGAATATCTTCCAATTATAAACACTTACAATTAGTTTTACCCGGAGGAGATCTTGTACCATCGATACCGAAGCTTGGGTTGTCACGTGCCGGAGTTTGAAAGCATTGTTGTCCTTGGCAAGAGCTACGGTTCAAAGTGGTTCCATCGTAGTGCCTGAGTGTAGGCTTTCTGAAAGCACTACGAAATGTTGTGTTAAGTTCATTGGATTGACAAGAGCTACAAAATCAACAATTCCGTCAGCAATGAAAAATGTGGTCCTAAATCCGTATCATGAAAACTACGGAAGGCATCACGGAAAACTAAATCCTCCGTACGGTAATACGGATTGATGGCTGTAAGGTGATGGCATCATGGATGGTTCGATTTCACATCGAAGTGTTATTTATTTGTGGTGTGACAACGCAACGGGGGAGGAAGGAGCACAAAAGGGTACAGTACAGTACAGTACAGTACTACAATACCACGAGTATCATAAGTCGTACGACTTTGATTGACCTCTGTTGAGGACGACTCATGAATTGGCTTTTGAGACGAACTTCGGACTTCGGACCTCTTGCGTTCTGTCCGTCGTGCAGTTCGTGCGTAAACGTTCGAAAAAGCATTCTTCTTCATTTTCAGATTCAGATGAGGTTATACTTTCCATTCGTGATCATCATAGGTACTAATAGTAGATATAGAAAATACGTAAGCTTCTTGGACAAACAGAAGGACGAAGATACTTCAACTCTGAAACCACAGTACCGCACGTATCGTATAATGTGTGCTTACGCTTTTCGGGAAGTAGGTTCGTTGGGTGCTTTATGATGTCTGCCTTCTTGGTTGCTGTTGCCGGTGTTGCAACTTTCCGATTCGCAGCAGATAGATAAAGACTGTTGTAATAAATAACATCGAGCAACAAACACCATGTTCAAGGCAACAATCCTAGCAACTCTTCTTGCGTCGGCTTCGGCCTTCGCCCCTTCTCAATTCAGTGGTAGGTTAGACACAAACCCAGACGGACCGGAAATAGTTTAGGAAATGTCGCCGGAGGACAATACAGAGCTCTTAGACCCAGACCGAACGAAAACATATATTGTACTTACTGTGGTAGACTTTCTGTGATCTAGAGAAAAATGCTCACCTCAATCAATTGCTTTGTGAATTCTAACTGTCTGGTTGACTTTAGGACGTGCGTCCACTGTTGTCAGATCAGAGGAGGCGGCTGAAGAAGTAGAAGCCCCTCCCGCCTACGTTGCCAGCACTGCCCTTCCTTTCCTTGAATACCCTCCTAATCTTGCTGGATATGTTGGTGATGCCGGATTCGATCCATTCCGTTTCTCCGACTTCGTCCCTATGGACTTCCTTCGAGAAGCCGAACTTAAGCACGGACGTATATGCCAGCTCGCCGTTCTTGGTTTTGCTGCCGTGGACATGGGATTCCGAATCTACCCTCTTCCTGAGGCGTACAAGGGACTCACCTCGGTCACTGCCCACGACGCCCTTGTCGAACAAGGTGCCATGAGCCAGCTGTTCTTGTGGATCGGTCTTGCCGAAGTCCTCGGAACCGTTGCTCTTATGCAAACTTTGCAGGGATCCGGACGTGCAGCTGGTGATTTTGGACTTGACCCTGTTGGTTTCCTCGCCGGAAAGTCGGAATCCGAGATCAACGAGATGAAAGAAAAGGAAATTACCCACTGCCGATTGGCTATGATGGCGTTCAGTGGCATGGTTACACAAGCTGTTTTGACCCAAGGACCTTTCCCTTACGTCTAAGTCTGGAATCGTAGCGTGGGGCGCAACGAGACACGACTCGATGTACAAACCACACATGGACGACGGTGTTCTACCACCAATGAATAGACATGCCCACTTCTATGCGTTGTATTTCTAAGATACCCGTTCCCTTCTTGAGTGTTCCGTGCGCATAGTACTGTAGGCAGACTTTCGTCTGAAGTCTCATGTATCTATCAACCTGCTGTCACAGCCGCAGCATTAATAACTTTTCGACCTAGCTACTTTAATCGGGATGTTAAATACGAGAAGTTTCTACAACTGGCACTTTACTTTTAGTTCGTAAAAATTTCTTTCACTGCCATAACACATTAGCATGAAACAGGAAGAAATGATTTGGTCTAGGTGAATTGGCAGTTTCTTAATGGAACTACAGAGTACAATTAGTGTTTTGTTCACAATGCAGCAACAGTTCGGCATTTGATACTTTGCATCCGTGCTAAAGGCAATACAATGAGCAAATGACAACAAGTGCATTGGAAAATACTTTTTATATTTATCTATTATAAACCAATGGGTACAAGAAGTTTGAAGCAAACGAACTACTACGTGTATCGTCTAGCAAAGTTTCAAACCTCGTACTAGGAGCGGCAGCGTTCAGTGCCTGCTCACTGAGTAGGAGTCACCGATCATCCTCACAAGCCTCCGTGATGCATTTAGACACCGATGTAAGGGAAACCGGTATCGAAGAGGACAGATTGGGTCACGATTCCACCGAAGGCCATCATCGCAAGACGTCCGTTCATGATTTCTTGGTACTTAATCTTCTTGACCTCATCCTCTGACTTGCCTTCCAAATACCAAGTTCCGATTCCGAAATCACCGGGTTCTCGTCCAGATCCCTGCAACATCTCAGCTACACCAAGGTAAGAAACGATTTCAAACAAGCCGATGAAAACAAGGGCGTTTCCCATAACACCATTCTCTACCATGACGTTGTGGGCAGCGGCGGAGCTGACTCCTTCGCCGTATGGGTGAATTGTGTATCCCAAATCGACGGTGATGTATCCAGTAACAGCAGCCATGCAAATACGGCTGTGCCTGTTGTTGAAATTGAGCAAATGCACGGAGAGGGGTTAGGGGTCGAGGTCGAGAACAATCAGAATCTTCCAAGGACGATCTTTACTCTCTTTTTACGAAGGATGCCAGACCCCAAAAACGCGAATGTTCTCGTTACTCACTTCAATTCTGCTTCTCGGAGGTAGTCCATTGGGAAGTAGTCCGAAATTCGAAGAGGGTCGAATCCAATGTCATCACCGATGTATCCCTTCAGGTTCTGGGGGTAAGGCAAGAAAGGCATGGCAGGAGACTTCTCTCCGTTCAAGGCGGTAGTGGCCTTGGAGGCCGGGGCCGGGGCAAAGGCAGCAGCAGAGCTGAGAAGAGCGGCGAGAATGCTTACTTTCATCATGGTTAGAAAATTTGTTTTCGAGTGTAATACCAGTTGCGGGGAAAGGAATTCTTGAGGGTGATGGGAGAGAGAACGCAACGCAACGAACAACGGGCTCTTGCCGCGAGGTAAGTAGTTTACCGATTGTTGAAGCAATAGGATCGGGGATATTTCGTGAACTCATATGCTCATAGTATACCAACATACCTATGATAAGCTATTCGATTTTGGGGGATTGATATGAAAAATATCAAAGTGTGCGAGAACTTTTTTGAAAAAGCTATTTCAGCCCAAAAGAAGACAGAAAGGGTTTCATAAACCCTCATCCGTCACATTTCAGCATCATGTACGGTACGAGTTATGGTACAAAATACCGGGCGAGGCAAAACAAGTGTTTTGACATCACTCCATACCGTAGGAGGACAGACCACGACACTCTATCCGTAACCATTCATAATCATAACTCATCATGAAGACATCCCTGTAAATACAACTCGATCTTTCGCGCCCATCACAACATCACTATCAAGGGGGAAAAAATACGAAACGAGGTTTGACAAAAACAACAGCGAAAATTCGATACGATTTTGAAGAGAACAACACAAAAAAGTGCCGGCGATTGGATATAAACAGGAAGATAACAATGGTGTCGCAGGAGCCATCAGCATCCAAACTGTCACCAACTATGAGCAGCAAAACCAAAAAGAAATCGGTGAAGCAGAGTTGTCCATCATTTCGTCGTGGTCATCTACCAGGCGAAGAGGATGTCAACCGCTTACGGTTCCTCACCAGGCCACATGTCGATTCCTTTAACTACTTCCTGGAATCTGGACTTGAGAGAGGCATTAAAGCGATTCCAAAAGCGGAACTGGATATTGTGGATTTAAATCTACTCCGAGAAAGTCGAAAGAACATTGATTGGGACGAGGTCACCACTGTCAAGTTTTGGTTTGAGAGTGTCCGAATTTCCAAACCAGCAAAACCAGCATCAGCTGGAAGGTCCGAAGGAAAGCTCTATCCAAATGAGTGTCGGGAGCGGTCCTTGGTCTATTCGGGGCAAATCCATGGCAAATTTTGCTATGAATTAATCCAGCGACGGAACGGTGTGGCAAAAGGGTCTGTCCCGTACAAGATGCCGAAAACATTCGGAGTCATACCAATCATGGTAGGGAGTAGAGCCTGCCATCTAGAGGGAATGTCGCCCAAAGAACTAGTAGCTTTGAAGGAAGAGGTACGTATATCCACTTGCTTCTATTTTAGTTGCGATGTGTATTTGTGGCGCAAAAATCACTCAATATGTTTCCTAAATCGGCGCACAATTTCGACAGGATAATGAAGCTGGGGGTTATTTCCTTATCAACGGAAATGAAAGATGCGTTCGTATGCTGCAAGTTCCGAGGAGAAATCATCCACTAGCTATTCAACGATCGAGCTACAAGAAAAGAGGGCCGACTTACACAGACTTGGGTGTTGCGATTCGATGCGGCCGACAAAATGGAGACCAGTCCAGCATCACAAACACACTTCACTATCTAACCACGGGTGGAGCAACTCTCAAGTTTGTAGTTCGCAAGCAGGAATTTTTGGTTCCAGTCATTTTAATTATTCGGGCTCTGGCTGGACCTCAATCATCTCGATCAGCTGATTCAAGTACAGGTTCGGAGATTGGTATCACTGACGAAGAAATTTACAGACGAGTTGTTCAAGGAAACGAAAGAAACACATTTTTGCGAACACGCGCACAGTTACTGTTGCAAGATGCCAGTGTCCGATTTCCGAAATTAAACACTCCCGATGAATGTTTAGCGTTCATTGGTTCCAGGTTTCGACGTCTATCACAAAGGGCAGAAAGCACTTCAGACGTGGATATTGGTCACTATATAATCAGCGAATATATTCTTATCCACTGTTCAAATTACGGGGATAAATTGGAGTGTCTGCTTCTCGTTCTGCGCAAACTTTATGCGTTTGCGGCGGGCGACTGTGGAGTTGATAACGCAGATTCGCTTCAAAACCAGGAATTGCTGATGCCAGGGCATTTGCTATCAACGATGGTAAAAGAAAAATTCGAAGAGGTCCTTCAGACCATACGGCAAGGGATGATGATCGAAATGCGCAAAGATTTCAAGGTGTTTTCGAGGAGGATCAATGAATCCGCGTTCTGGAGCAAACTTATGGATCGATATTCTAGCAATGCATCGGGTGGAATTGGGAAGAGAATTGCTACTTTTTTGTCAACAGGGAATATTTCTTCAGTGAGTGGGTTAGATCAAATGCAGCAATCTGGTTACACAATTGTAGCCGAGAGACTGAATTTTTTGAGATTCAACTCCCATTTCCGTTCTGTCCATCGTGGGTCATTCTTTATGGAGATGAAGACAACTGCGGTGCGAAAGCTCTTGCCAGACCAATGGGGATTCTTGTGTCCTGTTCACACACCCGATGGTGGGCCTTGCGGATTATTAAGTCACCTGTCTCTGGAATGCATTCCAATGACACACCCAGAGCGTAAATCTGGAAAAGGGTTGGTTGACTTAGATAACCTTCTCATATCATTGGGTGTCATGCCCTGTGGTGCTGGTGGCATAGGTGGAGAAGGTAGAAACAGCTCTCCATACACTCATTTTCCTGTGTGTGTCGATGGTCGGGTAGTAGGAAGTGCAAGCCCAAGTGCGTGCAAAACAATAGCAGCTCATCTACGCAGCCTCAAAGTTGAGAACACACCGAAGATCCCTCGGACGCTTGAAGTCGCTCTCATTCCTGCTAGTGAAGCCGGATCCCCATATGCCGGTTTGTTTCTTTTCACAGGAACAGCAAGAATGGTCCGACCTGTCTTGCAGCGATCTACAGGCAAGACAGAATTGATTGGACCTATGGAACAAGCATTCATGGATATTGCATGCTTGGACGAAGATATAAGAGAAGGTATTACAACACATCAAGAGCTAGATCCAACAAATATGTTGAGTCTAATTGCAAATTTGACTCCTTTCTCAGACCAAAATCAATCACCTCGTAATATGTATCAATGTCAGATGGGGAAACAAACAATGGGAACACCAGCTCACTCCTTACCCTACCGTGTTGACAACAAATTATACCGACTACAGAATCCCCAAGCACCAGTGGTACAGACCGCGATCCATGGAGAATACAAGATGGACGAATATCCAAATGGAACAAATGCTGTTGTGGCTGTATTGAGTTATACAGGTTTCGATATGGAGGATTCTGTTATCATTAACAAATGCTCTTATGAACGCGGTTTCGGTCACGCTAGCGTTTACAAAACAATCGAAGTGGATCTTCAAGAAGAAGCAAAAATGGCTGCACAGTCTACCACGAGGCCAAACGTAAGATTTTCGAACAAGGTCAACCGGGATGGGCAACTGTATCACCCGAAGTTGGAGATCGACGGACTTCCAGAAATTGGGAGCTATGTGGAGAAGGGAGACCCGCTGTACTGTGTGCTGGACGATGTCGAAAACAGGGACAGAGTCGGAAAACACAAAGAGGCCGAGAGGGCCTATGTTCAATCGGTCCGAATGTTTGGTAGTGAAAAGGGCGATTCACAGGAAAACAAAGCATCGATCACTCTACGATTCAACCGAAACCCGGTAATTKGAGACAAGTTTTCAAGTCGCCACGGACAGAAAGGTGTACTCAGTATTTTGTGGCCACAGCAGGACATGCCCTTTAGTGAAAGCGGTATATCCCCTGATGTCATTATCAATCCCCACGCATTTCCAAGCCGAATGACAATTGGAATGCTTGTCGAAAGTATGGCTGGTAAAGCCGGAGCTCTCCATGGTATTTTCCAAGATGCAACGCCTTTTTCCTTCCACGAGTCGGGTGACCAAACATCAGTAGATTACTTTGGTGAACAGTTGCGGGCTGCGGGTTACAACTACTACGGTTCTGAGCCGCTCTATAGTGGGGTTTCAGGTTGCTTGATGCAGGCCGATCTATACATTGGTGTTGTCTACTACCAACGTCTTCGTCACATGGTTTCTGACAAGTACCAGGTTCGTGCAACTGGACCTGTTAATCCACTCACTCGCCAGCCTATAAAGGGGCGAAAGAAAGGAGGTGGTATCCGTCTAGGAGAGATGGAACGCGATAGTCTTCTGAGTCACGGTTGCGCATTTTTACTCCAAGATCGTTTGCTGAACTGCAGTGACAAACACATTGCCTATGCATGCAGCCGCTGTGGTGACATGCTCATGCCAACCACGAAACGAAGCGTCATTTTATCTTCTGGACAGAGCAGGGAAGAAGCAATTAACAAGGCCAAATTGCGTCTCATCTGTCGACATCCCGATTGCATCAAGCATGTCAGCGACGACGGAGATGATGATCACGTCGAACCAATCATTCTACCGTATGTCTATCGCTACCTTGCCAATGAATTGGCCGCGATGAATATCAAGCTAAAAATGGATATCAAATAGGCCTAGCGGTACATTGCTTGTGAGGCTACTCTACTCCGACTGCAGTGTGCCTTCAAAGTTCTCGGGAACATGGAATATAAATTAAAATGTAATGATAAGAAAGACTCCAAGAAACTCCCATGAAATTTGTATCTCCAAAGCGATGTTCATGCCAGTTGTAGTTTGCTGTTGTTATCTACAATTTTTTTACCAAAAGATTCTTCTCTGGTCTACCGGTGAAGTAAAGCAATTTTAATAGTTATATCTTCTCAACCGATGCCAATTCTACTCAATAGCAATAGAAAGTATGAATCAAGAAAGAATAGCCTTGACTGAGCACCATGTGCTTTCATTTGTTATGGAAGCAGTGATATTTGCTGTTTGTAGTATAGCTTTCATACCAGCAGAGGTGATTTAGTCAGAATAGAGTAAAAGTAGTACTACTAGTACATATTCGTAGTAGTAGTAGTACGAGTAGTACTAGTACGAGTATTAGGGTAGAACGTGGTAGGTACTATGCTATCGCATGGAAGGTATATTTCCAATCGAAGATAGTCATAACCCAGATAAAATAGGCGCGACCAGAAAGGGGCACCGGTAGAAAATACGATACAAATAACAAAAGAACCAATGTGGTTTCCGAAAGGCACGCCAGACCGGTTTTTCCTGGTACTAGTAGGAAGCAGCCTAATGTCACGTGCATCGAGGCTTAAGAAATGCAATTCCATATGCCAATGAATCAAAGTTATCTACGGTACACTAATAATACAATCATCACTTCTCAATGTATATCCTCAATCATGGTTATATTTAAAAAATTGCGAGTCGTGTGAGACTGGTCGCAGGAAGAACTATTTCCTGTGCGGGCTGACTGAAAGAACACATGGAAAGTGGATGATGATGATGATTCGTGCGTCCAAATGTTCCCACGAACACACCGACGAACTCGGATCCCCAATAGGTACGAGTGCTAGTACGAGTAGTTCCTACTCGTACCCGTACATACTGTTCCCAACGAATTTCTTTTGTTCTGCAAGCGTTGTAAATCACGCACGAGCACCGGGAGCACTTGTACTCGTACTCGTACAGGTAAGATAGCATTGCGTAACCCAGCCTAGCCTACGCAAGAATGGTACGAGCCATCCTACTGCGAATCATCGACAGACATACTTTTTAAATCTTCGCGACGAAAAAGTAGACAGTCGATGCTTAGCGCCCAACTAAACTATACCACCTTGCGCTAAATACGGTACGGTACTCGTAGTGTTGTTTAGGTGCGTTACTTCGCATTATTGTCCCTGACTAATATTACTCTGTTCGAACGTAAAGCATCAAGAGAGTTAACTCTCACCACCATCAAGAACTGTCAATAATTACATTTATCTAGTTGCAATCCTTACAACACAAGCAATACGATTTTAAAACAAACCGAGTGGAGAAAAGAAGCCACAGCTAAGCTTCGTTTGTATGTTCCGTAGGCACAGATAATTTCGAGTACGCTAGTACAGTACTTGACAGCCTTCCTTTTGAGTTGAAAGTAAAGGAAACCAAGAAAATAAGATGGACTTGACTTGTGTAATCTGCACCGAAAACTTTGACCTGAAAGAGCACATACCGGTAGTGCTTCCCTGTGGCCACACATACATTTGTAGGGTGTGCGTCAAAAAAATCAAAATATGCCACCAATGTAGGGAACCTCTCTATTGGACTCCTCCAAGGCCCCAGCCACCACCACATTCCATAACCAACCACCCACACCGATCGCCAGCGACTGGTCGTTATTCCCGCTATAACAACCGCTACTCGCACACTCACTCGCCGTCCACGCCGCCTCACCCGGGGACCGGTGTCACCAAACCCGAAGAAATCCCTCTTCCGTGCCCCAAGAATGTTGTTCTGATGGAGGTGATCGAGGCGAAGCAGCGGCAGGAACGGTTGATGGCGGAGCAGAAGGCACGAAAGGATCAAAAGCGAAAGGAGCAACGGGACGAAAAGGAACGCAAGCGGAGGGAGCGCCGAGAGGAACAAAAGCGGCTTCGGGCTTCGCGTCAGGCTGATACTACTCCTGGTTCGTATCGACCGGGGACGCACTGCGACGGCCAGCTAAATGAAATAGAAGTAGTAGATATAGAGGGCGATCAAGTCAAAAATCACGTGGTGTGTGGCAACGATGGCCAATCGGAGGAAGAGGAGGACTATGACTACGACGACGAGATCTCGTCTTCATCGTCGTCGACGCTACCCTTGGGGGATCCGGAATTGAATTCTGGGTACGCCGCTCTGTCGGGAACGTGCGGCACATATGCAGTAAGAGAACCGGAAGGCTTGGTGGTCTTGCCTTACGATCCGACGCGGCCCAAACATCACATCACTACTTCTACTCAACAGCAACGCGAGCGCCAAGAACCMATGAGCGACGAAAAGAAGGAAGACGAATTCGAAGACATTAGCAGGAAGTTTTCCTCCCTTTTCACTGATAATGCCAAAAGCAGTGATGCCGCAATAGCTTTGAATGATAACAAAGGTGGCAGTTGCGCCGGTAGTCGAACTAGGGAACCGTTCACCATCGAACAAGGACAAAAGGTACAGGTAGTGGGTGTGCTGGAATCGAACGATCAGGGGGTTTACCAATTAGCTCGAGGAAGGGGATACGTTGTCGCAACGACCAAACAACTTGTGAAGGGTGCGTAAATGAAAACTTCATTCGTCATTGCATAACCACTCATTGTTTTTTAGGGCTATTGCTGATCATCCCATTCTGGTTTGTTCTTGGTTCTTGTGGTTTGTTTGCTTTGGTCTTCTCCACTATATCTCACGTCTTCGGATTTTTCTCCATCCAATTGGATGGAACTACTTGTATCTATACACGCGTGCACACACACATGATATCTTGCAGTTGGTGGGCCAATGGAAACATCGTGCAAACTAGAAGGGATGCTACAATCGGTGATGGGAAAACAACAAGAATTGCACAAGAAGCTTAATCAAGTCACAGACTTATCGATGATGCTTCGAAAAGAAATTATCCTGGAGCAAGACAAGACGGAAGAAGTGCCTGTCATTACACCCTCAATCCAGAAGAAAAGTGCTAGCGGCACGGGCGTCGATGAAAAAAATGGTGACGCACACCCCACGACTCCGACCAAGAGATTAACAGCGGCTCACTCGCACTCTCCCGCTGAAGGCAGCCTTGGTGTGACTTCTATCGCATCGGCAGATTCGACGGCCGTAGAGCTGGGAATGGAGAATCCGAGGACACCGTGCCCACCATCGACCACCGCATCCGGTTCATACGTCGAAGAGCATCCGCTCGCGGCGGCGTACAACCGACAACAATACCACCCACCACAAACAAACCACTATGCATATTCTCCTGCGCATTCATGCCCGACGCCGACGAACCATGTCGAGGCGGCGCATCTAGAACAACCCTTCCTTGACGATGATTCCACGTATGGGTCGGGTGTTCTTCGCTACCGTGTCAACAACGACGACGAGATGTCCGGAATGGGCTGGGCAGGAGTCTTGGGATGCGGATCGTCGTTGTTTGGCGAGCGTCTCCTACAACCAACCCAACGTGAGGCGGACGCTGCGGGAACTATCTTTCATTCGACCGCGAATGTGAATCGAGAGTTTCTGGGCATGGCCGAAAATTCTCTGATCCAGAATTCCAATGTGCAGAGACGGGCGGAAGCGCTGGCACAGGTCGCTGCTGCTGGAGCGACCACCAGTCTACGGCAACATCGCACCCTCGAATCCAGCGGATCTGCGGACTCGCCACTGCGAAGGGGCGGGTCCTTTGACGCGGGCGTGGGAGGAGGCAGTGTCAATTTTCGGGGAGGATACAGCAACCATGGCGGGCTTGGAAGGACCAGGCGGAATTTGTACGATCAACAAGGAACACACAACAGGAACGCAAGCATGACCAATGCCCACCACAGTGGTGAATCCCACGAGCCAAGGCGACAGTTGATGATGTCACAAATGTCTCAGCATCGTGGGGTAGGTGTTGCATCCATACAGCGACGAGGGCTGAATGCGGACCTTGTGCAAATGAGCAGCAGCCGATAAAACACAATGCAACAAAACGCAACAGACTATTTTCTTCGAACCTGCGCCACGCTCGCAATAGTTTGAGGTCGCGACGGTTTGGTCCACAAGATACGGCATTGTGTGCCGACAGTTTTAATGATCTCGTTCGACCGATGTTGAGTCGATGATTGGATTTTGATGACAAAGTCTCGATCTACTGCGTACAAATCAATGATAATAGAACTGAACAGCACAACCAAGTACAAAGTAAAGCAGTACGTGGGTTGGACATGTTCAAACACACCATACTAGTAGTGATCAAAGTGGTTATTTTTTGTTTCTATTGTTGCCTTACGGGCACGGAAATAGTTCGTTGGGTAATATTTTTATTGTTTCCGTCGTTTCGAATTGCTAATTACGTTTTTGGTCACCTGGAAATTCTGTTGCCTCCGGCGGCTGCTGGAACGCCGTTGGCGGGAACCAGCGTTTTGCGTCCATTCCGATGGCAGCTTGGCCATATCGAACCGCAGCTTGCTGCCTCCGTACGATGCGGGTCCCATCAGAGCCTTAAAATGTCTATTCGAAACTGCAGCAAACAGCTTCGCCACTATGTTGGGACCAACGAGCCCCCGTGCCGCGCATTGCAGGAAAGTGGCCTCCGCCATGGACGATCGCTTCTCGTCGTTCTTCGCCATGTGAGTAGCAACGCAAATCAAAACCTGCACGTACGTGTTCTGATCGGGGTTGCCGTATTCGGTGGAACTATTCAGCAAATCAAAGGTCTCTACGGCTATTTTCATGATGGAATCACTCTTGCTCTGGCCCTTCGCTGTTTCGTGGGCACAGGCGTTGAGAATCGAGTTGAAGGACACGGTATCTGGTTTCGCGTCGTCTAGGGTTCCGGATTCAAAGAGGGAGACCATGTGTTTTAGGACGCCGAGGCACTTTTCCGATCTTCCTTCCATGTCGGACCATCCGTATGCGTTGATCAATGCATTGTAAAACGAAACATCCGGCTTGCCCTCCCAGTGCGTTAGTCCCTTGATGTACGACGATTCGACGCGGTCGACGATATCTTGCGCCCGCTGTGTGTTTTTTTTGCTTCGACCGATGGCCTTGACTACAGATGTGTACAATCGAATGTTCGGTCGGAAGCGTACATCTCCGGTCTCTGCAAAGGATTGTTCAAACTCCTTCAGAAGAGATATCGCTTGTTCGGAAGCGTCGTACGATTCTTCTTTTGAAATGACATTTATCAACGTATTGTACGTGAAGACGTCAACAAAGCAAAGCTCCCACCCGGGTTTTCCACTGTTGGCTTTCATTGTTTCGAAAAGCTCCATCGACCGTTTTGCTGCCTCCGGATGATTGCTTCTTGCGTAACAATTCATCATCGAGTTATAGGTGAAAGCATTGTGAGATAGGTTCAACTTCCCACTTTCACAAGCTTCAAGATATTCCTCGAAGATACTTTCGGCTTGATTTATTGCATCTTCATCCCTTGATTTTGCCAAGGCCTTCAAAACTTTGATAGCGATAGAGTAGTAAAGATGACGAAGAATAAAATCAGTTACACCCCATAACTGCATTTTGAGGAAAGAAAAAAATTGAAAAATCACTGGAAGCTTCGATCTAGCCTTTCCCTGTTTCGGTCTACGGCGTCTTACCAGTGTTATAAGTGGACTCGTCGGGATGGACTTTTGTAAGTCCCGCATCGTAGCGTTTCTTCATGTGTTCCAGGATAGCGATAGCTCTCTGTGCGGATCCTCGGTGCCTGCTCGAAGCCCAGCCGTTGAGGACCGTGTTGAACGAGGTGTTGTCTGGTTTGCAATCGTATGTCAAACTAAGCACTTCCATCCTCTGGAGCAATTCTTCCGCTCGGACTTCCGACTCCCTTTCCCTTCCTTGTGCCAATGCATTCAGCACAATGTTGAAGGACTTTGTATCGGGGATCATCTCTCCGTCGCGGTCTTCGGAAGTGGCGTTTTCGATCATTTTCTCGAGCACTGATTGGCTCCTTAGGCCTTGTTCGTATTTCCGGCCCGACTTCCCCCAGGCATTTCTAAATGATCACGACAGAATGAGCATTGTTAGCTACTTCATACGAAGCGAAGCGACACAAAACAACGCAACGCGACAATATATGGTACGACTGGTCGTCTCGGAACGGGCACAACTTACATCACTTCGTTGGCAATGGATCGATCGGGTGTCAGGTGGGGGTAATCCTCGCTCAAGCTTTTCATCTTCGACATCATGCGCTCGGCTAGCTTCGCTGCATCTCCACTGCGATCTCTCTGCGAACAAGCTTTGATAGTGTACAGGTAGCTCTCCTTCAGCGGAACATACCGCTCTTCTCGTTTTTTGTCGTACAGGCGCCACAGTTCTTCGACAGATGCTGCGCATCTTGTCGACGCGTTCTCCAGATAAGTCGACGAACCCCACATCTTGATCACCGTGTTGAAGTCCTCGTTCGTCGGCAGCAACTCGTCATTGGAATCTCCCAGCTCCAGAAGCGCATCCAGTATGTTTCCGGCCAGGAGGTGTCGGTCGGGTTCCTTCTCGCTCGCGGACTGGCTGCTCGCAATGCCGACGCTGGCCTTGTCCCGTCTTCGTTGCTCCTCTACCTGCTCTTCTCGCTTGGCCAGGCTCTTCAAAATTGTTGCGTAGCAGGATTTCAGGTGAGCGCCCGTTGATTCTTTCTGCAAGACCTCAATGGCCTTTCCGAATTCGTCGGCTCCGCAGAGGGTTACGATTTCCGCCAGAAGCTCCCCCGACGGCGCTTCCGCTGCCTCCGACGAGGACGAAAACAAGCAGGTCGGCACGGGCCGAGAGTCTTTCCCGAGCGGCCTTGTGCTTGTGGCTGCGCGCCATCCCCGAACATCGATGGAGGCGGTCCCCGGCTTGGCCCGGACGATCTGCTCCCCCGCAAAGTATGCGTGGCAACGCGATAGAGAGACTACCGCGAGAAGCGTCGCGCCGGATAGTCGAAGCCGCATTCTGCTTTTCTCTATATATTGCCGACCTCTCAGCTGTTCGAAAATGCTGTGTCCGTGTCTTTGTCTGTGGATGCACCGTGCCGTGTTGCTTGGGTTGCCTCGTGTTGCGGTATGAGGATCTTGTATCGCAATCGCAATCGCAATCGTCCTCGTACGTTTTGTTTTCTTTCGGGTGAATTTAGGGAACAAAAGTGATGTAATTTTGTTGTTGTGCATCTGAAAGACAGGATTGCAACACGTACGGTACGCTTCGTACTTGTGTGGGGGAGGTACGAGTTCGAGTCAAAATCAACAAGTTTTTCGGTTCCCCCTGGAACCCAAAATCGATGAACGATGCTCCGTGGTTCGTGCGATTGTACAATAGTACGTACCCTACGTGCGCTTTTCTAGTACTACTATCAACGTACAGTACGTTTATTACTCGTTCATTCTTTGGCGTTGATATGATTCCTTACAGTGGGACGGAAGAGAAACGATAGCGTAGTAAATCACAGACTACTAATACAATAATAGTACTGTAGTTATATTATATAAAAATGATTTAGAAATGCTCGAGAGGAGGAACATCATGATTGTAATTATCAGAGCAACACCGAATACAAGGTGATTTTTAATAGAGATCCTATTAGTACTATCATCAGCATGCAATACTGAAGCCAGCGCAAAGCAACACTCCCTTTTCCATCCGGCGGGATGCCACGGTGCATGAATCCCACGCCGGGTTCTGTAATGCCATGCTCTTCCAAACCGTGCTGCGGTGGGTTGCGAACCGTTCGGTACACAGACAAGTTACTTCCTCTTCATGTTTTTCAGCGCACGCTTGCCCTTGCGGGCCTTGGCGGCCTCGATCTGCGCCGTGGTGGGAAGCTGTGTAAGCTGGTCCAGTGCCAGTCCTCCTACCGTGAAGGTCTTTGCCATCCACAGGGGCGCGGGTTGGCCCCTCTCCCCGGCCTTGAAGGACGCAACGACTGCCAGGAGGGCATTGATTCCGTATATTGTTCCGAGGCCTGGAGTTGGTTGGTGCATTCGTTGGTGCGGTGTGTCGAATGAAACAGAGAGCGAAAATTTGCGTCGGCGGTATAAGTTTCGTTGCCAAAAAGACAATGCTTGCGTGCGATGGGTTGGCCGGGCGGAAGCGCAATGCAATACGAACAACGTCGATGCAACGAGATTCATTGGTTCATGACAAAAACACACAACACAACAGATCACTTACCACCCTGGAGTGCATCCCGAATCGGGGTCGGAAGATTGGTCAATGGGAATCCGGGATACTCGATAAAGGCCATCAGAATGATCACCAGCGCGCCAATGGTGTGGCCGACCTGGAGGGGCCCTATCGGAATCCCCAAAAAGGGTTTCGCCCTTTCCCCCAGCAGAGCACTGACGGTCGTGTATTCTTCTTCCTGGAAAAACGAGTCGTCGCCATCGGCGTAGGGATCTTGTTCCAGAAGCTGGTTTTTGTAGTCGGCGTTTCGTTTCATTTAGATTGTTTCGTTTCGTTTCGTGTGGGTGGGGTGAATTAGGTACGAGGGTGAGTGAAAAAGTGAGATGCAGGAAGCAAGACCACAACGATGCTAGCTTCTAGGCATTCTATTCTGTTGGTTCGAAAACTCCGAAATAAGAGAAAGGGCGTCCAGTTTCTCTCGATTCGTTTTGTCTCGACTCGTCCAAGTGCGTTGCTCTACTTTCTTTTGTTTTAGATTGCATTGGCATCGACGAACACACTACAACAAAACGTACCTTCAAGAGTGCCTGTCGATCGCCGCGATCGATCTTGGTCTTGGGCATGATGCTGTCTTCGTCCTTTGCGGGCCCCTTCTGCACCTCGGCCTGCTTTCGGCGCATCGTGTCCTTGATGTCGGGGAGGGGGATCGATCCGTCCACCTCCTGCACCGGAGACGACAGCTCCGCGGGAGGAGCAGCAACGGCCTCCTCGGGAATTTGCTGCGGTGCCGCATCGATCGGGCTCTTGCCCCCAAAGGAAAAGCTCGCAACGTCCTTGATGTCCATCACGTCGGCATCGTCCGCGCCCGCAGCGTCCATGCTTCCGGGCGCGGCTTCCGGAACGGCCGTTTGGCTCGCCACAACGGAGTCGGTGGAGGGGCTCGGGTCTTCCGCCTTGGGGGCCGTCTTTTTCCGCTTTCGCCTCCTCTTTTTCTTTCCGCCCTCGCCCGAGGATTTTGCCGCGGCCAACTCCGTGCCGAAGGTCTCCGCTGCCGTTCCCTGTCGGAGCAACCGGAACTGCGGTTTTGGTTGCTGCGTTCCTCTCGTTCCCGACACCAGAGCAGAATTCGGAGAGAAGGACTGGACGCCGATCGCTCCCGCTCCCAGCAGGAACAAGAGGACGCAGCGATTGCTATCCTTCTTGGAAAGGACCATTGTTGTTGGTTCTTTTGCTTCGCTCTGTTTTTTCGACGAACGACCAAATCGAATGTCGTCGTGGTGCTAGGTTGTGCCCTCGTTGGGGATCGGGGATCGTTGATGCATTCGCAATCAAAAAGTCGAATTTCGTACTCGTATTCGTATTTCGTACCTACGTACGGTACCGTACCGTATCACCATTGGGGAGTCATCGACGTGATGATTGATGATCGAAATCATCGGCCGAGTCAAAAGTTCAAAGTGGAAGTCACGTTTTCGTGATGCTATTTGTCTTCAACTTCGAAAATGGGGCGGTGTTATTGTCCCCTAAATTCGAAAGGAAAATGCCGATGAGTACTAGTGCATCCTTTTTTTCTGAACTCGAAAACAAAAAAATAATATCGGAAAAACGTTGCCAAACCAACACCAAAAACACAAGACAATCGTCCCATCCTTTTTCCGATACAGCACCTGGCGATACCATACATCCACGATGGACTGCCCCGCCACCAGTATCGACAGCGGCAACAACTTTGGAGACACACTCGCGACCTGGGACACGGCGCGCGCGGTGCTCCTATCCCTCGCGTTTGTCCTCCTGGCAACGACGGTCCTTCTGGAATCCTTTCTGCTCCCGTCCCGGAGAAAGACCAGGTCCGGAGCCGGGCGGTCTCTCGAGCAGGAGCTCCTCACCCACGTCGTGATCACGGGTGGATCCTCCGGCATCGGCCTGTCTATTGCCAGGGAATGCATCGAGCGCGGCGCAAGGGTGGTCACGCTCCTGGCCAGAAACCCGGAAAAACTGGCGGCGGCCAAGAAGGAACTCGAGGCCCTGTCGTCCGCGGTCTCCGGAGCGAGCGAGGGCAAGAAGCAGCGGTGTGCCATAGAGGTCGTCGCGGTCGATGTCTCGGACCAACCGGGGATCGTCCGAGCCGCCAGAGACGTTTGCACCTCCCAAAGCCACCCGGTGCCCACGTCGCTCCTCAACGTCGCCGGGACCTCGTCTTCGGCCGCCTTTGTCGACACGGACTACTCCGAGTTCCGGCGGTTGATGGACATTAACTATATGGGCACTGCCTATGCAACCCGGGCCTTTTTGCCCTACATGCTGGAGGACTCGGGGGGGATCCGTCCCCGGGCCATTGTGTTCACGTCCTCCCAGGCGGGCCAGTTGGGGATCTACGGCTACACGGCCTACTCGGCGTCCAAGTTTGCCCTGCGGGGGTTGGCCGAGGCACTCCACATGGAGCTGGCCCCTAGAAATGTCTCGGTCCAGGTCGTCTTCCCGCCGGACACGGACACCCCCGGGTTCGAGATCGAGAATCTCGACAAGCCCGCCGTCACGAGGGTGATCAGCGAGACCTCCGGCTTGTTTTCGCCCGAGGCGGTGGCGAAGGCCCTCCTCGATTCCATGGCAGCGAAACGACCGGCCTTTGGGATCACCATTGGTTTGGACGGGTTTATGCTCGGGGCCCTGACGGCGGGCATGTCGCCCTGCGTCGATGGGCTCGGTGCACTCTACCAGATCTTCCTGGCCGGCCTCTTTCGCTTCGTGAGCCTCTTTTATCTGTGGGATTTTCGGAGAACGGTGGCGCGAATGCTCGTGGAGGAGGAACAGAAAAAAGAAAAGAACGAGTAGAGCGGATCCAAGCGAAACCAACACTGCGTGCGGCCTGACACGGGCGGCAAAGCACCAACACGGAAGGCAAACAGATTGACAAACCGGGAGGCAGGAACGATTCGAGGGGCGGAATGGACCATTCGTGCTCTTCCAAGCAATGCAGGCGACAAACGCGAAGGCACCCAAGCGCTTGGTGCTGGCGTGTGACGGATGGAGGGGTCAAATCCCACCGCAATGCAACTGATTTCGAGTCCTTTCTTTCTTTTTGGATTCAATCCTTCCAGCGGGGAATGAAAGAATCAAATCGTATGCGCTGCATAAAACAATTTACAAACATTCTTGATGGAAAGTCTCTCGACGCAGAGAAACAGAGAAATGCATGCGTACACAACGGAAATAGAAGAAAACGCATCGAGAATCATTGTCATTTTCTAAGTCCATTCAACTTCACTTGTGATCAAACAGATTACTCCACTGATTTTCTCGCCACATGCGACGTTGACACTTTCTGGATCCCGACCATCCTATTTTTTACCTGGACTAATTTGAAATAGAAAAATTGCGTTAACCCGCTGTAATTTTTGTTTATCTGCTTTATCTAATATAATACAAAATGGTTACGGTTCTAGTTCGATCCGTCGGCCTTGTTCATGTCTTCCATAGCCTCCCGACGGCGAGCGTAGTACTTGTCGAGTGTCTTCTTCGGAATCTTCTTGAGCAATTCCTTGGGGAAGGCACGGAGGATACTCCAAGCAAGGTCAAGAGATTCGAAAATAGTACGTGCCTCGTATGGTCCTTGAGAAATGAACTTTCCTTCGAATCGCTCCAAGAAACTGAGGTATAAATGATCTTCCATAGAAAGAGCTTCCTCTCCGACAACGGCCTTCATGGCCATGACATCCTTACCCATAGCATAGGAAGCATAGAGCTGGTTAGATACGGCACCGTGATCGTCTCTTGTCATGCCTTCTCCGATAGCAGACTTCATCAGACGCGACAGCGAAGGAAGAACGTTGATAGGAGGGAAAATACCCTTGGTATCCAATTGACGATCCAAGTAGATCTGTCCTTCCGTGATGTATCCAGTAAGATCGGGAATAGGATGGGTAATATCATCGTTAGGCATGGTAAGAATAGGCAGCTGCGTAATCGAACCGTTGCGTCCAACAATACGTCCGGCACGTTCGTAAATGGTGGAAAGATCGGTGTACATATAACCAGGGTAACCACGACGTCCAGGAACTTCTTCACGAGCAGCAGAAACCTCACGAAGGGCATCAGCGTAAGAAGACATATCAGTAAGAATGGTAAGAACGTGTAAGTCGCGTTCGTAAGCAAGGTATTCGGCTGTGGTAAGAGCCAAACGCGGTGTAATAATACGTTCAATGGTAGGATCGTTGGCCAAGTTCAGGAACAGAGAAGTACGTTGCATAGCACCACTTTCTTCGAAATCAGAACGGAAGAAACGAGCAGTTTCCATGTTCACACCCATAGCACCGAAGACAATAGCGAAGTTCTCTTCGTGTGTATCCATGGTATCCTTTTGTTTGACAAGCGAAGCTTGACGGGCGATTTGCGCAGCGACTTCGTTGTGAGGAAGACCAGCGGCAGAGAAAATAGGAATCTTTTGTCCACGAGCAACGGAGTTCATGACATCAATAGCAGAAATTCCGGTTTGGATCATAGCCTTAGGGTAATCACGAGAAGAAGGGTTGATAGGCATACCATTGATATCGAGGTAAGCTTGAGGGAGAACCTTTGGTGCGTGATCGATAACCTTTCCGGATCCATTGAAGGACCGACCAAGCATCTCCTCGGAAACTCCCATTTTCAAAATCTCTCCAGTAAATTCACATTTGGTCTTTCTGTTGTCAATATCGGAGGTTCCTTCGAAGACCTGGACAACAGCACGGCTGCCAGATACTTCCAGTACCTGTCCGGATCGTTTACTTCCATCTCGAAGAGTCAAGTTGACGATTTCATTGTACTTTGGGAGCTTTACATTGTCCAAAATAACCAGAGGACCGTTCACACCGCCGATGGTTCTATAAAATTGGCATAGGAAAACACAAGAAAAAAACACTACTTTAGTGACAAGAAAGAACAAGATCGAGGCGCCAAACGGATCTCGCACGAAGATGAGCAAGAACTCAGCTTGAAAGCTCTCACCTGTACTCGAGACGGGGTACGGCAGCATAGTCCTTGACGACCGCAAGAGGGTCGAGATGCTTTCGTTCAGGGGCTTCGACGTGTGCCATTTTGATTGTTTCGCTGTTGAAGTATTGTGTTGGATGATGCGATTCGAAGAGCAACTTAAGCGTATCGCCGGTTTCTCTCTCGTGATCGATACACGATATAAGATCGAGGGACATAGTGGATCAAGGCGAAGCAAATTTCACGAAGGTCTCAAACGGTCAATAGAGGGCAGAAAACTTACATGCGGGTGCGCGCGTGCGTGCTCGCCTAGCGATTTCTAGGCGATACAGCAATCATTTTGGGAGACCTGAGATCTTCCCGTACGTATCATCGACCATATCTTTGATAGGACAGCATCATACGTACGTCTATTTTGGTCTAAAGGATAGCAACGACTACGCGGCGACGAAACTGCAAATTTGCAATTAAGTACAAATTTAGTCCCTTACGTGTTAAATACATGTAAAAAACTGCACAATCTACACTGCAAACTTAATTGTGGTGTAAAAAGCAACTAAGCATCCAATTCAGACCTAGTTTTTTGCAGAATTTGTCTTAACATCCTAATGAACATGTTGGGTTCAGTGGGTAGTTGTGTTATACAATTTTTATGCTGAAACTACTAGTAGTACTACTGGTAGTATAAGTGGGAGGTCCTACTACTACTAGTACTAGTTGTGCCAGCAGCAGTAGTAGTACTACTAGTAGTACACGTACTACTACTAGTAATAGTAGCAGGAGTATTACTACTGCTACAACTAGTACCATATACAGCTTGATTCCTACTACTAGTAACAATGACGAGGAATATGATACGACGGGTTCAATTTTTTCTCATTTTCTCGTCTCACTTCCCCTCTCTACGGAAGTAGTACCGAGATATTCCTATTATTGGTGCTTACTAATAGTACTCAGGAGGTAGTTTTAGTGCTTCATACAGAATTTCCATTAGAGCTTAGTGCTGGATACATCTCTCTCAGTGCTTTCTTATGGGGATGTTACAGTAGGGAGCACTGGTGCTGTGAACTGCTGGTAGTAGGTAAGATGGGAAATTTTGTTCTTGGTGATGCTGCTCGCCGCTCTTCTCGTCGTCTAGCCTCTCATCCTCTTCTTCTTTGTTGTTCTTTCAATTCTCTGTGAACTACTACTACTAATTAAATGGCCTGAACATCTCGCAGCAGCAGCTAATATTCTTACTACCGGTAGTAGAACTAGCACTAATAATAATGGAATAGATGTAGAACAAGAAGAACAAATATTCAAACCTGGAAGCAAACAGAATAATCGTACTAATGTAAAATCACGGTTGCAGGCATCATGAAACGAGTATTGATGCTGCTACGAGGCGTGATTTAGTAATAGGGAATCGCAGTACTTGATATAATGGATTCGTTGTTTCCTTAAAGCTGGAAAAGCTTTTTCTAAGCGAGAGCTTGTAATTGGCTGCGCGCCGTGGTTTCTGAGAGTGTTTGTTGCACGGAACAAAATAGTCGGATGATGGCTGTTTTAGTTTGAGTCGGCCGTCGTAATACCAGTTGTTCCTCGGATGGTCTATCAAAAACTGCGACGACGTAGGAACACAGATTTCATTGTATTAGGTGGATGGATTAGTGCCGGTAATGGCTAGCAGAGTGCAGGAAACAGTTTCCACTCTTCATTCCGTAACGGTCCTAAAGATATCACCCGTCGAGGCTTGTCGCGTGCCATGTCGTCGCATCGTTGCCGCGAGAATCAGTATTAACGTTATTCAGAATGCATTTGTTACATTTTTAACTGAACTAAAAGTAGGTTTGTTACTTTTGATCCCGCAAGCATTGACGTTTCACAAAATGCGATTCGTCACAATTGGAGCATAACGGAACGAATTGTCCCTAGTTCAGACGTTGGAAAATGATGGCACTATCAGATATCGGTTGGCCTTCTAGGACCGTTGTATTGACTGACTACGGTACGACACAACATCCGTTCAACTCATTCGTTTCAACAAAAAATGTATCGGTTTGGATTAAAAGTTGCGCCCCTTCGCTACTCACGTTCAAACCGTAAGAATCAACACAAAACGGTATTTTTTGGCGGTTTATTTGTTAAGCCCAATTTGAGTGCACGTTAATTTTGTTTGTCGCTGATTGAAAATGTTTCGGCTCTCACAAAATTTTGAAATTAAAACTTCGTCCCATCAATCGATTTTCGAAAGACACATTAAAATACTACAGAATAATCGTATCTGTTACAAACTGCATTGAATATCATAAATTAAACAGTTTGAAATACATCATCATACCGCCCCGGAAAATGATCCACTGTTCTAAGAATTCTCAACCCACAATCATGAAGAAACATCAACAAGAGTGCAGTGAGATCCATACAATTCAAATTTTCCGCGAAGCCTCGTCGTGCATACCACGATCATCTTTACGTCAATGTAATCAACAGTGCCCCGGTAGAACGGTGAGCATTCAAAGCACAACATGTGTCACACCAACTAGTCAAAAGCAAGATGGCACGTCTTATGCAATCGGCTGTGACTGGGCTATTGAGATGGACGAAGATCTTGTCGAAGAGCCATCAACACTGATCGAGATGAAAGAATCAAACTCAGATGGCCAATCCAGTCTGTACTCTTTTTACTTTGAGACGCCACTAATTTCGATTGGGCAGGATCAATCCTTCGACGAATATACAATCACAGCCAATGATACCGATAGCTTTCATGACAGCAATGACTTTGATTCTGATAGTATGGACGACATTTGGGAGCAAGGACTGACTCGATCAGTTTCATGTTTCGAAATGGAAAAATGATGCTTGTTGATCAATTCAAAAGTCACACTTCTAAGACGATTTTTGGGAGGTGATCTTACATCGATGAGACCAATTTACGACTGCTAGTCGATAACGAAGTTGATTGAAACGGGGAAAAATATATACTTCTACATGGGGATGATTCTCTAGGATTTTGAGCGTTCAAGAGCCAGAATCATTGTAAAACTAAATCAAATAAAGCGGAAAAATTAGAACGAAACTCACCGGATGAAGGAAAGACCACACATCAATTTCCTCTAAGCTTAGTATTTTGGATGAAGATACGGACCCACCTCCATTGGAACAAAAGAAAAACTAGTCACAGAGATGATTGCAATCGTTCATAATACCGTGTTTGCAGAGCGACATCGAAGGCGCCTTGTCTCAAGAACTTCTCTATTTCGTGCAGCAAATCGTTTGGTGATTACGCAGTGGTGAAGGTGGAACTGAACGGTGTTGTGTTAGAGAGGAAACTCGGAGGAGGAAACTTCTACTGATACGAAGTACTTGTAGTTTTGATCACGAGTCACTCATCATTGAACTCAGAATTTTTCGAACGGGATGTGCCTCGTAGCGTTGAAAAGAAAAAAACAACGGGACTCAAAAAGGATTTCATAGAGGTGCACGGTGCACACGGTCTCATGAGAACAACGGGACATGGATCTTGGTAACGTACTATGACACGGTAAAACGTACAGCAATGTCTATTTTTTAGTCGAACTTTCGAAGAATCATCTCAAATATCAAAACGTCAAGATGACCCTTTTTTTCGTAGGGCGCCCCTAGGTCAACTTAGAGTTCAGATCAGACCAGATCAGTTCTCGTTTTCTTCGAGTAATTTAAATTAGCATTCGACAACCTTTTCGCCGCTCTTGAACATAATTCAGTAATCTCAATACCAAAGAATACCACCATGGCAGTTGATCCCTCAACTGGCGAACTTATCAATAATGGTCAAAGCCCTCGCTTCAAGCTTTGGCTTGCGTTTTTTGCTTTCTCTACGATCGTGATGGGAAGCGCTGTAGGGGTGGTAAGCAAATGAAATGTTTTGGCGGAAGAGACGGGATACAGTATCAGGTGGTCACATATGTTTCATTTTGAGCGATAAGACTTTCTTTGGCTTATCGAAATGCCTTCTTCCTCTATCATTCAATCGCAAAATATCTTTCTCTCTTCTCATTACATGACGCAGAAAAAGAGAGAAAACCAGGTCTCCTCGAATTCTGTGTGGGCTGTCTTTTGTTCTGCATTCTCATTCACCGTAACTGGAGTTGTCACTATGATGCACTTGAGTCCTATGCTTTCAGACTACATCGTAGGAACCAAGTGGGAAGGAATCATCACGGTTGTTTTGGCAGCCTTTTGGTCTGCGACAGTTGCCGTGGGTACGTTTTATTGCGCATGTGTCGCATCTTTTCGCTCAGCAATTATTTCCGTATGTCTTAGGAAATACCATCATTTGTTTCTCACAACATGGACTCATTTGTATTTACAGTCGCAAATGCGGCAACCGGGTTGGCGGTAGATGCCTCAATGGATAACACGATCGTGAATGGCAACTTATATTATTTTGTGAGTGAGAGGAAATCGAATCGGTTTGGCTGAACTCTATCTTCTGATGCAACACATCATGGTGCATAATTTCCAGTGTTTCGTTTACTCTACTCACAATACAGCATACGAATCCTACTTTATTTTTCCGCTCTATGTGCACGATCACGATTGGCAAAATTGGCAGAGCTGGGCCGGCTTCGTGACTTCCATTCTTTTGATCATTGAATACCTTCGCGGTGTATTTGGGGTTGATGTGTACGGAACAGTTAGAAATCGTGCTGCCCGTTTGACTCTATGGGCTGGATTATTGGCATGCCAATTGGTCGTCTTAGGGGCATCGGCAAATATTTTCGATACGGATTGTACGGATTTCAACGGTTACGCTCCCGAGTCAGCTTACTGTAAACGAACGAAGTATGGTCTTTCGTTGGGCGTGATCGGTACCCTATTTTCCCTTGTAATTGTTGCCATGAAGATGCTGACGACAGTTGCTCCCGTGGTCGTTGAAGGCGTTTTGGCGTTTGTGCTTTGCATAATGAATGGCTGCGGCGTTGCCTTCCTTACATCAGCCGAAGGTCCAGGAAGCCCAATCGGCAACCTGTACTATTTTTCTTGGTTTTCTTGGTTGGTCTCCTTCGTGTTGCTTGCTAGCGTCTATGAGGATTATCGGGGCATGAGAACCCCAGAGAATGAGGAGGTCAAGGTAGATGGGGAAATTCCAGTCGAAGCCATTGACGATGTTTAGAGCTTTGATGCAGTGCTCCGTACTCACGAAAGATTTCTGTAATATGGCAGCTGAGTTTGAGTTTAGAGTTTTTCAAGAAATCATTTCCATTTAATGTATAATGAGTTCTTTCTGTGATAATGCATCTGGTGCTTGTACCTACTTTTAAATGGTCGCTGTTGCACAAACTTGAGAGTATAAAATATATTTTCCATTCATAGGTATAATAGTATAGCATAAATGTATTGGGAATGCTTCCGTCTAAGCTTCAATTTTGATGATTCGATGTTCACCGCATTGAGTGTCGAATGACAAATAAATTGTACAGCAAAAAAGTGAATGCCTTGATGCGGATTTTGATCCTTTGCCACATTATAAATCTTTCTTCTCTTGCGATTCTTGCGGTGCATTCACCATGACCGACAAGACAAAGGTCCAAATACCAGTAACAATCAGCACAAACAGCGAAGAGTAAAATTCCCCACCACCACGAGATTCCTCGTCCTGAACCGTTGTTGGCTCTGTTGTCGCATCAGTTGTCTCTATCTTGTAACCCATCATTGCCCAGTATTCTGTCACGGCATCAGCCACCCATCCATTGAATTCGATTTCGTCCAAGTACGCGGTCAGGGCTGCTCCCAATACGATTGCTGTGAGACCTACGGGCGCGTTGCTCATCAGGGATCGAACGTATCGTTCGGGCCACCCAAATACAAGCAATGAAATGAACGCATGACTTATCGGTATGAAAATCAAGTAAACTGTTGCATATATCGTGGAGGAGGAAGCGTTTTGTCCGAATTGTACGACTGCCGCATTGTATGCGACCACTATAGGGTATGAGTATGATAGTTGGTTGAGCGGTAGGTTCGTTCGTTCGTTCGGTGTTTGTTTTCAGCGAAAAGGAGAAGTGAGATCTAACTTCCCTTCAATTTTCTTGTAGCACTGAAAAAAAAATTCGAAACTTACTAAATAGAACATTGCTCAAGAATCCATTTAAGCCAAAGCGAAAATGTAAAGGCAAGCTGTGCAAAATACTGCAGCGTCCGCAAATGAGTAGAATTTTCCAAAGACACAGACGAAAATAAACAAATAAAGTAGAAGTAATGGAGAAAATGGATCACGCGACTGAGCACAAAATGAAAGAACCAATATACACTGTCCGGGCGAGAAACTTCAGGCGCAATTCGGTTCAGCAGATTTTTTGGTGCCCATGTAACAAGTCATTCCATTCCGATTCACTTACGGGTGTAAAAGTTTGGGCATTGGTGGTGCCTGATTTTTCTTCATTTCCAAAGAATGCCTACCTCTTGCCGATGGAGTATGGTTTGTCGCCATCGGTATTTGTTGCGGATGCTGTGGTTGCCCATTCGCAGAGAGGCTTGTTAATGATGTAACTCTTTCCTCCAAACCGTCCGGTTTGGGGGAAGATGTCAGAATTATCGCACTTTCTTCGTCACCAAGGGGCATGATTGGTTTATTTTACGCGCTAAAGGCCTCTTGTCATTCGTGTTGATTTTTTAATGGATTGTTGCATTTGTGCACGGGCTCTGGATCACTGCGGACATCAACTAAAGCGTAACTTCGAGTGCCCTAAAATGGATCGTTCAATGGTAAGCCACCCCAACTCCGATTCTGTATTCTATTCGAAACAACGCCAGATATTATATCTAGGTAGGCTTCTTTCGTGTTCTCTTGTTTTGTAGGTTATATGAGGTATGATTATCGGTCGTGGATGTTTGTACCGATGTGAAGTACGTAGTATTCAAAAATTGTCCATCGTCGATCGTCGGTTGATCGTATTTATTCATTCTTCAATCGCATTTTTTTACTGTACGAAACATTTTGGAGAGAAAACAATCCTTTTTCTACCGTCCTGCACCACGTAGTACTTTGTTATTATCATATTCCATCTCTATGATACATACCGTACCGTACATAGGAGTTATCGAAAGAGTTTTGGGGGCATTTGACATTTGACTTGTTGGATTAGAATATGGAAAATTTTGTCCCTCCCCATCATATGGATAGTACATCCATCAATGAGGTGAAATAACTTGATTTCCCTTTACCTCTTACTTCAAAATACTTTTCTCGCTTTTTCGTGTCTTGCTGCGCAGTCCATGCGTCCCTTCTGCCCAATACAAGCTTTCGTAAAACAACCCCTATCCCACCAACAACAACGCCTTTGAACGGTCTTACGTTACATCAACCAATAAACCGGGAATATAATTAGCAACCATGGCCGTTATTAGTAAGTAGATGGATTCAACAATAGAAAGGAAACACTTCGGAGACCATCATAGACTCACGACAATAGAAGACTAGGATTAGGATGGTGAAGGCACAATAATTTGACATGGCCGGACACCAACGCAACTATGAGGGAACACGTTGTTGTGCTATTCAAGTAATACCCGAACTGATCTGACAATGTCTGTCGTATCTGTGCGCCTTTCTTTTTTGCCTTACAGAGACTGGAAAAGTTGTAATTGTCCTTGCAGGACGACATGCCGGAAAGAAGGCTGTCGTTGTCAAGACCTTTGACGAGGGAAACAGCGAAAAGCGCTTTTCCCATTGCTTGGTCGCCGGACTTGCCCGCAACCCCCGCAAGGTCACAAAGGCCATGTCGAAGAGCAAGGTTGAAAAGCGATCGAAGTGCATGAAGCCTTTCGTCAAATATATCAATGTTCGTCACATCTTCCCCACACGTTACGTTGTCGACATGGACCTCAAGAAGACCGTAGACGAGGCCGATTTGGTTGATGCCGAACGTCGGGTTGATGTCAAGAAGAATTTGAAGAAGGTCCTGTTGGATAGATACCTCAACCAAAAGGAAATCACTAGCGAGAAGAAGGCACAGGGAAGCAATTATTTCTTCCAAAAGCTAAGATTCTAAAAAATCACCCCCTTTCTACTATCACACAACCCATGTCATCGCATTTGCAAAGAACGGATATTGAAATACTTGATTTGATTAGAGTACGAAGAATAGCGGTGGTCGATACATTCTTCTGAAACTACAGAAGAGGTCAATGGTTGGTTGTGGTCAAAAAAAGTGGCCTCAGAACACAGCAGGGTACCGCGCACTATGCAACAAAAACATTAGTTTTCGTAGATCGATTGCACCCACAGCAAGGTGCCTGAAAATCGTTCGACTAAAAATGTTCTTTGTCCCGTTACACTCTTTTATCACTACCTGGCGTCCTCGATGTCAATGAGTTGGTTAGAAAAGTATGATAAAGTTGTTACTCGTGATTGTTAGGATACAAGGGAACGTTGCTTTCTGTGGATGGCTCAGCAAGAAGCTTTGAATTATTTATGTTATTTTCCCGATACTTCTTTTGTGAGCAGCAAGCATTTTTGTCGTCCATGATTTGGTCGGAATCATTCGATCTAATTCGTTCTGCCGATTCCGTTTGCACAAGTTGGACAGTCCAGGTTTCGTAGAGCCTGGAGCATAAACTCCGATTCGCCAGCCATAACCATCTGGTTGCATTCCTTTTCGGAAAGCATCTTGCTACGTTTCAGAATTGTGTTGGACGCTTCTTCTCTCGAAAGAGTTGTTTTGCATCCCGTCATGGCCCTGCGTTTCTTCCCTCGTTCCGTTGAAGGGTTGTTGTCAAAGACGGCGCCGCCCGAATAATCGCCGTTGTTGATCCTTTCTAAATTTTTCGCATTTTCGCTGTAAGATTTAGCGCTGCTAGGTTGGGCAAACGCAGACCAGGTTGCTGCGGCTGCGGATGCGGCGAGGCCGAACGTTAAATAGGAACGGCGGTCGAGCAAAAACTGGTTGCTCGCAGCATTCGCTTCCCTTGTCGTTTGTGACGATATTTCAACAGCTACTTCACTGCAACCCTGACGAATGACAACGTTGCATCGAGATTCTTCGGTCATGTACATAGGATTGAATCCATTCACCTGGGATACCACATTCCGCAGGCAAATCTGTTGCAGGCTAGTGGTAAAAGCACCAACCATTACTATCATGGAGGTCAGGATAAGAAACGCTGATGCAAAAATTGCGCCGATGGCGCTCGGTCTGGTCGTCATGACGGCAGAAATTGTTCTTCGTAGTATCTTTGTTTTCTAATTGTTAGGAGACAAGTCCGTACTCGGAATGGTTCAAGTCAACACTGTGGATCTTCGAAGGAAAGTGTCAAGAGAAATACAGAAATTGCTATCGAATTGCTAGAACAAGAACTGTGAACCGTGAACCATACACTGACAACATACAGTAACAACTTCAAATCTGCATTACGAGTACGAGTACAACTACCGTACGAAGCAGTACGGTACAATCTTTGATTTGACACGGATGTGAGAAAAAAAATGGTGTTGGAACGACTTCAATCTCGTCAGAATTGGGAATTTGGAATCTTATTTCCATATTTTCCGTGGTGACGCAAGCACACATCAAAATAAAAATAGGAGATGACGGTCTCGATCAAAAAATGACGGCGAACAAACAAAAACCGAGAAAAACATACCGTACTTCACCGTATGCAATAGTACTGTTGGACTGTACCGAGAACATCATGTACGGTATGCTTTAACGAGTCGATAACCAATAGGTACTCGTATCGGTCGTTTGCGTCCTAGTACAGTACTTTACCTACCATACGTCTAGTTTCGACAGGAAGCCTTCGGCCCCTGAAAATGGGAAAAACTCCCAACACCACTTTTATCTCACTTTAGTTTGCTGGAACTGATTCGTCGGTCGAATTACAAAAAAAAGATGCCTGATACTAGTGACGAACCATGGACCCCAGTCGAATGGGCCATTAACGGTGCCAAGGTACGAACAACAAAGGCGTGCGCTAGAACACACGACAAAGAAAACGACGACGACGAATGTATTCGAGGAGGGTGCATCCAGCTTTGTTGATGCGGTAAAGCGCATCGCGGCAACGAACATCGGTCCCGCCAGATGCAAGGTATCGATGCAACGCGACAATTCAAATTTGGCGCTCATCGGTGTTGGTTATGGCAAGAACCCTTACACCTGAAATTTTGTCGGACGCTGAGCAATGAACCAGTCCCAGTAAATCTGTTCTCACAACTGTTCACGCCATTCTTTTGCGCACTCTCGCCTTTTCGCAGATGACATTCGCTCTGTCCCCACTTTTGCTTCTTGGGTACATTTTGTTCAGTGCCTTCGAATCGGAAGAGTTGGAAAACAAGAAGAGAAACAAGAAATCCGATTTTAGTATGGCGGGACATGCTGAGTAAGAGAAACGGTACAGGTACGGTTACCTCTTTCTTCCTCGTGTCGATGAATGTATTGTGAGCGCATTTTTTAAATGCATCAAAACGCGGGTTGGAATAGGCTGTTTCAGAATCATATGTTTTGTTTCATCAATACCTTGTAAGGAGAAATTGGCATTACAGAAACCATGCAGAACTTTTCGTTAGACTTTTCGACGACATGTAATGATAAGACCTGTCATAGATATGGGGTTTGTTCTTTACGTTTCCGACCGATTTATTAGCACTTTCTTCCACGTTCTACTCGAATATATGGATTATTGTGTTTCACAAACAACGTTATTAGACTACCATTATGTTCCGCATTATTTCCTTTGTGTCGGTTTCAATCACATTTCGAGACTTTAAAATATCTTCTGCAATTTTAACTCACCAGATCAGCTATGCGAGATTCGTCTCGCAAAATTCAGATCAAATGCCCATCGTCCGAAATGAGCCAGTCAAAACCAAGAAATACTGTATCTGGTTTTCAAAGATGCGTCAAGGGTGCACGAATGCTTTCTTACACATCACTTTCCAATTCCTGAAAATTCCCACTTGTCAATCGATGTCTAGTTGCTTGTAACAGAGTCTCCGAGGCAACCGCGTTCGGGTAAATCCGACGGTCGCGAAAGAGGGACAACTACAATTTCTATTAGTTAGTAATAGATGTTAATAAACCTAAAATAGAGAAAGAAACGTTTCATAAGTTATCGAAAAAACTTTTTCCAGAACTTCGTCTCTCATGATGTGAAATAAAACTCAGAATCTAGTTCTATCTATTCGTTTTGGAACTTTTTTTGATGTTGAATTACTCGTGCCATCAAAAGCCTCGTTAAAGATTAGTTCATTTCACCCCCAAAACAACAGAAAGGCGTTCGTCCATTTTGTGTGTAAATGAGGGACCGTTTTGTAGATGCCTAGTCCACAGTACCGCGTCCACTAACGCGATTTTATATTCAAACGAAAATCTATTTGAAAAGACCAGGGTAGCTCTTCTTGTAACCTTCGAAGTTAGGGGCGTTAAGATCCAATCGAGTGACAGGACTCTTACGCTCAAGCGTGAGTCGCTTGATAGGAGGGAAGTTGGAGTTATTTTGGTTGCGGGCGTTTTGGTATCGTGCAAAGCGCTCATTGACAACGTCTGCCTTTGGCTTTCCGACTTCCCAGACTTCGGTGGGTGTGCTGACGTTGTCCTGGTCCATGGCTCCGGCAACGCCAGGAGCGACGGCAGCTCCAAAGAGAGCAGCTCCGGCAACGGAAAAGAAGGCCTTGCGGGATTGTTCGGCCTCGGCGTTCAATGAAACAACGCTGGTCTTGGGAGACGAGGTGGGGGCAAAAGCCGAAGCAGTTGCAAGAGTAGTAAGGGCAACAATGGCAGAGAACTTCATTTTGTCGATGATTTCTTGAGAAATTAAAATAAGAAACGAAAACAGAACAAACAACTACCGTTAGAATCAGAAAATGAATAGATTGACATAGTCATTAGTGCAAAATGGTCCTCCATCACCTGCAAATCAATTTCAACCGAATGGAGATCGAAGAAAAACTGCATCGTGACAGCTCTAGTTGACTTGGTTCACCCATTATTCGTGCCACAGCCTAACTACGAGCTAGAACACTTAGCTACATTAAGATGGGGATCACTGTGGGAAAGATTAAACTTGGATATTGAACTATTCCGCTCCATCTCGTCCCATCCCATCACACCAAGTCACACGAAGGCGATTCACTCACCAAACGCAATTAGCTATTTCAAAGTGTCCGATTAGATCAGGGACAAAAACGACTTACATTCTGAAGGCTCGACATGCGGGATATGATGTCAGATAGTGTCAAAGAGTTTCGAACAGAAAAACTAAATAATATTTAGATCCGTAGATCCCGTACTAGTACTTCGTACAATGCGAATATTGGTTGAACTTCTTGAGAAAGGTAGATCGCGGATTTCGGACTAGAATAGTCTCTTAAAGTATTTTGCAAAGTATTTTGTAGAAGTACGTACTGTACGTACGTACTCGTGATCGGTCTGCTACTAGTGCCGTACGTACCGTTCAAACGTCCATACTAGTTTTACGAAGGTGAAAACATATGCGAGAGTAAAAAGGGGGAAGGGGGGAGTATTGTGGAGAAAATGAAATCAAAAGAATGAAGCCAATTAATCAAACCACTCTAGCTGTTTGTTGCTTCTACTAAAATATGAATGGAATCCATTGCTTTATTCAGCATGATTGGCATTGTTGTCTATTGTTGGTTTTTTTTTCTTGTACCACCAGTAGTGGTGGTGGTGGTGTTACTACTAGTACAGGGAACACCAAAGAAACTAGTAAATTAGTACTGCTAGTAGTAGTAGGGCTTCATCTTCTTGTTCTTCTTGTCAACAACAGCTTTTTAGTACTGGTGGTAGGCTTTTACACTTGCTGTTCTTCCAACATGCATTATAAAAAAAGCAGAATTGGTTGTCACTAACTTTCTCATGGAACTAAAAAAATAATGTCAGAGCCTTTATTTGCTAACTTTTAGAGAATTCAGATCCAACAAGTTTCAGAAGTAGTACTACTAGTAGTACTAGAAGAAGAAGAAGAAGAAGTACTGGTATTTCTTTCCTACTAGTAGTAGTAGCCTGGCATTTTAATTTATGATACAGTCATAGATTTTGGGCCCTTATTTTTGCATGCAATGATTACTTTGACTAAAATAGTACTGAATGGTAGCAGTACTTCTTTTAAGTTTACAGCAGGGCATGTGCTGAATTTTTTAATGCCGCAACCAACAAATAGTTTCACTCACATCATGCTATTGCTGTACCAGTAGTTGTACAAGTCAACTTTTTAATCCCATGAGTCATTACATGGTAAAAAGATGGCCCATTATCTAGTAGTAAGTACTGTGTTATTCAACTGTATAACTGTTTTTGTCTTGAACTGACAGTTTGAGCTGTATCTTGGTCCCCAACAGATGCTTAACAATGACAGGCCCATGCTTAGAACTTAGAAAGAGAACTTAGAGAGGATTCTAGTCATATGGGGGAGGCAGGGGGGCCTGATGGTATTTATTGATATTGGTGTACATATATTGAGCATTGCTTATGTACAAATCACACGTCCAGAAATTGTGTGCCAACTCTATATGATACTAGACCACTACTAGTATAATTTCACAACCCTGGTGGCACCCAATGTTTTGTTCCATAGACTTCAACATAGGCATGGCTCCTATTGTTTGAGATTTATCAGCATCTATGCTGTCATTAATCATCATGCCTGGTAGTAGTAGTAGTACTACTAGTAGTAGTAATCCACCAACATGATACAAGAATATCTGGAGCATCATTGGATCTTGTCTCCTTTTGTAATATCTGCTGGTGATCACAGCAGTTCCAACAATAGCAGCAGTATTTGATGAGGAGGCAGTTATTAGCAAGCAGTGTTTCTGAAAATCTGATATGATGCCTCTGTATTTTCTTCTTCATTTAATCTCAACAAGTTTTAGGTTCCTTCTTGGAGCTCCTCTGAATACTACTACAGTGGAGTGATCTGGCAGCAATGTGTCAGTCTTTGTATTTTTGAGTGTGCTTTATTTTGGTTGTTGTAGTAGTAGCTTGTTTGGTTTCATATTTTGGGTGAGATTTTGTCTATCCTTTGCAGCAGAGGAACCAGTGAGGATATCTGAAGAAGCTAGTACACTGTGAAGCAGTGCAATTGAACTAATTTTACTAAACATGAGATTTCAGAAATAGCACAATGAATTTCTTTTCTTGTACTTTATTAAATTCCAGCAGAACTAAATCATGATGTGTGTCCTCTCCTATTTCAAAACCACCAGGACCAATAGTATATTGAAATTTGTGAGATGCACAAAGCTTGACTCATTATTGTGAAGGAGATTGCTTGCTTGTGGAAACAATCTGGTGTGACTCAGTGCTCAAAGTGACAGCTCCCACACAATGTTGCACTCATTATGGTCTCAATTTTCATAGTAGTAGGCTTACTGGAACTTCTTTAACATGTGTCTCTCTGCATTTTTCTAAACTCCCACCATGCCTTCCTTTGCTGGTTGGTTTTGGATTATGACATACATCATCATGTATGTACCACTGGAATGCTTTTGACTCTGCTTGTTGAATTGAGTTCAAAGAAAACAGAATTTAGACCTTCATTGTAGTACTAGTACACTAAAGTCTTCATGTTCCATCTTCTTGCTTTCATATCCAAATAAGGTGATTGTTTTTTATTTTCTTTCAATCAAAATATTTTGTTTAAAAAATACAAGATTTGATTAATTTACAACAGCAATATTGCCATACTTGTAGATAATCATACTGTATTTCTTGTCCCTTGTAGTATTGTCAAACAATCCATTGCTGTCATTACTTTGTTGAACATGTTGACTTCAGTACTATAATTCAATTGTGCAACAAATCCCTTATGAGGATCACTTGTAAAGTGTCCTGCTAATAGCACTTCTTGAATTGTAGCTTTGGACCTACGTCACAGTGTTTGGATTACTATGTAAAAGGAAAGTGCCCTTACTGGACTCCATTTGGTCATCATTTTATTCTTCATATTCTGAATTTGCTTTAAGAAGGAAAAGTAATGCTTGTTGTTGTATTAGCTCTTCATTACTACTCTGTTTATCTCTTCAACATCACTACTATCAAAGAGAGTTGCTATGATAACCCTGACATTCCTTCATGATGAAAAGACTGTAGTATTTAGCAAGAAGTCTTGGGGACAGGGTTCTCTTTCATCATGTTTTAAAATGACTACTACTTTAATCTTGGAACAAGCAACAAGCATTGTTGTTATGATGACTGATTTTCTCAAGGAGTCTTGTTAGGAATGGCTTCTCTTTGATTTTGAAATGACTAATCATGATCAATACAACTCCTGAATTGTTTGTTAGGTCTTCTTGGGAGTAATGATTTCTCTTTAATTTTTGAATGATCAACCATGCTGCTGATAATTAGTACTGGTGGCTTTTTGAGACTTCTGGTAATAAGTTCTCTTTGATCTTGGGATGACCAGCAATCATGACAATCAGTCATTCTGGTTAATGGTGCAAATGGAAAGACTAAATTTGATAGACTGACAGACTGAAAATGTATTTCATGTGGTTCTAGAATAATCTCATTTTGAATGAGCCAAAGACCCCATCTAAAATGTGCTACTTTTATAAGAGAATACATGAATCAAAATTTTGTGTCCATTGTAAGATTCAACACCAGAAAGCCCAATTCTAAATGTGCTAAATGTGATAATTTGTTTTTGGCACCACCAAGATCAAATTTATTTATAATTTTGGGCTACCTTGGCCTAGTACAAAATAAATGCTACTACACAAAACATTTTTTTTCATTAGTACTACTAGAAAGAAGTTTCAATGTTACTACAAAAAACAAATTGTTTCATTAGTACAAAGTCCAATTTCAGTGATATTTCCATAATCTAAGCTTCTTAGTACTGCTGGCTATTGCAGTACATAAGTCAGCAGTGTTAGTATTGCAATGCAACACCATTGTCAGCTGAACATGTTCTTTGAACAACTCTAAAACCGCCATTGTGCATTTGTTATGTTTTCATTAATTTTTGAACTAGTATATAGAGCATCTGAAATTTTGTAGGCTAGTAATTTGTTCTTGAAAGTTTGCATTGAATGATATCATAGTTAAAGAATTCTCTGTTGTTGGTAAATCTTCCTCATGTACTATAAGGATGCCATCCACCTCCTTGTTGCTGCTGTTTTTTACCATTGCAATTGTCCCTGTTTTTGGCCCTTCCTCTTCTTTTGGCATATTTCTTATCTCTGTTTTCTACTGGCTTCTTGTTGGAGTTATTTGGTTGAAGTGACAAGGGTAGTCTTTCTTTGTTCTTGCAGAACAAGAAGGCAGAATTCAGATTTTATATAAAAAATACTAGGTGGTGAGAAGAACCCATTTCAACAAAATCAAGTATCAGCATACTAATCAGGAAACACAAACAAGACAATGAAGTCTTTCTTGTAGTACTAGTACCTTGATGCTCATTTGTTATTGTTTAATTTGACTGAATTATTTTACTCTTCTTGTTGATTGCCCCTTGGTGGTACTACTTACTAGTAGTGGTAATAAAATAATAGTACCATGGCACCATGGTAATGCTAGAGGTTGGATCCTGTTATCATTATGATTAATTGGAGGACTTGCCTAGATGTCAAGGGACTGGCTTTGAATGAATTCACTGATACTTTCAATCTTGGTACATGATGGGATAAGAAACAACTCTGAGAACTCCCCCAGCAGGTGTCATCACTCTTGCCTACTATTCCCAGTTTCATAGGTACCAGAGACTGGAATATTACATTAGCTTGATACAGTAAAAAATAATTTGCTTTCCAATATTACATTAGCTTCATAAAAAATAATTTGCTTTTTCATATGAAATTACTATTCTTCACTACCTAGCACAATATTAATAAGAAGTATGAAACGTAATCCAAGCACTTCTTTCTTTCAATAAGGATGGCCGATAGATGGAAGCAAGTTCTTGGTAAAGAAATTTCAGACTTACAAATGCTTCTGAATCTCAGCTACTACCAATGTTCAAGAATCACCTTTCAACCCATTAAATTAAATGTATGGCAAAAATGGCCCTGTTCGAATAGCTATTAGTATATTCTTGTACACCAATGACTCATCACAATCCATTGCAACATTGTAGTAGCACTTGTGCCATAAATCTATACCACTGCATTCCTTTCATGTTTGTAAACTGAAAAGAAGCATCAAAATTACTCACATAGTACTACTACTGAGCTCTTTCAGTTGTAAAGGAATTGCTTTCAAGACATACTAGTACTAGTATGCTGCTGCTGTGGACTAGAGGAAGTATTGAGGAACAAGAACAAATCCAAAATACTAGTAGGCCTAATCAATGACCAAATGATATCAAGTTTTTTCAAAGACTAATCCATGACCAACTTATTATTTTTGAACAAGCTGATTTGCTCAACAATTAATGTTAAATAGCACTCCCACTGGATTGGTGCAGCTTATCTGCTGTTGGGAACTTGGTGTCTGGGACGATATTCTTCAGATCACCACCGATAAAGAACCAGGATTTGCAGCTAGCTAGTACTATCACCATTCAAATGTGTGGAAATTGACAATTAGAAGTGCTTTGTTAAGTATCACCAGTAGATCATGGTGGTGACCCATATTTTCTTATCAGTGGCTAGTATTAGCAGTGAGGACTAAGCAGAATTCTGTGTTGTCATGGTGTCGTCATGCCAGCAATAAGAACCAATTTTAGGTCAATCATGGTGACAGAGAGTTCTATTGAATCCTCAACTGCAAACTTCTTTGTTCCTTCAAGTTACTGTTTGTACAAAATGTTAGTTTCTTTATTTCACAGAGATCATATTCCTGTGGTATTTTGGCATATTAGTCATACTATTAGCAGTATTGGGCTTTCAGTCATACTACTACTTAGTACAGTAGTACAAGAATAGTGCCGTTTTTTGTACTAAACATCTATATCATGATATCTGGGCTTACAACTAGTACCTAATAAGGAGTTAAAATGATTTGCATGTTTACCTCAGTTAGGCTTTTTTAAAGTGCCCTACCTTTTTGTTGAGTATAGGGGATCAAAAAGTGAACAATCTATTTGAAACATGAAAGCAACCAAACTACTCCTCCTAGTACTGTAATAGTACTACAATGCAAATAAGAAGTTGTGATAGTCTTTTGGTAGGTAGTGATCATCTAGTCTTGCGCAGAAAAAAGTTAACGACACGACTCTTTGTTATTGGCAATTGTGCTACTAGTACGGTAGTAAGTATAAAGGGTCAACAACTGTATTTTCTATAGGCATAGAAATACGTACTACTGCCTTTTGAAGGCATAAACAACTTGCCTTATTGACTATAAAATGTGTGAAATGAAATAATATCTGAATAGGAAACCAATGATTAATCTAAATTCTATGTTCGTGGATATGTTTTTGGATGGCTCCTTCACCTTTTGATCCCCGAGGCTTTCAGGAAATACCAAACAATGTACTATTGGGCAATCGAGGACGAATCATGTAAATCCTTCGACCTTTACCCTCAAAATTGTTTTCCTCCGAAGAACTATATGTTTCGCAACCTCGCTTGTCCTGTGTTCGCTCGGCGAAGCGGTTTCTTATCAACAACAGCCTGTCCACGTGTTGAATTCATTGTATTGACCCGTGAGGAATTGCCGAGTGGCCGTGCATTTACTTTCTTCCTACCCATAGGGATCTTCTTTCCCAATTGCCTGTTCTCTTCGTGAATTTGGTGATCTTGCTTCTTTTTCAATTTGAGCTGCATTTCATTTTTCTTGTACTCAGCCCACTCTGCATCTTGCTGTTCCATGACATCAAAATATATCTGTCCCTGGTACTGGAAATCTTCGCCGTGCGATTCCTTCCATTCGTTTAGCTTTTCCTGCAGCATTTTCGTCAGTTTTGGCAACTCCTTTTTGATTCGTCTGGCCATCTTCTCTTCTTCCATCAGCTGTTTTGCCATCGCAGCACCACGTTGCTTCAATCGGTCTGAGTCTTTTTGTAATTCTTCGTACTCCATTCTCTCACGAATGATATCCTCTCGTCGATTGATTATTCTGTTGATTGGTTTCATTTTCTCTAATCGATCTTGCAGTACTGCGATGTATTCTTCGTGCTCATCAAGTAGCTTGTCATCGAAGAGGTCTTCGTCACGTACGACAAAAGGTTCAAAAGACTTGCGCTGCTCATATGATCCATTCGTTTCTTTCCAGAGCTGCTGGATGTTTTCTCTAGCTTCATGAATGAGCTTGCCTAACATTTCGCTTTTTAATGATTTCAAGCGTTGCAGTTCTGCGCTGCCCTTTTCAATGGTATCCATTCCAAGGCCCTTGACGCTATTTGTAAAAGCTCGTTGTTCCTCCACCGGAATACTTAATTGCTCCCATAATGCAGCAATCTCACCACCCATTTCTTGGAGCAGGTCTTTTCTGCGGCGTTTTTCACTACTTAGCTCCGAGGCTCTGGACGTAAGGGCCTCGAGCGCCTTGGCACTGATTCCTGTGCATGTATCAGTTTCAAACTTAGATACCATCATAAAGCTTGAGTCTTTCGATCTAACAAGACTACCGGAAATGCGCCTGTCAAGATCCGATGCATTCTCAGCGTGGCCATCAATCCCAATATCATTCATGAGGTGTTGGCAATCGCGCAAAAGTTGTATGACAGCAGCAGTCCTTGTTGCCATTTCTTGTTTCATTTCTTCGACCTTTTCGCGGAAGGCTTCTCGGCGTTTGTCAGTCAGATCGTTTTCAATATCACTCCAGCAATCATCCAAACTCCTTCCGAGCGAGCTATGTGACTCAATCAAATATTCTTGACACTCTTGTAGCTCTCGTCGTGCTTCATTGGCATCTAGGCGGAGTCCATCGAGTGTCGCTTCCAAATTCGCCAGCTCATCTGTCAACGTCATCTCTCCATTATTGTCTCTCAAAAGCCGATGATCGACGGTCTGCTTAAGGGAATTAGAGATGGCTTTGATCTCCATCTTGGAATCGGCAATTGTCTGGCGAAATGTCTCGGCAACTGTCTGCTCTTCCGAAATTTTGTGTTCGCATTGGCTTCGAAACTTTTCGAGCAAGTCGGAGAGCTGAGAAGCTCGCTCTTGCGGGGTGTACCCAACCTCGTCCCATATATCCTCGAGTTGTTGCGCCGTAGAAGAGGCCAGAGCATTCAGGGTTTCAGTAATCGTTCGTGAAGGCGAAAGAAGGACCAGGCCCATGCTCGTTCCACGTGGTGTTTCCCGCGGGGTTAGGACGGGTTGGATCGGAGAGAAGGCGGAGAGACGGCTCTGATGTTGCAGCGTAGTGTTGATTGACCCAGGTGTAAACTTTTGTTGCTGCACGGTTGGAGTTGGAGAGGATACGCTGGCTGCAATCGAGGAGTACTTTCCGTTCATTGATTTTGATGCCGAAGCATCTAAGACCGAGAGCCCTTCGTCGAAAGTCGATCTATCCACCATTGCGATGTGCAGTTGCAAATTTTAATTAAGGTTGTTTCACAGACAAGAAGTCTATACCTGAGTATGTTGTCCTAATTTCTTTGCGTGTTGAATGACGATAATACTGGCGCGTATTGATGAACCGACGACTCAAAAGTTGTTGCCTTGTTGATACTGTTTCACTGGTGGGAAACTCAAAATAACAGTTGCGATTACTAGATTACTCCTTCAAAAATCCTGTCGTTTTTTTGGAATTTAATTCTCGCGTGCCCTGCCTGCTCTAAAAGTGGTTGGGATGGCAACGGTAACTGATGTTCACCCGGCGCTATTAGTCGAATCAGTCGAATAAATAATCAGGAAAAAAGCGCGCCACTCTTAGAAAAATCTGCGCGTCATGTCCGCCAATGAGACATATCACAAAATCTTTTCATGGAAGCAGTGTTTTGTAAGGCGGGACGATCACAACAGCATGACCAATGCTGCCGTGCAGGTACCTCGTACCGGTAGTACGCACTGTAATCGGTGTGATGAGGACTCCCTGTTGTCTGGCAGTTCGAGAATCGCACCGATTGGTTCCGCACCCCTCGCCACTCCAAGGACCATAATTTCACTTGTGTTGCAATAACATCTTTGTGGCAGAGAGCAACAGCACCAACCTGTATCTGTTTTCCATCGAAGCAGCGGATAGTCGTTGGAGCAACTACTCAAAAATTGGATAAGAAGCACCATCTTACCCAAATTCGTCAACCAAGTTCTTCATCCACATCCACATTTCACATTCGCAGCCTGAGCCAACAGAGAGCCTTCGTTATGATAACATCGTTTTTCAAATCGGTAAGGTCGGTAAGAAATGATCCGGCTCTCGATGAATCGGTAAAGAAAGAGGACTCAAGAGCTGGCAAGGGAAAGAAACCCACGGGAAGAAAGGCTCAAAATGAATCATTTTCGACGGGGAAGACTTTAGTCAAGAAGGTCGGTTTTTTTCAAAAAAGTAACAAAAGAGACAATGTATACAAGTGCTTTGCAGACACCAAATGCTTTTTGCTAACGAGAAATGCTCTATCCTCACCGTCACATATTCATTATTTTGCATATCTGGCTTACAGAAACTCGAGAATGTTTTAGACGAACAAGGCAACCCGGTATTCTTGAATGGCGTCGTTAAGAAACAGAAGTACAATGGGAGCATATCCGATGGCAAGACCTATACCATCCAATGGGATGGTGGAGCTCCAGTATCTAATTGGAGCGAGTCGGAGGTCGCCTGGGGAGTCGTACTGTTCGAATCAATTGGTCTCGAGATTTCGAAGGAATTCGGCAAGGATGGGATCTTTCAAGGCATAGTAGTGGATGTTTCTAGGGACGACAGCGAAAGTGAGGGCGAGGGTGATGTGCTCTATAGGATCAATTACGAAGATGGAGACTCCGAAGACTTTGACGGTGCAGATTTGCGGGAGGGAATCCAGCTCCATGAAAAAGTGACGGAGAAGCCCAAGCGAAAACAGGCCAAGATTGCCATCAAGGATGAAATAAAAGAAGAAAAAAAAGATGATGGTGAAACCACGGAGGTGACAAAAGGAAGAAGGCGCAGCAGGGGTCGGGTGAGCTACGCAGAAATAGACGAGGATTTCATGGATCTAGATAGTGACGAGGAGGAAATCAAGCAAAAGCGAAAGCGTCTAAAACCTTCAAAGAAGAAGAAGATTGCAGATTCAGAAGATGACGACTTCGAAGCACCCGTCGAAGATCAAGCCGACACAGACTTGGACGATGATATGATGGTTGACGACGACGATTTCGAAGAGGAAAAGACGTCGCGATCGAAACCAACGAGGAAAAATACAAAAACGAGCTCCAGAAAATCAACAAAAAAAGCAGAAGACAAAAAATGGGCAAGCAATAAATCTACCGGCAATAAATCGATCACCGAAGAGTTTGAGGAACGACTGGAAACCGAGCGGAAACGTGTAAAACCCAACAATAATCCTCAGAAATGGCCCGAGAAGGGGTCCTACGTTGACCCCGTCGGAGTCGACCCGACGCATGGTATTGTAGAGAGAATTGTCTCGGATCAAGTGCGGAAGGTGGGCGGGCTGCTACAAAATGTGAGGTTTCAACAAGGGCAAAAACAGAAGGACGAGTCTGAGCTCTCTTACCCAATCCGGTTGCAGACGGCATGCTCTGGGACTGACGCTCCGTCAATTGCTCTGGGACTTATCAAAGAGTCGCTTGCAAGAATTAGCTCCAAAAGCGAGGAGAAAAGTGACCATTTGTTCAACTACGAGCACATGATGTCATGTGAGATTGAGCCTTTCAAGCAAGCATACATTGCAAGAAATTTTCCGGGGACGCCACTCTTCCCTGATATCACGAAACTGTCGGCAATTGACGAAAGCGGCTCTGCTGAGAAAGTCATCGATGTTTATGGCAGACCCCAAAGCATCCCAGAGGGAGATCTTTTTGTTGCGGGGACTTCATGTAAGGATTTTTCGATGCTGAAAACAACTAAAAGAAAAGATATCCAAGATAAGGGGCAGAGTGGAGAAACATTTCTTGCCGCTGTGGAATTTCTTGATCTATACCAGCCACCTTTCGCAATATTTGAAAATGTGGATGGCGCCCCTTGGGGTAAAATGCAAGAGTATATCCAGGGCCGTATTTATCTACCCAATAGAAATTACAACAAAGCCATTACGTCAACGAAAAGGAAAACTAGTAAGTATCATGTTGGAATATTGATTCGAAAGATGTGACTGAAACTAAAAATTGTTGTGCTGCGATTTTAATGATAGATGCGGACGAAGATCTTGTTTTCATAGTTAACGACAAAGGCCGATACGAAGCTAAAGCCATACCTCCACAAGTGGGCATGAAAGCTGGAGATATTGTTCAAGGTTTTGTGAAAGAAGGAGCGGTCTCATCAGACGTGATTCCGTTGCTGTCAGAAGAGAACAGCGCTGGCAAAGAATTTTCTTTGGGACAACTCGCAAAAAAGCACAAGATCAAGCTGGATAAGGACACATTAGTTCTTGAGAAAAAAGCCAGATATTGCACCCATCTGTGCAAGCTCGATACAAAGGCATATGGTCTTCCCCAAACGAGACAGCGAAAGGTACGTAGAAGAGGGCAGAAGATAATTTGATAATTTCACAGGAATTGCAGATTGCTTACAGGCTGGTTTTACTTTGTCTTGTTCACAGTATTTATTTATATGGCGATCCGATGATCCAGATGACGACCTCGGGGAATATTTTCAAGAGATTTTGGATCATTTAAAATCCCCTCTGCTCCACAGCATGGAAGCGTTTCTGTTGCCAGATTCCCATGATCGGATTCGTTCTTTCCGAGAAGCTCTTCGATCAGGGCCAGGTCTAATGGTCAAACGCGACCGTGCAAAGGAACTAGACTTCTGGGAATGGGAGATTTCTCGCGTTAAAGATCTCTCAGCTCACAAAATATATCGTGAAAAAATAGGACTTGCCGACCGATCAAGGTGGTTGACAGGATGGGATACTCGTGGACGTAAACAGCTAGCGCCCACTCTATGGCCTGAATTATTTGACTGTTGGAACATGCGAAGGCTTGACATGATCGACTGCTTTGCGGCAGCTTCGAGTAAGTAGCGTGTCGGATTACTATTGAATTCATGGGCGCAACACGTGTTCTCATAGGCACTTTTGTTTCTTCTCGCACGTGCAGTCAGAGATGCCATATCTCGAGATCCGCTCCATCATTCTTTTAGTTGGGATCTATCACAAAATGTTACTAGAACAACCTTCCGGTCGGCAACTGTTGGAGTCAGTGGTTGTGTCACTCCTGGTGGCGAGCTATTGCTCCCACACAAAGGAAGAATTGTTATGGGATACGAGAAGCTATTACTACAGGGAATCCCTTTCTCGAGGCTTCTTCTGGGCCCAGAGACTGAAGTCCAACTTTCTGACCTAGCCGGAAATGCCATGTCAGTCTCGGTGGTTAGCGCGACAATGCTTTCTGCCATCTGTGCGCCCCAACTTCGAAAACAACGCGTTGAAGTTGGGAAGGCGTTGATTTCTGAATTTGCGCTTAGTCAAAAGCACGACTTTGCCAAAGGTGCTGTTTTGAAAGAAAGGGGAGATTTCTACAATAAAAAGCACGATAGCCCAAGGGGCTTCATCGAGATATTTTCTGAGATTGCAAAGGATCTTGCGAGTGATGCATTCTATTCCTCGGTACTCTGCACTTGCGAGACATCAGGGACCATCAGCAAGGACACAAAAATTTTACAGTGCCTTAGCTGTGGTATGAGTATTTGCCACTCGTGTTCTGATCGTTATAAAACTTCTTCGCATGACCTAACAGAGCTCAAATTTGCGGGACAAGAAGGTAGACCTGACTCGCACAAATTCGAGCGAAGATTGAGGTGCGCTGTTCCTTCCATCCTGAGGCTAGGAAAAGACTGCGAGGAGTCGCTTGAGCATGGCGAAGGTCTAGATTCTTATAGCTTTCAGCTTCAACAGGTCGATCGAAAGAAAAAACACTGGCTGCTGACCTACGGAGCCTGGGAAGATCATGGTTCTGGAAGACAAGTAGCCGAAATTCGTGTCAGAATCGGGAGAAATAGCTCTCTCGATAAGTCTTTTGGAATTTCGGCATATATTCGTTGTTTTGCGCCGGCAATAAGGAACGAGAACCCTCTTCGCGGCAAGCTAAAAGATTCTGCCCGTCTCATCATGAGTGTGGGTACACAAAATAGTCGTTGGGAACTTCCACAGAAAAAGTCGACCTCTCAGATATGTATTGTTGGCTCAAATCCAGTTCAATCACAAAGATCTCTAATTGAACTAAACGACGATGCTGCCAAAGCGTTGAGAAATCACAAAATAATGAAAAGCTTTTTACCTCCCATAAGCTCACGGAACCCCTTGACTCATTACCACAAATCATGGAAGACCTGGTACGTACAACATCTGCTATGATCCTGCCATTAAAACTGCCATCTTTCCACCATCCGTCTCCCTAACAAGATATTCATATTCCTTTGCACTCTTTTTAGGCCTGGAAAGATTGAAGTTTCGGGTGATGCTAGCGGTCGCATCAATGGAATCTACTACAAGATGAAATGCGAGCAAACAGTTGTCCTTTCTGCCCTTTGGCGCCGAGAAGACAAAGCAATGTACCTATATATTCGTCCTGATGTTGTGCGTGCCAAACTCGACACTGCTGTTTTTGCACCTAGTCCCAACTATGACGATGGTCTAGAAGTGTGTGAACTTGTGGACTGGATACCTGAAAATGCGCTGAACAAATCTACACACTCAACAAAAGCAAGATTTCTAGACTGGATTAATGCCCCTGAAGAAATGAAAGTTGAAGTACCACATCCTAGCATACAAATCATCCAACAGGGCCGTCCTTTCGAGGATTCTCTTGTCGCTGCTACTTCACATAGTCACGACTATCCAGTTTTATGTGAATTAGGGGGGTTCTCCTCAGAAGTTATTCAATCACTTATCGAATACAGCGAGACCACCTCTCCTTGTGAATCAGAGATTGATCTCATTGGGCGATCTGGAACGAGGAATGCAAAACGACTATCAATTGTGGCCACTCCGTCACTACTGAAGTTCGCCGCAGAAGGAAAGCTCCCCCTTACTCTATCAGAATGGTATAGTCTTCCTGATGTACCAAATCTAGGAACCTGCAAGAACCATGTTCCACCTCGTCCAAGTGAAAGCTGGAAGAAAAATTCAGGCGATACCGGTTTTGTTTTCGAACGATTCTACAATGCTGAGGAATCGAATGAATACTACCATAGACTTTTGAAACGACCCACCGCATTCAAAGCCAAAGTTAGCCAAACAGACGGAAAACTTGTGTTGAGTATGAATCCTTACGTTGCGGTTCATCGAGCTGCTGCGATCTTGGGAGGCGAAGCAACCGACTGTATCGATATTGAGTATTCTCTGAGTGAACTCTCATCAATGGGAGAGCCGGATACAAAAGATTTTAAGGTACCAAATTCAGACAGTTATGTTCCCACGGAAGTCCCTGAATTAGAACTACCACTTTATCCAAGACAAGCAAAGGCCCTCACTCGAATGATGGATATCGAGAGAGGGAAAGTTAAGTTCCCAGAGGAGGAGCGCTCTGAGCACATTCTACCTGGTGTTGGTTGGTGTTTGATTGGTAAGGCTTCCAAAAAATCGCCATTGCGAGGAGGAGTCCTGGGAGACGCCATAGGCAGTGGAAAAACAGTAGTAACTATTGCGTTGATTCTTAAAGGGGCAAAGGCTGCGCGTTCTAACCGAAATGCTGCTGAAGGGAGATCTGGCGCTACACTTATTGTAGTACCTCCGGGACTTGTAAAACAATGGGACGATGAGCGAAAGAAGTTTACGAAGGATAGGCTCAAATGTATCATAATTGATTGTACCAACAAGCTGAAACAAACTTCAGTCGAAGACATGTGCAACGCTGACATTGTTATCGTCCCTGCTGGAATCATAGAAGAAAGCAGTGGTAAAACGAGACCATACACAGAACATTTGCGGAAGAAGGCAAACGCCGACCCAATCCCGCCTGCTCCTAGGTCTCATTCTCAACGGGAAGCTCCATCTATCGAAGGCCGCTGGGTGAGGAATATGTCATCTGGCCCCGAAATTTATGTTGGGAATAAGGGCACTCAAAAACACAGAGATAGCCAAGCCTATTATGGGCATTGCTACGCGGAAGCTATTTGTAAACTCCGACAGAAAGAGTTTGACAGAAAAGAGCGCGGAGTTCCCCTCGAATATTTTGTTTGGGAACGAATTGTTATCGATGAATGCCATGAAACGCTTGTAACAAACAAAGGATACGAGGTCCAAGCTGAATTTAAGGAAACTGCCAGAAGGGGTGCAAGGGAATTTCTCGGGTTGTCACAGACAAATATTTCGAAGCGACCAATTGTGGCAGCATCTGGAGTCTGGGGCCTCACTGGCACTCCATTATTGGAAACGGAGGCTCGCGTGACTGAGCTTGCAAATTTAATGGGCGGTACTTACTTGACCGGAGCTGCCCACCACTGGCGGAAGGAAGAAAGAGAATCAGGCCGAGATCTTTTCCTCAATCAACAAGAAGGTTTTCACAGCCGAGAATACCGCTGTGCTGTTCAAGAGGCTTGCCATTCTTATATCAAGGAAGCATGCCAGCGCAATCGTGGTGAGAAGCTCGAGGTCAATCTTATTCGAGAAGACATATGTGTAAACATGACGAAGAACGAAGGCGATGCTTTCTTGAAGCAAACCTCAGAATTTCAAACTCACAATAGCTTCGCGTTATCCGTAGATGAACTGGGTGAAAAGGTTCCCGACGTTCTTGGCATTACTGCGTCATCTGTAGCCCGACACAAAGCGTTGACAGATACTACCGAAGCGATTCACTCAAAAGATCCGTGTACAAAAATAATCGTCTTTGCTGACACTTCATACGGCGGGTACTGCAGTGCTTTGACAGCTCTTAAGAATTCGAAACAACCATTTTGCCAAGTTGACGAAAATGATTCAGTTGAACAGCAAAATGAAACAATTTCCTGGTTTCGTCATGTAGATGCGACAGACGAAGATCGCAAGCGACCTCGCATACTGTTGCTATCTTTCAGCCAAGCTGCAGGTCATAACCTTCAAGAAGCTTGCAAGCACGTAATTTTGTTTGATCCGGTGTATTCAGGCACTGATGCAGTTGCTGACGCAAGTGTCGAAGAGCAAGCCGTAGGAAGGGTATTTCGTCAGGGTCAAAAATACGATGTAACTGTTACTCGTATTGTTCTGAAAGATCCAGAGGGTAAACGTTGTTTGGACGACTGGATTATGGAACGCAATTTGGATGAAAATGTGTTAGCTGCAGCAACTAGCAATTTCTAATGAAAGGTACTAGTACTGCACTAGTACATCAATGCTTTGATACCAATAATAGTACTGTTCATTGTTATAAGCATGTCATATTAGTTCCTGTAGTATTAAAATGCATCATTTGCTTGTTCACCATCTTGACCGCCATGATCCAATCCATCTCAAAGACATGCTGATCCATCAATTCAATCAGCACCAAATTGCAATAATATTGGTTTGCAAACATCACACAGTGCTGGCACTGGATGACGACAATTCGACTTCCACTTGAAGCGAACCGCAAAAGTTTCTAATCATGGAAACTAAAAAAAAACTGAAAAAAACTGCGATTGGGGCGGCGTTACGAACAAGTTTAAGCAACGCCGTAGTAGTGACAGCTTAAAAACTAAAAACTGTGATTCTATGATTGATTACGGGCCGTTAGAATACAAAATTAATGATGGTCATGAACCATTCCTTATTTAAGAAAATTTCTGTATGGCCGTTTCTTTGCGAAACGACTACAACGCGCCTGCCATTTCAAGAAGTTTTTTTATACTCGGTGTGATACTGCGAGTTACTCGTACTGGTATTCACCTACCAAGTCAAAGTTGAAAAAAAAATAATCGAACTCGTTGTCGTTGTTGTTCTGTACGTACTCGTGTCGTCGTTCACTGTCGCACCGCATCATCAACCAGTCATTGTGAAGAAGTCACCGTAGGAACATGCAAGCTAACTGAAAAGTAACAACATATATCAATCACGGGTCCTTTCATATATTTCATGATCGGAAATGAAGGCATGAATACCGATTCGAAACCAATATGAACATTATTTTCCTTATTGCTATTGCCATTATTTTCCAGACTGTAATATTTACGTCGCTTGTACACAGAGACCTTGTGGAAAAGAGCCTACCAGAAGCTGGTTCCTCGTCACCTTTTCAAGATCCGACGTTGGTCCAGAACGCTGAAAGCGAAATTTCCTCCCCGTCAAAAATTAGAAACAATGGTGCGGTTCTGGTTATTGCTTCCGTACCGCTAGAAGAAAAACAAGTTGTTGCCCTCTGGACAGAACTCGAATGTTTCACGGGGTCGGCAAGTCATGTCGTGATTTCAACTGCGTATTGGGCTAAACCAACTATGGATCTTCTATTGGCTCGCGTTCGAAAGAAGATACCGCGGTTTGCCTCCGGTCAAGTAACGATTGAAGCTCATTTCTACGATAACGAACGCTATGATGTTGGTCTTTGGTGTGACGCCCTACAAGGATTGAAGGAAGGATATGATAACTTTGCTCTTTTGAACGATAGTATATTTGCTTTGCGAGAATTTAATGGGGTTCTCGATACGCTTCAGTCTAATAAGAGTCTCTCCATGACTTCCTTGACATACAACGTAGACAAGGAAAATCGGACGTGGCTTGAGTCAGTTTTTCGTGGATTCGACGGCGAAGGTTTGTCTGTTTTCATGAACCACTCGTGTGTACCCCAAACGCACCAATCTTTCTGCAAAAACCTTCATCGAAAGAACAAAGCAAAGCAAAAAACCGTACAGAGGTTGCGTAAACGATGTATCACCACTTATCACGAAGTTTCGATGGCATGGCAATTTCCAAGACCGCAAGAGCAAGTCCTTGGATTGTACAATGGAACGGTTCCTGAGGACATGAAATCGGATGAGACCAGCCGTTTTCCAACGTGGGTCGTACATGCGCCATATTGGAAGGAAATTCTTGTTGGGAAAAACGATTTTCCTGCTGCGAAAGTCAATCAGGAGAGCATGATTGCAACTACGGAAGACCCACGATTAAAAAAATGCACCCGCTTTCTGAATCGATCGTTGATGGACGAAATCGACTTTTCAGTGGGAAAGCGCTCGATAACTTATTAAAAATTTCGCCGAAGTGTTGTAAAATCGAAATCTAATGATTGCAATCTACTTGAAAAGCTTTCGATAAAACTAGTACTGCAACAAAAAATCCATGCGAGTAGTAATACAATTGCGAGCCTTTTGTTCATTTTCAGGATAGTTTGAGTAACCCACAAAGTTCTTCGGGTGTTGATGCATAAAATGTGAAGGGTGCTTTCCGAAGAGACTCCTCCGAATGACTTCCCCAGGTAACTCCAATCGAGGCCATACCCGCAGCATCGGCTGCCAGAGCATCGCTCGGGCTGTCCCCGATATAAACCGAATCGGACACGCCAATGCCCAGCTCTTCGCACACTTTGTAAAGGCCATCAGGTTCTGGCTTGGGTGCAGCCACTGTATCGGCCCCGTGAACGGATGCACACATATTTGAAAGGCCGTCACTCTGGCTGGTACAGTCGTTAGCCTTCAAAACGGCATGTGCGTAGGCGACACAAGCGTTGGTCAGGCATCCGACCTTCACCGACGAAGAACACGAACGAATCTTCTCCAGAAGCTCCGGAATTCCCGGAAACAATCCGGCTGTCTCGACCGTCACAAGCCCGACGTAAAGATTGTCAAATTCAGCGGCCAATTTGTCCCCCGTTTGCTCGAACAACAAGTTGTTCGCCCGAGACTCTTCGTCATTCGCCGGTAGGATTGGTTCGAGACCCGCGTGGCGTGCCAAACGCTGGGGCGTCGAAAACTTGGTGCACTTGTGGTACGTGGCTTCGTCGATCAAAGGAAGGTCGTTGTTTTCCAGGACAACGAGGGTTGCATCAAATCCTAGTTTCCAAGAATCCGCGAGCGTACCGTCGATGTCGAAGATGATAGCCTTGGGGGTGGCCTCGAAGCATTTCATATCTATCTGTGTCGGGGGAATCAGTGCAGAAGAACCGACCCAGGCGATGGCAAAGCAGCAAAGAAAGAACCCTGAAACAAACATACGGTTCTGGTCCTTTTGCTTGCTTTTGAATTTTGATTGGTACTCAGTAGTACTTCCTTCAAATCAAATAAAAGAAATGCTGAGATAAATTGCCGACGACTCTATGGCACATAACGCACAACGTCCCCATCATGGGCCTTCGGCTCGGGAATCGGGAATCAGCTTCCGACAACTACCGGCCGGTACGAGTACGTACTGGTATTCGTTCTGGTTTTACGAGTACCGTACGTACATACTAGTTTAACTGCTTACGCTACGGATACGAGTAGAAGTACTACAGTAAGTACAAGTTTAGGTGCAAGAAGAGAATATCGTAGATCACCACTTTGGGTCTCAATCCCCTAAAATCGAAACCGAATCTTTATGTCCCAAAAGTCAATATCTTAGTTTCGCATACGTACGTAGTTGAAAAGTGCGTGTCGAATTGAGTTATCTATTCGATTCTGATTTTCTTGTTGATTTGCTTGTTGGACAGGCGCGTGGCGTCATACAACACGAGCGTACAAAATTTCCGTAGAAGTGAACGCAAGATCCCTCTGACAAGGGGATTCTTTCCGTTCTCGCGCTTTCGATAAATGCGTTCGTCCAATCAACGATGCGAAAACGGAACTTCGATTGAACATGCAGTCTGTACCTCCGTAGTGGAAACAGTCGACACGAATGATGTTCCAAAACTGTAAGCATCCGATTGATTTCCAAAACGCAAGATTTTCCTGTTCAGTTGAGATTTGGCTCAGCATTACATGCACCCCCATCCTACTTTGCATTATTTCGGGAACGCTTTTTTCTTGTGCTGTGCAATCCCAACACAGTGTGCTTAATATAGGTAGTGAGGTCAATTAACCCTCCAAGGATCTAATATTGAGGATCGTGTCCCTACTGTGATCAAGGGCTGTTGACGATTGACCTCCCGTCTCTTCGTCCCTTCGGGTTGGTTTTGGCTTCTTCGGTAGTTTCCAATTCACTTGAACAACGTCCATCATGAGCACCGACGACATTGTGTTCGACGATGATGGCGTGATGGATTCGATCTCAACCTTTCTATACCCCGCGTCGAGATTGGCTCTCGCAGGTCTCACCGTTTGGTTTTCGGCGGCCGGGTCCAAGTGAGTAGAGGTCGTGTTCGAGACTTTTTGCGTAGTTCTCTAGCGTTTGGGAGGAACCAAAGAATTCGATGTGCCCTGCCCGTCCGAAAAGAAATAGGATTGCGACCGACGTGCATTGTATTGTTTCTATTCGACAAGTTTCAGATGGATTCAGTATGTCCTAGTTTAAGGAGGACACCGAACTCGAATCGAACCCAGGTGCAAACTGGTCATTGTTGCCCACTCTTGTCATCTTCGCTGCTCTAATTTCCAATTTTACTGCACTTTTTTGTATCGATAACAGGGATGCTCGGTACTTCTCTGGAGTCCTGAATGGACTCCTTTCTGGATTTCTTATTTACGTTTTCCTAGAACCGCTTTTCTTCCCTGTCGGGTTGAATCTTGCAGTGGTTGTCTTGTGGATCCTAGCCATCATGGCATCCTTTGTAGGAATGTCGTTGGGAGTTTTGCTTCCAACCCTCTTTCCGGGACTTTGCCTAGGGGTTAATATTGCCTTGTTGGTCGGAACTTTCTTGCATGGATTTTCGATCAGTAGCCCTTTGTTCTTTCCGATCGCCGGAGGTGTGGCGGCACTAATCGGAGCCCTTTTGTCTGTGCGGTAAGTTTAGAATACAATGCAGTTGTGCATTTTGTCGTTTCTCTTCCAAGAGGCGTTTCAATCATTTTAGTCATATTTGATCCTTATCATTCGAATTTTTGTGATCAAATGACAAAGTTGGAATGCCAAATTCATTGTCACGTGTACAACAATACTCGAGATCGGAGCCGTCGCGGCGTCACTAGTGCTTCAATCTTCACTGCGATTCATTATGGACGTCACCAGAGGATATCCTTTTTATCCCGAGGGAGTGAACGGTGCTGTTCCTGTTCCTGAAGATAGAACTGGCATCATGTTTGGACTTGTTTGGTTGGCTGGATCGCTTCTTGTAGCCAGTGCCATCGCTTACCGCGACGGTGACTTTGACCGTTTGAGTCTTGGTAGTACCTCCAGTAAAAACGCCAGCGGTTATCAAGCGGTCCCCACGAATGGATCGTCACCGAAAGGCAAGCCGAAGCCTATGCCTCGTCGGGACCCACCACCGGTTCCTGACGCATTCAACATGTTCGATCCAGCTGATCTTCCACCTCGTCTTGCAGAGTATGCCAACATGGTATACTCAGCATGCGAAGATCTTGGGAACTTTTTTGGATTTCAAGATTCCTCGGTTCGCAATCAAGCCGAGCATTTACTCATTCTTCTCAGTAACAATCGAAGGTATATGAGCAGCCATATTTTGCCTCCATCGGTTCAACCTCCAAGTCCCATTCATGCTTTGCACGCCAAGGTCTTTTCAAACTACGTGAAGTGGTGCCGTGCAATGGGAGTTCCTCCACATTTCTCCAAGATGAATACTTCGATGTCGGCACCTCCGGCAGTAGCGAGTCGTGTTGTAGATCTAGTTCTCTACTTTTGCATCTGGGGAGAAGGATGCAATCTCCGTCACATGGCAGAATGCGTTTGGTTTCTTTATCACAAAATGATGGAGGAATACATCAGGAGTGAAGGATTCACGCAAACCAGGAGTTTGTACGCAGGGCATTTCCTGGACAACGTTGTGGAGCCAATTTACGGAGTTTTGGCCAAGGTGAGTACAGTTTCGGTATAATCCAACTTATGTTTGGATTCAAAAGATTTTAATCTCCTTTAATTCTCCTCTCACTCTATTCTTTTCTTTCATCGTCCATGAAGAGTTCAAAATCAAAATCGGATCACTTCGAGAAAAAAAATTACGACGATTTCAACGAGTTTTTCTGGTCACGAAACTGTCTGCGATTTCATTATTCTGATGATGACTCCACATCTCTTTACGACGTAGAAGGGACGAACTTTGTTGGTGCATTGCCGGGTGAGTCCTTGCCACCTCTCTCGGAAGGATTGGACAATGCACCCAAAACATTCTTGGAAAAGCGATCCTGGCTGCGAGGTATTTTGGCGTTGAACCGAATTTTGGAATGGCATATTGTCACGTTCTACCTACTTTCCGTGGTAGCCTTCTCTCGTGAACTTGTTTGGGGATGGGTGTATTCGGTACAGCTTGCAAGTGGTGTCTTTTGGATCTTCAATTTCCTTTTCTTGTTCTGGCAGTTGCTTGAGGTTTGGGGTACTTATCCAGGCATCCAGCTTTCTGCAACCGAGGTCTGCGGATCTGTATTGATCATGGCTGGACGTCTTTTGACGTTGGTATACCAAAGTCTTTACCTTATGTGGGCCTTTTCTCCTCAGCAAGGGGTCTACATGGGCATCGAACAAGATACAACCTTTTGGTGGTGGCAATATATTTGGCTTTCATTGCTGGTCATGACTCCTTACGCCTTGGAATTGATTCCACAAATTTATCCATCACTTGCTACTAAGATTCTGACCAGCCAAAACGATTATGTTCAGTCCTTTTTGAACATTTTGTATCCATCTAGCAGGCTGTACGTTGGAAAGGAGGTTCACGAATCATTCGGGCACACTGTAGTTTATCTATTCTTCTGGATAACTCTCATGGCGTGGAAGCTCTGCTTTTCATATGTTTTTGAAGTATACACAATGGTGAAGCCATCTGTTCAGTTGACCGACGACTACGTTAATTATCCGAATCAGAGCTTCGCGAAAATGATGTTCCTTTTGATTTTGAGATGGCTTCCCCAGTTCATTGTTTATCTTATTGACATGAGTATTTGGTATGCTGCATGGCAAGCATTCGCAGGAACTGCAGTAGGTTTTTCGGATAACCTCGGTGACATTCGTTCTTTAGACGACATCCGAAACAACTTCGGTCGTGCACCTGAACTTTTCTGTAAGAAAATGCTATCACCTGATGCTGGTAGCCGCAGAGGCTCATCGGCGAGCTTCCTTGGAACCTCTCAAAACAGTCTTGGTGAATCATCATCATTGCTTGGATCAAACACTCAGCGATTACAGAGCTATGTCAATAGGTTGCTGGACGTGCGCATTCAGAAATGGGTTATGTTTAGTGCTGCTTGGAATGAAATCATTGACTATTTCCGAGAAGAGGACATCGTGTCGAACGCGGAAATGGACAACTTGAAATTTAGCCAATTCGATGGTTTCAGTCAGGCGATTTATCTGCCTGTATTCCAAACTGCTGGAGCTATTGATGATGTTCTCTCCGAGTTGGAAAGACCTGCTGAAGAGTACACCGATATTAAAAATGGTCAATACACTGATGAAACGTATTTCAAACCCATCAGCGAACACATCACGATGCAAACGGCCGTTTCAGAAGTGTGGGAGCTTGGAGCCTTTTTGGTAAAGCAAACTTTTGGACCTATCCACAGTGCTGATATCGATGCAGTTGGTGGTATCATTCAAAGCTGGGCTGAAGATGGTATTCTTTCTAGTAAACTCGAACTTCAAAAGACTCGTGGTGCAATGAAGAGCTTAATTGAATCCATCAAACTCCTTGAAAAGGGTATGAAGAGGAGAAAGCCTGCCTCGAAGCCAAGATCGAACTACAAGAAGACCCAAGGTACTAAAAGAGGCGGTGGTTTGCGTCGAGCAGTAAGCGCTGGATCGCTTGGAACATTGGATGTGAGTGAATCCAATCCTAGCAAGGACCCTTTTGGCCTGGCACAATATGCTGAGGAAGTTCAACCCGAAAAAAAAATTGTCGATGCTGTCAGAGATCAAGTCCGGGACAAACTACGCAACTTTATCATGTCCGTGAAGTCAATGTTCAAATCCAAATCGGGTGATCCTGAAAGTAGAGATATCTTAGATCGACTGACATTTCTTTTAAGCATGGAAAACGGTTTTTTCTGGGATGATGCCTATGCATCGGACATGCTTGACGATGTCAGCAAAAACTCAAACTTCAAGGATGTACTGAAGAAGTTACATGGATTACTCTGCATGCACCCTGACGACGTTGAACCGAAATCGAAAGAAGTGGTGCGGCGCCTCACCTTCTTTACTAATTCTCTGTTCATGGACATGCCTGATGCTCCATCAATCCATGACATGTTTTCTTGGAATGTGTTGACTCCGTACTATTCTGAGACAGTCACATACAGCAAAGGAGACCTCGAATCTCGCTCTGACGCTCTTGGAGTGTCTACGATGCTGTATCTCCAAACTCTTTATCGAGAGGAGTGGACGAATTATTTGGAACGAACCGGAATTCAGGACGAAGAGAAGTTGTGGACAAAGAAGCACGCAGAAGATACAAGACGTTGGGCTAGTATTCGTGCTCAAACATTGAGCAGGACGGTTAATGGTATGATGTACTATGAAAAGGCTTTAAGACTTCTAGCCAACATGGAACGCCTAGATGAGGACACCACGAATGATCTCATTGGCGAGAAATTTGGATATGTTGTTTCGTGTCAGGTTTATGGAAATATGAAGCGAAATCAAGACTCGAAGGCCGATGATATCGATGCACTCATGCATAGACATCTTCACCTGAGAATTGCTTACATTGACACAGTTCGTCTCAACAGGGATGGTGCAGCTCTTTTCTATTCTGTCTTAGTCAAGAGTGACGGGAAAGGCAATATTGTCGAGGTTTACAGAGTCCGTCTCCCTGGAAACCCTGTCATTGGAGAAGGAAAACCAGAGAATCAAAATCACGCCATGATCTTTACCCGTGGTGAATTTCTTCAAACCATTGATATGAATCAGGAAGGCTACTTCGAGGAGGCCCTGAAGATGAGAAATTGTTTGCAAGAATTTGCGAAGCGCGAAGGACCATTGCCAACTACTATTCTTGGATTGCGAGAACACATTTTTACTGGCAGTGTCAGTTCTCTTGCAAACTACATGGCTTTGCAAGAGATTTCGTTCGTAACTCTAGGTCAAAGGGTGTTGACAAGACCCCTTCACATTCGTCTGCATTATGGCCATCCTGATGTCTTCGATAAACTGTTCTTCATTACTAGAGGAGGTGTCAGCAAATCGTCTAAAGGAATCAACCTCTCTGAAGATATCTTTGCTGGGTACAACAATGTAGTACGAGGGGGATCTGTGGGCTTTAAGGAATATCTGCAAGTCGGAAAAGGACGTGATGTAGGAATGAGCCAGATTTACAAATTCGAAGCGAAGTTGAGTCAAGGAGCTGGGGAGCAGAGTCTATCTCGTGACGTTTATCGAATGTGTCATCGCTTGGATTTCTGCCGACTCCTTTCTTTTTACTATGGAGGGATTGGTCACTACTTTTCAAACGTGCTGACCGTTCTTACGGTTTACATCGTTGTATACCTTACTGCCGTCCTCGCGATTTTCGGGTATGAGAAAATTGGAGATCGAACTATTACACCGATGGGAACAATCCAAATGATGCTTGGCGGACTTGGTTTACTACAGACCATTCCTCTCTTTGCTACTCTAGGAGTCGAGAGGGGTTGGCTTTCAAGTGCGCAAGAGATCCTTACTGTTTTCCTTACTGGCGGACCGTTGCATTTCATGTTCCATATCCAAACGAAGGCATTTTACATGACGCAAACTATTTTAGTCGGAGGGGCCAAGTACAGGCCAACAGGTCGTGGTTTTGTGACACAACACACCCCCATGGACGAACAGTATCGGTTTTTTGCAGCCAGTCACTTGTATCTGGGTGTTGAGCTCGCTGCGGGGCTTATTGTGATGGGTATTTTCACTGATGCTGGTCAATACTTTGGGCGAACTTGGTCTCTCTGGCTAGCATCGATTTCATTCCTTGCCAGTCCTTTCTGGTTCAACCCTCTAACGTTCGAGTGGAACACAGTCGTGACGGATTATGGTCTCTGGGTCCGATGGATTAAAGGAACGTCTGGAGGATCAACCAAGAGCTGGTCGATGTGGTACAACGAAGAAAATGCGTACTACAAGGGTTTGCCTTTTTCCACGAAATGCATCTTTATTGTGAAGGCTGCAATTTTTTACCTGATGGCTGATGGTATCTGGAGATCGGATCTGTTCCGATCAGATATTTCGCTTGCTAATCCTGCTCTCCGAGCCAGTGATTTGCTGATCATTCTAGCATGTCTCATTATTTTGAGTCGTGTTGTGTCGGCAAACGAACGTTCGATGCCCTACCCAGTTCGCCGAACGCTTGGAATTCTTGTAGCTGTTGGTATTGTGGTGACGATTATGGCTCTTTTCATTGAAGATTCGAATTATCTACGATATGCCCTTGCGGGATACTATGGAGCAGGAGCTGTATGCATGATCGGACTCCTTTATGGTTTCAAGTTTGTGAAGGTGTTCTACCTCATTCACGATGTTGTATGCGCACACATTATTTTCGTCCCGCTATTTATTTTGGGAGCCCTTCAACTTCCGAGCATGATCCAGACCTGGCTTCTGTACCATAACGCTCTTTCAACAAATGTTGTCGTGAGTGATATTCTGAAGTATGCAAGGAAATCCAAAGACTCGGGCGGTACCGGAGGAGCAAATGAAGAACTTATTGATCAAGTTAACGAACTGAAGAAGGTAATTCACAAACAAGAGAAGTTGTTGGAAAGCATGGGTCTCGTACAAAGTGATGCTGCACCTTCTCCTCCTATGCAAACTCCAGCTACGCACGAATACTCCCAGCCACGTCAACAGACGACCACGACCACGACCACAGTGAATCCTAGATCACAGTTTGTCAAAGCTAAGTCTATGACCGGAATGGAGGTATGGGGAGAAATGGCACTCGGAGAGGGTCTTTCAGGTGAATCTCTGGCAGCGCAGGTGTCACGACCAACGCAGGGTAGACAATCCCAATCGGATGATTTCCATTTCAGTCCTCATCCCGATACCATGCCACCTCGGTAAATCATGTTTGGCGTGTACATCTCTAGATCTCCTATCATTTCGCACTGCTACTTTCATTCGAAATATCTATTTCCATATTCCCCACAATCTTTCATCTTCATTAGGCTGCAGAATGCAAGCACATTTTGTCACGAAGTGAAAGAATCATATTCGTTTCACAAGATCAATTCACTTGTCTCTAGTTAAAACAAATAATGTTAAATAAATAACGCATTCATGTTGCTAAACCCAATAGTGTTTTCAAAATGTACGGTATTGAGCAAGAGTGAAAGTAATTTTTTACATTGAGACAACCATTAATTCATTGGGAATCTCTACAAGGTTCTCGTTGTTTGAACAAGCAGTCATGATTCCAGATGGTGATTGCTGTGGCTGCACAACTTAATTAGCCGAAGCACTGTCTAACGTTCGCGTGGTACTTTAAAATTGAATGGCGTCGATATGAGTAATGGAGCCATCCAACCAAATCATTATCTCTCTATCTCTTCTCCACCACGAAAGGCGTTCTAAATTGGTACAATTGAAGCGGATGCATTTGTCTTTGAAAACGAATCAAAACACAACTATTTTTTCTTCTTTCCCTTTTTCAGACCGGCATTCAGCAGGGAATCCAGATCGTCCATGCCACCCCCGGCGCCTTTCTTCTTCTTTTTCTTGGCTGCGGCCTCTTGCTTGGCCTTGGCTGCTGCCTTCTCACCCTTGGGATCGCTGTCGTGCGTTGTTTGTGCGCGCGTGTTTATTGCATTGTCGAGAACGAAACAATTGTATGCAACCCACCGGAAAGAATGATCAGAATCACAAATCAATATTGCATTGGTGTCGTAAATCATCAAAGGATCTCATTGCCGTATCGATTGCGTTCATTCAAACGAAACAAAACGCAACGGCGTCGTGTTGTTTTCGTCCAACAAAATGCCGTGGCGAGCGCAATGGCAACAGGGAAAACAGCCGGACCAACCGACACAAGGCAAACGCGACGACGAGGGAACACCGAGGCAACAAAACGCCACAAACACAACAAAACAGAAGACGAGGCTGTTACGGCACACCACACCACGCGGCGCTACACTGCACAACCGCAATCGAAATGCTCACCTCGGGTCGTATCCCACGAGCTCGGGAAAGCATCTCGTGGGATCCGCGAGCATATCGGGGTGCTTGGCCACGACGTGTTGGTACAGCAGCGGCGGACGCGAGTTCACCATGAACGTTTGCAGGCAAACGATGCATTTTTTCGCGCAGGCGTCCTGCTTGGCCTTGTTGCTGGCCGCTCTTCGTTCTTCGATTCGAATCGAATCGAATCGATGCGGTGCGCCGGGTCAGAACAGAAAGACAAAAGGATCGGGCGGGAGGGTGGGTGAGTTTGGCGGTCTCTGTGTTGTGCTGCACAGCCGTCCTGTCCGGCACGGATTGGCCTTTCGATGCTTCGGCACCACCTACCTTCGTCGGTTTTGCCCAACTTTTTTTGGTTCCGCTCACGGGCCTGTTGGGCTTTCTGGACGTTGCTTCCCTTTCCCATGGTTGGCTAAAATTGTCGTTCGGTTCGTTGCTTTAGATGAGATTGCTTGAAGGTGTTCTCGGAAGTTGTTGTTTACTACGAAGACGAGTATGAATCGAACCGAAAGGATGTGTTGCCTAGCCCGTATTACTCTCGCTTTTGTACGGTACGGTACGGCATCACCACGAAGTTCTCCAAGGGTGGTCGAAAACAAGGGTAAGGATCCCATCGCTCTTCTGTACTTTGATACGGTTGGTTACCATTCTTCGGCTGACGTACGTACGGTAGGATTGACGACTGATGACGGATTGCAAAAACTATGGATGGAGTTCGTACCGGTACGTACCGGTACTACTGCGGAGCACACTAATACCGTAGGTAGTAATAATAAGTATGATCGATACATGTGTAACCTGCTGTCAGAACATCATGGTGAATGGTGAAAGGTTACTTTACCGGTATGGTACGTACGTAGCGTACATTACTGGCATACGGAATGGAAGAAAGTACATACTATACCATAGTATGGTACATACATCGTACGGTTTGTGCAAGCAATAATAATAGTCGTGTGTCACCGTATTGACGGAGACATTCTCTTGCATCTCTAGGCTATTTTGTTTCGGATTCCCATTCCTCTCATCGCTGGGATCTCCAACCAGAAAAACAACCAACAGTACGAGTACCATACATTCCCCGGACGGAGGGACCACAAACACCAATGGCATCCCAGGAAACGCGACAACGAAAGGGTGGCGCGCCGCCGAAGAGCGGAGATGCGGGACTTCCCATGACGATCACGAAGAGCGCCGGTTCCGCCGCGACGGGTGTCGGTGGCACCGCGAACCACCTGAAACTGGCGATGGTGAAACCGGTAGTGAAGATGGCAAAGGTGAAACGAAACAAATTCGGAACGGGGCCCTTCGACGAGCACTGGCTGAACCTGGACTGCTGCGGTCTGTTCTGCGCGTCCTTCACCTACATGCTGCACGCGTACGGGGTGTACGCGACCTGCCTGATCCTGATCCCCCCCTGGATGAGCACGGTGGACGAGGACGGCGTGCGGACCATCAGCGCGATCGGGCACCTGAACCGCGTCGCCTTCACCCTCGTTGCTCTCCTGGCCGTCTGGGCCCACTTCAAGGCCATGACGACGAATCCCGGAGCGGTCCCACCGGACGCCATTCCGCTGGAAGAAGCGAACAACCCGGACACCGGTGCGAACGGCGAGGGCAAGGGAGACGGGAAGAACTCGTCCCTGATGGTGGAAGATTCCGCGCAGCCACCGCCGCGAAAGGGGCGGCGGCTGTGCCGGCGCTGCAACTCGTTCAAACCGAAGCGAGCCCATCACTGCTCCATATGCAAGAGATGCGTCGTCAAAATGGATCGTAAGTGTTTCTTCCCAAGCTTGCTTTTCTTTTCTAGTGCAGCAAGTTGCTGCCATTGCACGAATCGGTATATGGATGGTCTTTTGGTCGGCTTTGAATGCACCTTTTCTGTCCCTGCGTCACTCACGTTCTTCGCTTTGTATCGTGAATGCTGTTGATGCTTGTGAACGGTCTGGCAGATCACTGTCCCTGGGTAAACAACTGCGTGGGGATAGGAAACCACAAATACTTTTTGCTCTTCATTTTCTACACCTGCTTGTCGTGCGTGTACTCCCTCACTCTGGTGCTCATGCGATTCTTTGACTGTATGGGTCGGCACGGACACATCCGCACCCACCACATCACGTGCCTGGATCGACCTACCCAACTCATGAACATTCTTGGGCTGGTCGTCGAGGCCATCCTGTTTGGACTCTTTACCTGCTGCATGATGTTTGACCAGGCCAGTGTCGTGACCACGAACCTAACGCAAATCGATCGCCTCAAGGGTGGCATCGACGGCGGGTCCTCGGGATTGGCGGGCGCGATCGAAGTGTTTGGTCTCAATCCGAAAAAGAACGACACGGGCGGGCGGTTCCGACCGGACTGGTTGTCGCCCTTCCACCACACGTGTTTTCCGTCTTCCCTGCAGGACGAGATTATGGGATTTTGCAGGCCGTGCGGGAGCCGTCGCGGCAACGGAAAGGATTCCGGGGACACGGAGATGTCGCCGATGGTTCGCAACGGTGTTGCGGACATTGTATAGCACTCGCGTGCGCCAAAAGTCTAGAACGCAAGTTCGTATTTTTACACAGTACTGTACAACATGATATGGGTACTCCTCGAATTAAAACAATACGTAAAATTAGTGTTTAAATTTCATTGGGATTCGTTCGGGGTACTGCAGATCTACCTAGCTAGTTTCTTGCTCTCACTTGTAGCTTCGGACGAGATTTAACAACGCAACAACCTCCTTCTTGTCAAGCGTCAGCATGCCGGCGGGCACTTTGCCTCCTCCCATTAGTGTCATGCCGGGGGAACTGTACTTTTCCAATATGTTTCTACAAAAGATTGCGGCGTGCACGAGATTCAAATACAATGCAATACAATTGATCAGAAAACAATGTAAGACGACGCAAATCCGGAAAACAAAACGCCAAGCAATGCCACCAAGGCCTATCCTACGTACCCGACCTTTTCCAGGCTCAAGTACGGATACTTGCGCTTGCGTGCATCCGAATTCTCCGGCCTCAGCAAATTCGGGAGGTCCGGGTCCAGCATCGCGGAGGTGATCGATTTCAGTTCGTCGAAGCAGTCCGCCAGCTGGGGAACGCCGGTGCTCGTCGCAAACTTTTTGAACTCGTCCACGTCGCTGGACATGTTGTAGAGTCCAAAGGGATCGATCTTTGCAATCGGGGGGAGGCCGCCGTCCGAGCGGCTTCCATCTTCCAGCGCACGGTCCGACAAGATCTTGACGAGGCGCTCGGCCACGTGTCCACAGCACGAGAAGTGGAGGCCCGCTCTGGATCCCTCGTCCATCGGTCCGAGCGAATCAAAAACGTTCCTGATGTAGCCGATCAGGCCCTCGCAGTACGCATTCGGCATGTCTCTGCACGTCTTTTGCACCCAGTTGAAGCCCTCTAGCGCGTAGGTCAGGTGGGCGTCGATCTTTCCTCGGGCGCATTCGTAAACCTTCGAGTACATGGTTCCCACTTGGTTGTCGCATGCCTTGTCGGCCCCCTTCAGTGTCGCTTCGGCGTACTGGAAGGTTTCGGCGAGTTGGTCGGAGCGGATCATGCCGACGTGGCACATTCCGCGCATCAGCGTCCCGAACAGACGCGGCAGGCTGTGCTGCAAGGCCGCGACGTTCGCCATGACCTGGACGGCCGTTTCGATGTCTCCCTCGTCCGAGCTGTTGTCCGCGTCCTTCATGCCAACGGCCGCTACGTTGACGCACTCTTCGACGCAATCCAGGACGTAGCACGCCGAGCCGCTGCCCTTCTTCTGCAAAAAACTCTGCCCCAGTTCTTCCTGGCTCAGAGCAAAGGACGCACAGGCGATTGCCCGAGCATGGATGGAGCGAACCACGAGCGGGACCGATTGAGAAAAGGTGAGGCACTCTTCCGATTCCTTGTCGTTGCCAAAGCTTGTGGTGGAACCGGTCAGGTCCATGCTGGTTCTCTTCCGTTGCTGCTTCAGCTCCGCCAGCCCGAACGGAAGTCCCACTTCTTCTGGGTCGGGGAAGTTTCCTTCCTTCTTTGTGGGATACTTGTAGGGGACCACCAGGGGTTGGTTTCGGTCGGCCTGGACGATGGCGGTCGTGGCCTTGAGTTGTTCGTCCTGTGCGACCTTCAGCGCTATCATGAGAATGTCCACGTCCATGGCGAGCAGCTCCTTGTCGAATCGTCGTGTGGTGGAACTCGGGTGAACGACCTTGAGGGCCGACCGGAAGGCCGCCATGAGGCACGAGGCTCGGACGAGCTCCGCCAGGTTGGCACCCACGGCCCGCCTCCGCAGGAGGTTTCCCAGCTCCGTCACCAGCGACCGCTCGTACTTCTCGGACGAGTCGCGGAAGAGCGTCTGCACGGCAACCAGCCCCGCCGCGTTCGGATCCGCCCCGCCCTTGTCGATGTCGTCCTCGTCTACGAAATGGCCGAGTTCCAGCGCGGCTTCCACGGCACTGAATCCCACCACGCTGGCGCACAAGTGGGGGAGGGATTTCGAGAAAAAGATGCGGTCGGTTCCGATGCTAACGTCGTCTCCCGTCAGGGAGGAGAGGGAGCTTCGTGACTCGTTCTTTCCATCCTTCTCGTCGTCCTTGCCGCTTCCGATTTTGACATCTCCGAATCGATTCAGTTCGTAGTATGCCACGAATTCTTCTGCCTTGCCCAACAATTTGAAGGCGATTTCGGCTCGTCGCACCGGGTGCACCGATTCGGCCAGCCCCATAAACTTCGCATCGTCGTCTTTGCTGCTCGTTGTATGAAAAGACACACAAGGAAATCAAGAAAAGTGCCAGCGCAGGGTGTCCAAAAAGAATTCGATGAGCAAACAAAGCACGAAAAAACAAACAAACAAACAACAAAAAAACCACCGATCCATCCACTAGCTCGGCTTACCGCGTGGGCACGTTGTCGAACAAAATGGGGGGCGTCAGCAGGGCGGCCCACTTGCTTTTCTCGTCGCTTCCCTTGAGCTTCCGGACGCTCGCACCGGTGCTGGTCAGTCCCGAAGAGATGCTTTCCAGCCCCCCCTTGGCCTTGGCCCGGAATCCCAGGGATCCTCTCTTGCCGTGGCGGCTGCCGCCCAGGCCGTGGCGGCTGCCCGACAAACCCCGGCCCATGTCGTCCGGTGCCGAGGAAAAGTCGCTGGGATCCACCAAGAGGCTCACGTCTTCGTCCCAGCAGCGGTACCACCCAAAGGCGGAGGCAAAGGCTGCGTTTGTTGGTTCGTACAGGTATGTGGTTGTGCAAAAGCAGAGCAAAACAAAKGGACAATGCGTGAGACGGCGATCCACCAGCCGACTCCAGCGCAAGACGACGGCCACCATTCCGGACAGCCCATCGCCTCGCCTCGTTTCGCTTAACCTCTTTCACTCACCCTCGGCCCGGCGGTCCATGCCCGGAGGGGCGGTGGTTTCCAGCCGCTGGGCCGCCTTGGGGGCGTCGCGCTCGAACCAGTAGCCCAGGCGGACGGCCCGAACCACCCGTCCGTTCTGGTTCATCCGCGAGATGAGATTGTCGCAGACCTTGGCCCGCCAGAGGTAGGCCGGGGGCATGTGCCCCCCGAGGCCCAGGTTCCCGGGGCCGATCGCCATGCTGTTGGCGGACCGCCTCAGGACCGCCCGTCCCGCCTTGGCGCCGTCCCCGCCGCTCCGGAGGCTGAGAAACCACCGGTTGAGGCCCCGGCGGGCCCCCATGAGGACCTCGTTCTCGATCTTGGGCAGCATGAGGCTGGCCCGCCTGCCAAAGGGCGTGTCCTCCAGGCTGACCAGGCTGCCGGCCTTGCCCGGGGAGGCCTCCCCGTCGGAAGCGTCCTGCTTCTTGGCCTTTCTCTTGGCGGCCTCCTTGACGATGTTGGCCGCCCGCTCGATCCCGGAGCCACCGCCCGAGTAGAGGGAGGAGACGGGGGCCGTCAGCACCGTCCGGGCGTCGTCCACCGCCTCGAGGGCCCCCCGGGGCCGGCCCAGGGCGGCCTGTTTCCGGGCCTTGTCCAGGTAGACGGAGACCTTGTGGCACTCCTGCACCATGATCTGCAGCGCCCTGGCCCTGGCGTGCGAGGCCGTGGCCTCCTCCCAGAGCATGGCGGTCTCCTGCATGGGCCCCGCCGTCCGGTTCTCGAGCTCCTCCTGGGCGGTGACCAGCTTGTGGGCCAGGTCTCCCGAGGGCCCCCCCAGGGCCACCACCTTTCCCACGGAGGCCAGAAAGACGTCCGAGTGGTCGTGGCAGACCTGCCCGATGCGCCCCGAGTTCTCCTTGGCCTCCTGGACCAGCTCGTGGTGGAGGTCCCGGTCCAGCCCCCGCTCGATGGCCTGGGCCACCGTGCTGGCGATGATCCAGTCCTGCTGCTCGATCGTCCCCTCCGGACTCGCCCCTGAGGCACCCGCCGCCAGCTTGCGGTCCGGCCGGGCCTGGACGTCGGCCACCAGCCTTCTTACGGCCTCCTCCCTCCTCCTGCGGGCCCGGGCCGTATTGTGCAGGCTCTGTTGTTGCTGCTGCTGTTTCTGGGCCATCTTGGAGGGGGTGATCCCGTGGCTGCTGCTGGAGGGGAGGAGGCCCCCCTGGCCGGGGGTGGCGGCCTGGGAGGCTCCCGCGGACGGATTGCCCCCGGCCGGGTGGTCGTCGCCCTCGGGGTCCCGCTTGGGGCTGGAGATGGCTTCCGCTGGGTTCATGGTGGTGTCCTCTTCGCTCCGGACCGGATCGGACGCACGCGGGTGTTGTGCTGTGTTGTGCCTGTCTCTCGGTGTCTGTCGTCTCGTCTCGTCTCTCGCCCAGCGGATCGCTTTTCGGTTGGTCTCTAGCTCGAATCAATGGAATTTGGGTGATCGAAGAGTCAATGCTTCCGAAGAACAGTTGCAATGGCAGCGGAAAGATTGGTTTTTGGTTTTTGGGTTGGGAACGAAACTCATCCCGAATGGATCATCATCTGCGACAATTTCTTGAAAAACCACCAATGCCTCCACTCCTTCGTACTTAAAGACCGTACGGTAGTACGTACTGTACTTTGCAGCACCGTAGGTGTGCTAACTGCTAACCGTTCCGTTGGAGAGGGACACTTGGTCTCGAAATCAAAACCAAAATCATGTTGTCATATCATATCCACTGTACTACGGTACATGATTAAGGTAGGGTTGGTACCCAGTATACATATTATCGATAGAAAAACGCGCGATCGACTTCTACGAGTTTTGTTGGCAAGTTCTGTTCTACATTCTACAAGTACCGTACAGAATCAATGCCGGTAAGTACAGTACTGTACGACTCTACCGTACCGTACAGTCATCTACTATTTGCGGTTGCAGAGCTTACACACACACCCGATCCGATGCACCCGAGGAGAAACAAATAAATATTTTTTCAATGATCATCGCTATCATCTGTAGGGACCAGTATCGTGCGCAACGTACAAGAGTTTACGACACATACACATGCACCACGGCAACCCTCCCGAGAAGAATCGTACGAGTAGCTTCCCACGCTCCAAATACAAAAGGTTTCAGCGAAACGATACAGCACCCGTACGACATTCGTGCTTGTGCCCCTTTCGCATCGAAACAGGCACGGAAGTTGCACTCGCACTTGCATCCCTCCACTGTTGTTGACTGTCGCCATTGCTTAAGAGATTACAACGACAACTCGACTCGACGCAACAGGGAAATCAACAGCAACAGCATCAGCATCAGCATCAGCATCAGCATCAGCATCAGCATCAGCATCAGCATCAGCATCAGCATCAGCATCAGCATCAGCATCAGCATCAGCATCAGCAACTGCAACTGCAACAAAAGCAGCAACCGCAGTGACGGAATTGCCGTGGATTAGTACCGTACAACAGCACAGCAGTAGAACTCGCTGAACGAACACAGCACACAAAACACCAAACACAGGGCGGCCTACTTGCGAGATCGATAACAGAAGCAGAAACCAAACCAACAACAGCAGCAGCAACAGCAGCAGCAGCAGCAGCAACAACAACAACAACACCCCGCACCATGTGGAACGGAGGAAGCGGCGGCGGCTTCAACCAGGAGAGCCAGCAGCAGCAGCAGCAGCAGCAGCAGGAGGCACTCCGGCGGAGACTGAACCTGGAAATGGCGGCGGCGGCCTACGCGTCGTCCCACCAGGCAGCCGGCGGGAGCGGCCTGGGCTTCCGCAACCAGATCACCCCCGACGAGCACCTGGCCCTGGCGGTGGCCGCCCGCAACCAGGCCCTCCAGGAGGCGGCGGTCCTCCGGGAGGAGCGCAACCAGACGAGCCTGGCCCTCGCGGTCCGCCAGCAGGCCATCCAGCAGGCGGCACAGGCCGAGCAGCAGCAGCGGATGGAACTCCTGGTCCTCCACCAGCAGCAACAGCAGCAGAATCAACACCAGCACCACCACCAGCAGCAGCAGCAGCAGGCCGCGGTGCTCGTGGAGCTCCAGAGGCGGACCTCGGCAGCCTCGTCCAGCGCGGGCAACAGCACCGTCGGCGCGGGACTCCCGGAAGCCGTTCCCCGGATGGAAGAAGCGGTCATGGGCATGGAGCTGGGCATGGAAGCCGCCGGGGGCCACGGCAGCGGAAGCACGAGCGGCGTCCTCCACAACGGAAGCCACGCCGCGGAGGAAAAAGACGACGACGACGGCGGCGGCGATGCCCCGGGGGCCGGAACCCCCCCGGCGGGCAGCGAGCACGGGTCCCGCGGCGGGAGCCCCCCCGCCTCGCCGCTGGCTAAGCAGAACGACCCCCCCGAGGAGCCCCCGCCACCGGCCCCGGTCCAGCCCCGCGGCAAGCCGGAGGCCATGGCCAAGAAGCTGGCATCCGCGGTGCGGCGCCAGGAAATACTGGAGGAACTCGAGGCCGAGGCCGAGCAGCAGCAAAAGAAGCTCAAGCAGCAGCGGCTGAAGAAGGAGCAGCAGCTGCAGCAAAAACGGATGGAAACCCTGGGGACCCACTCGTCGGACGCGGCCCCGGCGTCGTCGACGATCTCGTCCCGGAAGAAGGCGGCGGCGGCCTCCAAGAAGAAAAAGGCGGCCGAGTCCGCCAAGAAGAAGAAGGCCCCCGCAAAGAAAAAGACGCCCACCAAAAGGGGGGGCCGGTCCCAGGCCGGGAGTGCCTCCAAGGCTTCCAAGGCCGCGGCCGGGAGCGCCACGCAGAACCTCTACGCCCTCAACCCCAAGCTGCCGGTCCCGACCATGGACGATCCGGTGGATCCCATCACCGAGGTCCAGTACGGCAAGCTGGAGGTCCTGATGGAGCAGTTCTGCAGGGTCCCTCTCCTGTCGGAATTCAGCCGGCCCGTCTCGCTGCTGCACCCGGAGGTGAGTGGGAGCGATCGCATCGCGCAGCGGCTGGTGGTATTGTTTTTTGTTTTGTTGGCTCATGTGTGTTCTGAAGACCATCTGTATCACCAAGCTTTCGTGCTCACCTCATGTCCTGTCTGTACGACTCTTTTTATGTTTTTCGCTTCGACCTTTTTTTATAAAATTTCGACATCTACAAACCACAACAACTCTGCTTGCAGCTCATGACCGCTTACACAAAAATCGTAGAGCACCCGGTGGACCTGGGAAAAGTCTGCCGGCGGATCCGCCGACGCCAATACGAGAACTTGCGCGACATGCGGCTCGATGCGTGGAGAATTTTTGCCAACTGCTTCAAGTACCATTCCCATCCTAGCAACAGGGACGCCGTCCCGTCATTTGTTTCGATCGCCCTGCACCTGAGGGATTTCTTCAATGACTTGTGGCAGGAGCACCTGCTCCCGTCGGATTTTCCTCCTCCGGCACCCGCAAGCTCCGGGAGCCGGTACAAGCCTCACGATCCCCACGCGGCACTCCGGGCCGCCATGGAGCAGCGCATCGAGTCCCGGAAGAAGCGGCTGGTGGTGTCGGGCTTGTCGGTCATGGCGGGAAAATGCCTCGAGCGAGCAGCGGAAGCCCTGAGCGATCTCATCGAGAACGGCGGCCTGGTCGACGCACTGGATTCCAAACCCATATGGGGAGAGGGTGTTGTGATGGACGAGGAGGACGAGGGCGACGTGGAAGTGGTCCTGGAGAACCTCCGGAAACTGGCGAGCGAGCTAGAGGAGATTGTAGCAAACAACCAAGAACTCGGGATCGACGACCTGGAAACCAACATTCGAAGGTGCTACACCGAGGGAGATGGACTCGAAAGCATGAGCGCGACCCTGAAGATGCGGATCGCGAGCCGGATGGATCGGTTTCTGGGACAGCTGGTGGTTCCCATCCACGAGGCGACCTGCCGGGGGGTAAGCCAATCGAGCATCTGGGGCTGCATGGCGGCAGCGGTCTGGGCCAGGGAGTCGAGCAAGAAACCCTTCTGGCCGGCCCTGGTGCTCGGAATCATTGCCCCCACAGACCAGAAGGAAGACTGGCACAAGTATCTGACGGAGCGAAACGAGGCCCGGTTGCCCGAAAAGCTGAAATCACAGCTCCTGACCGGGAAACGAAAGGCCGAGCAGGCGGTAAAGCGGCAGAGCCTGGGGCAGGCCGACCCACAGAGCTTTTTCCTGGTGGAATTCCTGGGATCCCACGAATTCATCTGGGTCCGGGAGGCCGACATCGTCGAGAACTTCAACCCGCAGGAGGATCCGAACAAGAAGGACGGCCACCAGCGGTCCAAAAAGATTTCCCGGAAGAGCCTCGCCAACATTCTCGGCTCGAAGATCTACGCCAACGCGCTGGAAGAGGCCCAGTGGGCCCTCGAGGAGTTCGAGCTCCAGCTACAGGACATTGGGGGTTCCACAGAGGGGATGGAAGACGACGAGCACGAGGAAGGATACAGCTACAGCGTCCTGTCGCAATCCGATGACGAGGCAGACGACGACGACGATCTCGCAACCGAGGATCTGGACCAGGACGAGTGCAACGAGTTGCTCGCAACCAACGGGCTCCTGGATTTCTCGGTGGCCGGGCGAAAACGCCGCGCCCAGATCCTGAAGCAGCAGAAACTGAACGCGGAGAAAAAACAGAAAACCGTCAAGGCCAAGAAGGCGAGGGCCGACAAGGCCAAGAAGGCCAAGGACGAGAAGCAAAAGGAAAAAGAGCGGCGGCAGGAGAAAAGAGACCTGGAGAAGAAGCGCCGGAAGCGCATGAGGGAGCGGGAAAAGGCTCTCAAGGGCGTCCAGCACCAGAAGAAGAAGCGGAAGCTCTCGGACCCCGCACCGGGCAGGAGGCACCTGATCGCCAGCAAGCGCGATCGGGCCGAGGCCATCGTGAGCGGGTACGTCAGCCGGGCCGCCAAGGCCGGGGTGTACAAGCCGCTCGGCCTGGGCGGGGAGCAGCGGTGGATCCAGTCGGCCTTTATCGACTCGACGAACCTGAGCGGGATGGCCCTGGCCTTTCGGGCATCCGCCGGTCTCATCCCGATGCCGAAGCAGGACACGGGGGCCCCGGGGAAAATCGTGCTGATGCCGTGGGACAAGATCCGGCTGAGGGGGAAAAAGACGTCGGCGGAGCGTTCCGAGGTCCTGCTGAAGCAGATCGATCTGCTCGAGAAGGAGATCCGGCTGCGAAAGGCCTCCAGGACGAGGCGGGAGAACCGCCTCAAGGGGGTCCTCCAAGAGGTGATCAAGATGGAGGCGGGGATCGCCGAGGACGACAAGCTTTCCCGGGAAAACCCGCTGAAAAAGTCGAAAAAGCCCCACCCACTGGCCGGAAAGAAGCGCAAGCGGTCCGGTGCTTCCGCGGCAGATCCAAAGGCCGCCGCCGACGCGAAGAAGGAAGGAGGGAGCGGGTCCCCGAGCGCCAAGGCAGCCAAGCCGGAGAAACCCGCTGCTTCTGCCGCTGCCAGTCCTGGGGGGCCCGCGGCCGAGGCTCCCGCGGAACCCGCCGGTGCGGAGTAGGCCTCCACCAGCGAGCTTGTAATGTAGTGCGTACTTGTACGAGTAACCGACTAGTTCCGTGTAGCACAATACCAAAACATCCAACGCGGCGCAACGCATGGCAACGATGCATACGAACTATGCACTCGTAATCTATTGCACTAGGGATCGTCTTGGTAGCAATACAATTCGACTAGGTGTTTTTAAAAGGCCGGGAGTGGGCCCGGATCTGTTTGTTGCGCAATGCCGTCCCCCGTTGCTCGTCAGCAGGGCTCTTTCGCCGGCTTCCAGAAGGAGGGGTCCTCCAGGGATTCTCGGAGCACCCGCTCCAGGTCGGAAAGGCTCCCATCGTTGGCCACTACGCCCGTGACGGCCCCGGCGGCGACCTCCTCGGGGACGTTCCCGATCCCCCGGCACGAAGCCTGCGCATCGATCCGTTTGGCGGCCTCGGCCTCCGACAGGCCCCGGGACTCGATCAGACGACGAAGGGCGTCCTCCCTCGGGACGGTGACCGCCCAGACCCCGTCCGCCAGGTCCTCCCAGCCGGCGTCGAGGAGGACGGCGGCCTCCAGGACCACCACCGGGAGCCTGCCGCCTGGTTCGTCCGCCGTTCCGCCGCTGCGCTCCCATTCCTCCCGTAGTTTCCCGATGGTGTCCCCGATCGCCGCCCCCACGTGGGGCCAGACGATCTTTTCCAGGTCGGCCATCGCGGACCGGTCCGCAAAGACAATGGCCCCGAGCTGCTTCCGGTCGATCTCCCTGGGCTCGCAAACATCGCCTTTCCCTCCGTTCTTCAGGACGCCCTCCCCGAAGCGTGCCGCCACGTCCTCGACGGCCCTCGATCCCGGTGCGTAGACGGAGTGGGCGACCTTGTCGGCGTCGATGTGCGCGAGGCACCCGCAGGACGAGACCAGAAGCTTGCAGGCCGTGCTCTTGCCCGACCCGATCCCCCCGCAGACGCCGAGGACCTTAAAGGAAGGCGCCGCAGTTCCGCGGGGGGGCTCCCCGGGTGCCGTGTTCGGTTCCGCTGCCGCCAGTTCCATGGCGGTTCTACAAGAAGCAATGGTGGTGGTGGCCGGGAGGGACAGCAAGGAAAGGGCCGGCGAAAGGCACGAAGCCAGCACTAGGAGCAAAGGGAGAAAGAAGGATCGTTGGCGTGTCACACCGGTGGAGCTGGGCATGGCACGTATCGCACGGTATTGCACCTTGTCGCACCGAATGGAACAGGTTTCAAATCGACCGGCGGCTATTGCGGTGTTGTCTGCTGCTGTTGATTTTGTTGTTGCCGCTACTGCTACTTGTCCAGTGTTCGGTTCGTGCTCGTTTCCGGGAGGATGACAAGAACCAATGATGCTGTCTTCGAATTGTCACGTTGTTTCTACCCGTGGTTTTTGCTTTGGTTTGTGATTTGTGATTTTTGATTTTGATTTCGATTTCGATTTTCGATCGACTTGGAACTTGGACTCCATGTGACACCTTGCGAAGGTACGTACGTACGTAACTTATTTGTTTACAGCAGGAATTTGTACGTACGGTACGGTATGTGTACCGTACGATATGTCAGGGTGCTAAATTTATGACCCCTACCCTGCGATACGGTGGTTGCTGTACGAATTCGTAGGTACGTGGCACGTGTGAAAAACAACGACTTCGTTTTTTGGAAAACGGAAAATCTGCCTCGATTCGACGAATCGGTAGAAACGGGACTCATTTCTTGAGTCGCGAGTCACGAGATCTGTGATCGACACATTCTTCGTCTCCACTGATTGAAATCAAAATCCGTAACCAAGTGGGGATCGTCGATCCATTTCGAGTGCAACAACACCTCCCGGCACTGGAACGGATTCATTCGAGACTTTAGTTCGTGGATCCTCCGTTGCCGATACTTTGAAACCAGAGACGAGCGCACCGACCCGCTGCCTTCGTCTTTCCGAAGAAATCTACCAGACCGACCGATCACGGAACAACACACGATCGATACAACGGTAGTTGGGCTGGGTAGCAGATCGTGGTTCTACGGCGACGCGACAACTTGCAATGTGGGCGGCGGCAAGGGCGTCCTTTCGCCGGTCCCCCCTCCCGGTGCGGGGAACCACGCTTTCGAGGGCGTGGGCGTCCTCCTCCTCGGCGACACGGGAGCAACCGCAATCTTCCTCCTCCGTTGCCTCTCTGAAGCGCCTGGTCCAGCCCTTTGTCCTCAAGTGCCATCCCGACATGGCCCGGCAGCAGGGCCTCCCCGAGTCGTCCAAGAAGGTCAACCTCTCGGCCATCCAGAACCTCAACTCCTACCTGGACGGGGTCCGCAAGATGATGAAGCCGGGCAAGGGCGCCCAACCCGGCCCGTACCCCTTCCCGAGAGAGTCGGAAACGGTGGAAATCGATTTTGTCATGTCCATGGCGAAGCAGCCGTCCGAGGCGGGCAAGCACAACAAGGCCGGCCAGAAGCACGTCGTCTCGACCAGCCGCCGCAAGGTCGAGCTGTTGGTACCGCCCATGGACGCGACACCGGCCGGGGTCAGGCGCCACGCCACCCGCCAGTTCCTCCGGCTCCTGCGGATCTCGGACCTGCCCGCGCCGGTAAACCTCTCCCTGGAGGAGGACTACGAGGACGGCGGCGAGGACGGGCACCGGGAGGGAGAACGCCCGGGGAGCGGCCCGCCGTCCAATCGACATCGGCGGCGGCCGATGACGCCCTGGGAATCCTCGAGGGAGCGCTTCTGGAAACGCCACAACAGGGCCTTTGACCCGAAAAAATTCAAGCGGATCTACCAGGAGGCCCTCGGCGATGCCGAGGTGCACCTCCGGACCCGCAACTGGATCCGCGACAACCCGAGGCTCCGGCATAGGTTGCTGGCAAAGGGTATGTTTCGCTTGCATCGTCTTGCGTTTCGTGTGCTGTCGTCTTCGAGTTTGATTGGGTTGGATCGAATTTCGATGTCCCCAGAACACGGTTCATACTCACGTCGTCGTTTTGGTCCTCCTTGTTTTCCTTTCTCATCCTTGAACGAATCTTCTTTGTTTGCTCCGAACATAGTCCTGTCCAACGTCCGGTTCACGGAGAGCATCTCCCCCCTGGAGCGACTGGTAGCCTACCGGAGGCTCATGCGCTTCCTGGACGAAAACTTTGACGAACTCCGCCTGGAGGACGCGGGCCGGTACTGGGAGGAACAAACCACGCTGCTGGTGGCGGAGGCCCGGCCCCGGCACCTCTCGCCGGCGTTCCTACGGAAGCGGCGCAAGCGGAACAAGCACGTGGAAACGGGGTACTCCTTCACGATCCACCACGACAACACCGTGACGGTCACGATCCCCGCCGACTTTGACCACGACGAGCTCCTCGAGGAACTCCTCCGGAACATGGCGGACGTCGCGCAATCGACGGCCCCGACCTCCGGTCTGGAGGGCGACTTTTACTCCGCCATGTACGGGCACGATGCAATGGTCTAGAAGGGACAGCGGCGGAGGTTCCTCAACGCGAGACAAAGCCCGCCGCGCACCACCGCTCGGACCCGACGGCATGGCTGCCGACTGCCGACGGCCGAGGCCTCCCGCGGCTCGGAACGGCCGCCGGGACCGGAGGATCGTCCGCTCGCAAGCCCCCCCCCCCCGTGCGAGGGGCCGGCACCCGCGAAGAATGCTTTCCCATGGCTTGGACCGGGCCGTTTCCGTGCGGCAGGCAAGCGACGGGCGGGAAATCCAACCCGGAACAACGCCCCCGCGGGAGCGGAGGCACGCAGTGCAATGCAACGCAACACAATGGGTATTGCGAGACCAAAAGAATTCGATGCGACGCGACGCGATGCGACCCGTTCGCGTGTCTCTTGGTTTCCCGCAGTGGTTGCTGGAGGCAGAAGAAAACACCATCTTCTTGAACTCACGAGAGATTTATTGTGACAAGACCCATTCCCCTTTTGCCACGGTATTCAATACTGTCTTTCCCTATAGAAAGTCATCATCATGTGAAGTGCATCGGAATCATCTTCATAATATCTATATAAAGCAATTAAAACAATGGACTGACATAGATGGTACTCTTTGTCTCCGGCAGTTGCTTGCTCTGGTTTCGTTAGTGGTTGGTTCCATAGGACGTGCTCGTACCGGTACAAGCACGTTCTTGCAATAGTACGTTGCTCCATATCCCGTCCACCTCGGCCTAGAAGCTCTGAGTCCACCTCGGCCTAGAAGCTCTTCTTCCTATATGTCTGCCCTTTGTTGTGACATCCGCCTCTGCCATTAACGGAAAGAGTCACAATGAGCACCTGCTATGAGACAATGGATTTCTAATCGTCAACAAACTCTTACTTTTCCTTCGAAGTAAAAGTACTTCGTACGAAGTATTGGTAGTGTTGGAACAGCGCGACATTCAATACATAAGCTGCTCAACAGGAATTGGTATTAGTGTTGATTGAAGTGCACTGAGTTGGTGCTCAGATGAAAAAAATGTTACCGTACCGTAGTGTATGGTACTTCGATTCGGGATGATGATAATTATTCACGGGAGACTTAGGGTGTCATCATAGATAGTGAGTTAGTAGATCACACAACATCTGGAAACGATACGTTCTCATTCGTAAGCCCGTTGAACGAACGAGTAGTTCTTGTGAAACTTCCCGGATTCGAGGTGTCGTGCGGAAAGAGCATCGTACCGTACTTCAGAAGGGAGTTAAACAAGATCCGCCCGTTGCCCTTTCGTTCACCACGTATTCGTCACGCTACCGAACCGTATTCCTTGTGAAATGTTAATAGGCTCCTTAGTGTACGATCATACGTAGTTTACAATTCTTCTTTCGATTTCAACCCCTAATGGAGCGAAAGCTGATTTAAGTCCATGAACTGCGGTACGGGACATGAAGCTTTGGCTTCTTTATCCTTCGAAAGA